TTCTCGGCTAAGACCTGATAATTCAGGCAAAGATAATCCTGAATATGCTGCACTACATCCGAAGAAATAAAGACCTTTCGTGATTTGAACTTGGTTGATGTCCAAGCCAATGTCTGTGTATCAGCAAACATGCCCCGATGATCTTCACAAGCAATATCATCTAGAACTTCGAGAGTTTCCCCTATGCGGTCATGCAGCTCTTGACGGTTATCGATCAGCAATCTGAGATTGCCAAGTCGACAGTATGATCTCAACATGGTATTTTCAGCTTGACCTATATCATAAGCTGTTAGCAAAGGCCCACAGGTGAAATATCCAGATCAAAGAACCCCACCAATCCGTCTATTTGTAGTTGTGTCTTGCAGTTCATGGTTGACTCGTTCAAATGCTGAGGTATCTCGAGCATGAAGTGGACCCATGGTTTGCAGAAATTCACCCATATGGAGGCTGTAATGCTGATTTGGGACAAATTCCCAGTTTGGAAACAGCTCTTTCAAAGTGGTCAAATATTGAAGCATTTCACTTGTATATGCTTCACTCAATTGCTTTGAGGTTGACCGCAGGTTGAGGATTTGTAATGCCCTGACCAAGTGGAGAAAATTCTGAAGCAGTGGCATTTTTGTACCATCATTACCATAGGCCCAAACACGGATCAGAGTGACAACCAGATGAATGGTACAAATCACTTTCCAGTGATCAGCACTAAGCTTTCCACCACTTGGAGTACCCCAGGCAAGAGGTGCTGGCTGAATCCAAGTAGGCAGAATGGAGCGTTGTATATCAGTTCTGACTTCCTCCATTATTGAACTGGTAAGTAGATTTCCAGAAAAAGGTGTGTGAGGAATTGGTGTATCCCGATGTTCAGCATGCTGAATTTGTCATAATTAGTACTTCTTTCAAGTACCAAAAAGGACAGTTTATACACATACCCACAGTAGCAAATTTTCAGCCAGTAGTGCTTTGTCTCCATATGTTGGAACACCAAACTCCTTGCATAATCTTACAAGTAAGTCTTTGGCATACTTGGATAGGGATGATATAGATAGTGGTTTTGTATCTTCAAGAAACTTTCGTTTCAAAGCCTGGTACCCTGCATTATCAAATGAAGATTGAGGTACCATTTCTGGTAGGGGGTTTGATATGGAAGAATCTAAAACTGCAGATGATATGCCTGGAGCAGGTGAAGGAGCAGGGGAAGGTACAGGGGAAGGTACAGAAGATGAACTGAGAGCAAAGCTTGCTACCACCAAATTTACCGATGAGCCAGGTGGGTTTGTTGAAGATACTGCAGAAGATGTAGAAGGTTCTTGAGCAGGTGTATCAGGATTATGGAAACCCTGATTGAGAACATGCATCCGGCGCTAATTTGAATATTAGTAACATCTACAAAATTGAGAAATGAACAGTTTACCCAGTAGTCAAGTCGTGTGATCAAATGAGGTTTTGTATCAGTCAAGTTCCGCTTTTCAGACTTGCGGTAAGGAATTCTAAGATCCTCACATAAGGCATGCAGGTAGGCCTTAGTAACAGTTTGAGGAAGTAGTTTTTGAGTTTCTTGTTGGTTATCATGGTCAAGAAGTTTGGCCTTCAGGTTAGAGAACTTCTTTTCATCTACATGATCCCGATCTGCCATTGGAACAGAATGAGCAGGTTCAGGATCCTTATTTGGGGTAGATTGAGATGAAAGTATAGACTGGAGAGAAGTACTAGACAAGGCAGATGATTCCCTTGAGTCAGTACCCTGCAAGTGGAAGGTAAATTTTAATACAGAAATGTTAAAAAATTATCTAACCATTTTTCTTCGTTTAATGGAAGATACAACAGATGATTCCCGGGAGTGAAGTATAGTGTGCAGATCAATTGTAGAGGGTTCCTGCACATATAGATTCATTTGATCAAAATCATAAAGCTATTTAAATAAATCAGCTTGCCATTTCTTTTCGTTTACCCTTTCTGGTAAGAGAAATATATTGTAGGGGAGGAATAATGGGCACACTTTCTTCACTAACAGACTGGCGCTGCCATATTTGTACATTAGGGATGTATTGTTCTGGAGTAAGATTGAATATCGCACCCAAGTCACAAGAGCTTCAATAAGCTCCTTTTTATTGCCATTGGTTCGCACATCCGGGAGACAAGAGCATAAAAAAACAGTAGTATTTTTGTTGACCTTAGAATCAAGCCACTGGGATAAATTTTCTGGAGCTTTCCGAATTCCATCCCAGAGAGAGCGAAGAAGTGCAGCTGGTGGTTTGAATTTGGATTTCAATGTCGCTTTAGGTTTTGCATCACCTTCAATTCCTAAGACACCACGGACATGGGTTTCAGCAAGTCCTTTGCACAGATGCATACCGTCAATAACAGTATATGCAATCGGGTTCCAGTAAGGTAATCGTAGTAATGCTGTCCATCGAACACCATATGTGTTAACAATGTGATCACGTTCTTCGTCACTAGTAGCTTTGTGATATTCTTGTGCCCGCAGTTGGTGCTCTTGGAGGTTACGCCTTGGCCAAGTTGCCATGTCGATGTTGTTTATGTCAGATTTGAGAAGAAGACATTGGGTACAAAATAACTTGTGTGAATGTGAGCCAAATCCCGAGACATGGTGAGCTCCAACAACATCACAGACAATAGGAATCAGAATTCCACGCACAACACGTCCCAATGGATGAGAGCACGTTTGTGTGAAATAGATACCGTCCCAAAATGGCAGAAGCAAATCCACAATCCAATCCAGAATGTGATTGATATCATTCACATTGGGATCACCATTGAAGACGGTTACAAGTGCCATGTACCCTTTCCTATATCTGAGGTGTTCCGGTAGGCAAAGGTTCACCATATAGATTGCAGTGGAACTGATGTGGGATTTCTCGTTACTGAAATGGAAAGGGTGGAAGGCGTCGTAGCCAAGACTAAACATCACGGGTAAATCATGTGAGTTTTCATCTAGTTGCATGAATGGATTTCCATCCGGACCAGGTATCGCCTTGAAAACCGGAGAGTCTCTAATATCACGAAGGATTTCATCATCAGATGAGGATCGCAGATGATTCTCCATCGCCTCCTCCATGCCGGGAACAGCTAATATCCTGCCAAACCACTGTTTCAGATCCTGAAACAGCTGTTTACGAATAGGGACAACGAAAAAACGATTCCCGATCCTCTGTATTCGCCACAAAGTGGTACCGCACGCAACACATTTATCTAACTTCTTATCTGTTCGGTAAGATTCCTCGTTGCGCTGAATGGATTGTGGGGAGAATTCATGCAATTTGAAGCACTTTGGGCAGGCAAGACGGGCATGGCAATGAGGATCCAAGTCGTAATGATCAATTATGGTGTGGACATCCTTTGGTAGGTTGGAGGCAGCATCGATGGCATTTGGGCTTTCGGTCGCCCGGAGTATACCCCGATGTAAAGCCAATACCACCCGCATGCGACGGATCGGTGTTTGCAGCAGTAGATAGATAATTGCAGCAGCAATATACAGTGTCTCCAGAAGGGGGTTGAGGCGGGAAAAAGTCCGAAAGTAAGAGCCTAAAGGAGGGAGGTTTAAGTCAAGACAATTCAGGAATCAGTATAGAGCAGCAGACCCACGATTATCAACAATATGTGCACCAATTGGATCAGACTGCTGAATCCATTGGCTCTTCTTATGCTGATTCAAGGAAGTCAAAGCATCTAGAGCGTGATCTTCAAGTATGCTAGCTTCGTCTCCGTCTCCACGAGGCATTAAACGCAGCTGGATGACCGCACCACAAAACCAGGCTTCGTGATCAAGAAACTCTCGATTTGCTGGTGCAGTAGTTTTTAGAGCAAACTGACCACAGTTAGCTGAAGTAAGAGACTCCGGGTCGGGGAGTACGAAAGAAGTCTCTTTATTCGGTGGTGAAATGAACACTAGTTTCGAGGAAGACTGGGAGGCAGCATGGGATCTTGCAAAGATCTCTTCTTCCAGCATCGACAGCAAGCTGGTGGATACGTGGGTTTCTGGACAAGAGCTTGGATTGTGGGTAGATGGAGTATGGGGAGGCATCTGCATGTGAATTGGGTGATCGTAATCCACGCAGATATGGCAACAACATGAAACAAGTACAATCTGAGATGAAAAGGGGTATACTTGTTATGATAGCAATGTTGGAGGAATACGAGCAGAAGTCCACCAGATGCACGGGTTTTTACCCACTGCAGTCACCAGTTAGATAGTGATAGAAGGGAAGACAAAAAATCCCGCTCAACGGGATTACCAATATTCAAAATGCGGTACATTTGACATATTACTGACCGGTGATATGTCTGATCATTATCTTAGATACACAGTAACGATAGATAGATAGTGCTACTGCAGAATTTGCTTACACTAATTTTCGTGTTCAAAGGAATGCGAGAGAAAGAACATAGAGTCAATATTCATGAACGTTGAGACATATGCTAGTACATAGAGCAGTACTGTAGTGGAAGTGACCGAATATAAGCCACTGCAGGCCTTCGGGAAATACATATAAAGAAGTACGCTTGCACACTCTGCCCAAAATTGTGAGAAAGACCGTCAGGGAAAAACCAAGTCCCCATTACAGGCGTAACCGCACTGTGGCCTGCTTTGGCTCTTACTGGACTTGGGCAGCTAACAAAGTGCTTCTCCTGCACCTTGAGAGCCAAAGCCCACGCTATCGAGTTGCGAGCTCGACGCACCGACGGTCCTGGGTTTCGTGTTGAGCGGGGAAGTGATAAGGATATATAGAATAGGTAACGTCTCGATCCATAAGTCCCTAGAGTCTACGTCCGTTCCCCGGAATCTACATCAGCGTAAATATGAAATTAGTGAGCATTGAGAATTCGTCTTGAGGGGAACTTTGAGGTTGAGAAAGTAATTAACAACAATGCGACTGGGGAAGCAGGTGTGGAGACAGCTGAACTCCTGAAGGTTAGTAATTGAGAAAATGCAAGAGACAGAGGAACGATAACTCAGGATCATGAACGAGTTGGCTAAACACATGGTAGGAAGCCCGCCAAAGCAATCTGATTTCCGCAAGTTAGAGAGAGCGTACTCCATGAACGAGTTAGCTCGAGTACATGGAGGCAAAGCGGCAGAAAGGAGCCCTGAAGGTGAGGAAATGCGAAAGACAACTGAACGCTGGACCATGAACGAGTTAGCTCAAATACATGGTAGCAAGGCCGCCGAAACCATGAACGAGTTAGCTCGAGTACATGGAGGCAAAGCGGCAGAAAGGAGCCCTGAAGGTAAGGAAATGTGAGAGACAGCTGAACGCTGGACCATGAACGAGTTAGCTCAAATACATGGTAGCAAGGCCGCCGAAACCAGTCTGATTTCCCCAAATTAGAGAGAGCGCACTCCATGAACGAGTTAGCTCAAGTACATGGAGGCAAAGCGGCAGAAAGGAGCCCTGAAGGTGAGGAAATGCGAAAGACAACTGAACGCTGGACCATGAACGAGTTAGCTCAAATACATGGTAGCAAGGCCGCCGAAACCAGTCTGATTTCCCCAAGTTAGAGAGCGCGCACTCCATGAACGAGTTAGCTCAAATACATGGCGGCAATCAATATCGTCAAAGAAACAGTTTGGATTGCATGAACTAGTTTGCAGAAGTACTACTCAAAGAGACAGCGCGTGGTCCATGAACGAGTTAGCTCTAATTCGCAGTACTAGGAATGTCGGGTCTGCAAGCAAACCATGAATATTGACAATACAAGCAATTGCGAGGAGAAACATACCCTGTGTTCAATGTGTTGTGAATTCGTCTTGAGGGGAACGTCGAGGCTGAGGAAGTAATCAACGACGATGCAACTGGGGAAGCAGGAGTGGACCCATTATACCTTGCCCGTTATCGTCCTAGTCCATGATAGATCCACACGAGTTACGAGCTGAAGGACGACCATCGAGTGCTACACGAGTGTTTACTCACTGCAGCCAGTAGAGACGAACTTGAAGGAAGAAGCGAAGAATATCTTAAACTCTCACGATCATGATCAGTTCTTTGTTTGTTTGGTCTTGGCTTTGTTTGGTCCGGGTTTCGGCCCGTTTCAATAAACAACTCGACATCCTCGACATCGATACCTTCCTCTAATTACATACTTTGACCATGTACTTTGACCATGTACTGCAGCTAACTCGTGCATGGTCTCTCATCTTTCTCATCTATGCTTTGAACTCATTAATAATGCAGCTCTGCCTCACCTCGGGAACCTCTTCACACAATATTCGACTATCCCTGCATGGACTATATGTACGTTCTTCAAATATTATTTCTATAGTACCGACAGCCTTTCTACGCATTTCAAGGAACCTGCATCTCATCTTACATTCGCTACAACTCGTAAGCTGAGGGCTAAGAGTGTTCTCTCCACGAATTTTTTGGCCCAAACGACATTCCATCAAAAGAAGCTCTGGATAAAGACAAGCTGAACGACCTTCCGACTGCCGAAGCGAAGATCTTTTTGCCTCCAGGAACTGAGCTTCCTGGGGAGGAGTGGTCCGTCAGTAGCTGTGAGATGTAAATCCAACAGACTTTGTGCAGAGGACATACAGTTCTATTTCAAGATATTCACAGAAACGTACCTTCGAGATCGCATAAGCTACGAGACGGAGGCTCTGAGCATCAGGGGTCCTCAGCCCCCGTTTGAATATGATCCCCTCAAATTGGATAATGAGGTATTGGAAGAAGGGGAAGAGAGGAATGCTAGAAATGGGTTTTCATAGGATCATAGTATGCACTGGGGTACGTGCTGTTTTGTTTGCGTGACCCTTTCCACCACTTACAGCCTTTGCTTACAGAGATGTGATAAACCACGTATTCCTTCCGCTCGCGAAAGCCTCTGGATGCCTTGGACCCGACATTCATTCTTCAGAGTTTCGGGCTAAATTCGATACGATATTCACTAGCCGTCCAAGCGTCTGATCATCATCGTCTCATAAAAACAAACTCTCGTCATTATCTATATCTACCAGACCCACCCAGCGCCGAAGATCATGGGGTGGGGTCCAACAACTCTGATGAGAACAGGGCTGACGCGGTAGTCGTTATAATTGGCGGAGGCAAGTCTACCCAAGACATTACTTTAAGTTCGCATTCTGAGTTAAGGAGCATGTTCCTGTTTTATTGCCCCTCATCTGATTGGGTCCACAGACATTTCTTACACAAGTCTTGACTAGGGAGTCGAAAACACGTCGGAAAACAAGATACTGAAAGATAACAAAGCTTTAGTACTAGTACTAGTATTCGCTCTCACAATGTTCAGTTACTCTATTCATTGTTGTAGGTAAGATGTCATGGAAGGAATGTGACAAGGAATCAGAGAATACAGGACTTTAAACAATTTTTCAAAGAGGCGATATCACGAAGAGTAATTTCATCGGTCTCATGTTGTAATTTCGGGTCTATTATTCCAAATTATTGACCACCTCTCTTCGTGCCTCTGATTGCTTTTGCTTTGCCTCGACAATCATATCGAATTCCTCCAACGCTTCGATGAACCTCTTCTCCGCATATGGCTGAAGTAACGGGTTCCAACGAACCCTTAATTCTGTTAAGAAACCATTCCTTGTCGCAGAGACAGCTGCCATTAGCTCTTGGGTATTGTTCAATTTCGAGTTTACATCGTCCAGATAAACCTTTGCCTCAAAGATGAACAGTTGAGTGGAAGCCCTTCAACATAGGAAATAGAATACCTTCTTAGCAAGTTTGAACATAACAAGCATGGTAACCAATAGTATGAATACCCAATTGATATTCAGCTCTAACTCATAAGGAGACAAGGGTTGCGGTGGCGGCGGTGGCGGCGGGGTAGGCGGAGGCGGAGGTGGTGGCCTACCGTACCATATGGTGCGAATGGTGTTACGACCTGTGTTCATGGCGGTAAGTCAAGAGGAAGGGAATGCGCCAATTTCTTTAATTAGGCGGTGTTATATATCAATACCTTGAACACGAGCCCGTAGATTCCTCCTGTCAATATTCCTCAATGGGGCATGCCGGTTTATTTCTTATGATCTTGATCTATGGATGATCATTCTTTTCCTTACCCATCAGGTGTCCTCAGTAAGTCCAATAGGTTTCTGGTTACATTTCAGAGAGATTAAACTTGGATTGCCTTAGAATGGATCAACGTACTGATGTCTTTGAAGACGTCCAGGCAATTCGCCACAAGTTGAAAGTTTCCGTAAAGAATTTACGGAACCTGGTGGAGAGTCTGACTACAAATAGTGTAAGTATTAGTATGCCAGGAGATCCATCTTGTCGAGACTTTTTGCTAGGACAAACAAGACGAACGGTTGAAGACCGCGCTACTCGTCGAAGCTAGGCATATCATTGATGAAGTCAGTTTGATATTATTAGCTATGAAGGTTGACATTGCGAACGTCAATCTGGAGGTAGGCAAACATTCTATCCTCGAAGATTCAGCCTGACACTTTGAATAGGTGACCCAGATCCGACTGCTGGCCTTTCTCTTGAAGAGTAATGCCGAGCTCGAGAAAATTCTTAGCGGCCGACCATGCAAGGATCTTGATTTAGTGAGCAGTATTGTTGTGCAAGGGCTCAGCTGCGTGGATTCCCTTGGTTCTGATGGGAAGCTCGAAACTATTCAGACTGCATCCACTCCTGAAGCTAACACTTCGAGTATCAGTATCGCTTGTGATCGCCCTGTTAGTCCTGGCAGCCAGGAGAAAGCACAGAGCGAAGGTGCGGAAGAGATGGTCATATCCTAGCGTAAACTGTGCCCAAGATATCTTTATTCACAAATTTCGATACGATAGTAATAATTTCTGAGAACGTTGCACGAGTTCTACTCACTGCAATGATCGATGATCAAAGAGGACTTGTTGATGACTCCGGTGGGGGCCGGTCAAAGCAGTCTCGTGACTTTGCAAACTTTTGTCATAATCTATCTCATTCAGCGACATATCCGTTGTCATGTACTGAGCTAACTCGTGCATGGCTATTTAAAATCTAGTGTGTATACAGATAGGGAGGATCATCAAGCCAATTATTCGCAAATCATGCTCTGCAAGTGTTCTTCTCAACAACGTCGGTGACCGTAAAATGACCGTTAAACATCAGCCTGTGAGTCTTGATTAAACGGTTTCGTGCCCGCTATCATACTGCTGCTCATTAGATTCTGGAAACAGTATCTTTTGCTACGACTCACTCTTCGATATCTTGTGGCAGTTGCAGAGAAAAGGTTTCAGGAAGTGGCCGAACGTACGTGTTGACATGTCCAGACTGCATGGTATTTTTGTGCCAGTCAGGCTGCTTGGCGTTCAACCATGCAGCTGAATACAAGTTCATTGGAAGGCCGATTGGTGCTGGTCTGTCAGGAAAATATACCGGGTCAGATTTGATGATACGAAGACGAGGTGCTGAGCCTTTCGACGGCCGCGTTCGACCCTTCATCCGCATCAACATGTGTAGTTTATCTAGCTTTCGAAGTAGCATTGTTAATTCGAGCGCCCTCCATTGCGGTGTTAGCACTATGAATTGAGGCTGATCCTTACTGCCATCTTCCTCGTCTTCCGACATTCCATCAGGACCGATGCGATTCAGTAAATCTGTGAGATAGTTGAGTGGACGATAGAGCTTGGTGAGTTTATGCCGAATCATAAATGTCTAGGAAGTTACTCAGTTTAGAAATCAAACAGAGACGTAAAAACATACTCGTCGTTGACGGCCCACGATATTTTCCTGCTGCTGTCTCGCGTAATCCCCACCAGTTGTAACCTTCCTCTTCCATTCTTTATGAATGTTTGTCATTCGTTGCAAGAAAAATTAACGCAGCATTTCGCGCTCGACATCATTCTGGGGAGTGACCCAGCCTTTCGACTCGACCAACTGTACAAAGACATACCCTGCCGCGTGGTTCCATGCGCAACGAGGGTGCCCATTGACTGATACTCGGAAATTATCCATAGTGCAAGGACGTTGGCTGGGATCCTCTTCGTACTCTTCCTCGAAGTCGTCAAGCTCCTCTGTCGTGACGGTTAGTCTAAGGCGATTGGCTCGTCCCCCCAAGACCGTGTCGACCCATTGTCGCATCAATTTCTGAGAGAGAGATCAGTGACAAACCATGGAAAAGGTCAGACTCAATCAAAGCACTGACTTGGCGAGCTATCTGGTCTGGAGATTTGTGCACCGGAGTACGATCTTTCACCTGCAGCTCAACGTTCCAAAGACTATTAGGTCCAGTGATTGGAGAATTGGTCACTCTATAGCCTGCAGGGAATTTACCCCATTCGTTCCCGGAAGGAAGGTTGTCGGCATTTGGAACTCCTGTCGCACCTGCGGGAGCAGAATCACTTCCAACGGGATTAGCAATTCCAGTCGATCTAAAACCCCCTGGTCCAGGTGTACCAGTAGCAGTGGTGGGACCCGTGCTATCATCTGGGACAGAACCTGATGCACCTCCTGGAACGGGGACGGGACCACTGGCAGAAGGTGCGAAAGGACGAAATCCAGACGGAATAGAGCTCTGTGTATTTACTCCGACGGCTGCAGGTGCAAATGGACGAGACGGTTCAAATGATGTATGGACAGGTACCGCGCGAGTAGTAGATGCAAGTGGGGAGGCCAAATGTAAATGACTCAGGATCTGTTCTTGAGTGCGCTGTAGTTCAGCCATCCGTGCTTCTTGGCGCTGAAGTTGGCCTTCTTGTCGCTGAAGTTGCGAGTCTCGTTTAGTGTTTCCCTCGTTCATGATTTTTAGCTGATTGAGTGTCTCCGTTTGGATCTCAGCGTGTTTATCGATGCGTAGCATCATTTCCTTCTGGTGCTTGCGGAACTTCTACAGTTGTATGAGAGGGATGACTCATCTCTGAACATGATGACTGCAACACTCACATTCAATGATTCGACATCAGGGGAATTAATCTCAAATAAACCGCCCCTACGACCAGCCAAAGCTCCCGGTCGTCGAACTCCCAATCTAGCGGTCCTTCGACTAGTCGAACGAGTAGGAGTTTGGTTTAGATCAGTCGAACTTGTTTTCTCCATATCGACATCTTCGTCATTCCCTGTGCACAAGGATCAGGCTATGCGCCAAAATGTTCAGTGCAAGACTCAGCTACCTGAATCCTGCTGCTCCTCAGTCGGCTGACCTAAATCTTCTCGTCCGTTTGCGGAGCTCTGTGATTGAGGTGTCCCTGGCTCCCTCCCTATGTGCAAGAGCTATGAGTTGACTCGTATACGGCTCAGGAATGTAATAGTGCTTTCCTAGATGCTGCTGCTCATCAGCAGAGTCCTGTCGCTCTCCCACTGTGGTTCCTAAATAATGAATCAGTATTTGGACAATTCCAGGGATTCCTGGCAATATTGACCTGTATATGCGTATGGATGTATCGACTGTTCATGTTGATCATTCGCTTTAGCAATGCAGTGAGCCCCAGGTCATCAGTAATCATTCCAATTTCCTCACCCAAATCCTCGGTGCTAGAACTCATTTGAAGAAATGAGTCGCCTATATCGCCACAGCTTAACGCGTCCTGCTGAAGGTTTTCTGGAAGAGTGCGGGACATGTTACAAAGAACTGCAATTCTAGGGCAAAACCTACGGAAAAGGAAAGGATAAACAAATATTGCAATCATCGTTTCATCTGATGGCATCCGATGCGGACATTTCAGGGCGCCACATCCTGCTACATACATCGCCGTTTTCCACATGGAGATGGGAGAAGACATGTGCAAGAAATGGAAAAAAAGACTCAAGGGCACCAGGTGTATATTCCCCGAAGGACCATCCAACATTCAGGCTCAATTATTCCTAACCAGATGCTCGTAAGTAACCTACACGCATATTCACGCCTGCGCAATAATATTAATCGGGACATCTTGACCTGTAGATGAACCAAAACGGATTCTGGGCCCTTTTGGGTTGAGATCTTGATCGAGGATTTCCGCATCAAGATAGATTGTCACTTAATATCGAGATCTTGATCCGATGTTGCTCTTTGTTCTCTAATCTACGTACGAGCTTCTTATGGAATATCTAAGCCTCTACGTCCGACTCTCTTTCTGAGCCCTCCGAAATGGCTGGAGCACCAGTTTTCAGAGCTAAACCTTTCGTCTCCAAATCCTTCCCAAATCTAGCCTGAAATTGATGTATCGCAGCTTGTTGTGCGTGATACTGTGCTGTCTCTCGATGGAACCGAGCTCGTCTCTGTTCAAAGCTAATAAGCTGCCTATGCAACTCCCTCTCGCGGCGTAAAATTTCGTTCTCGCGACGGCTCAACTCTCTATCGCGACCATCGTCAATGAGACACCGATCAGAGGCAACGGGACCAATGTCCTGGAAGAAGTCGACCAGGAAATTCTCATTGGTGAGGAGGACGTTCGAAGATAGTTGTTCCCATCCCTCTTTGAACGCCTCGCCCTCCCAGCCAAACAAATAATTAAGGAGCTGAGAATGTTACAAAAGGATATAGAATCCATCAGTCATTTGTGTACTTGAACGCGTAGACAATGACAAACCTTCCAAACAAATAACAAAACCACCGCACCTACAAGAGCACCAAATGCAATAGCAATGGCTGGCTTGTATTGATGGAATTCCTCCAGTGAATCAAGGGGGGGCGGAAGCTGATCAGCAGTAGGCCAACGAGAGAAAATCGACAGCATCGTGTTCGAAAATGCTGGTCATTCTGCCGACAGCTAAATATATGATTCTATCAAGACGCGTGTCTTGAACGTGTACATGGATAGATATGCAAATAGAAGGTAAAGTTTTTTTCAGAAAAATATCGATGTTGAAGCGTTATACCCTTGAAATCGATATTTTAGGACAAGTTGAAGTCCGGGAAATTACACTAGCATGACACGAGGTGAGCTTGCAGAGACGTCTCAGGGTTGGTCCTATTTCCATGTATCGGATTTCTAGGACTCGGTCCTTGGATTTTCTTGAATGGTTTCGAGCGATGAATGTTTGTGACAGCTGCTGCCATGACCCTGAATTTATGTAATTCATTCAGCTTTTGACTATCTTCAAGATCCTGGCCTATCCCCCGCTCCTGTGAGTCTCAACTCCGGTGAACGACAGTGTTGTCCTCGTGGAAAACATGAGTCCCATCGGCTTTTTGGGAGTCTCTTTATCTCTGTACGAACTCATCCGAATCCCCTACAGTTTCCCCATCAATGAGCAATCCTTACCGGTGTTGGTTTACCATTGACCACCCAACCGACTCCGTGCGAGCTCTGTCGTTCTCAACTAGCGGGCGGTATCTTGCCAGCGCAAGCAATGACAAAACGCTCCAAGTATACGACCGGCTACGGAACTTCCGTATGATTTGGGCCTACAACCACTCTAGTCCGTTCATTTCTCTTGCGTGGCGGACCGACAGCACTTTGGTCGGTGGAAGCATGCAAGGCGAAGTCGTTCAGTTCACGCTCAATCCGGTAAGGAGCTACCTTTATCTAGCTTGGGGCCGCTAATCAAGCTCTTGTACAGTTCTTTCTGTTAGGAATCAAAGGACCAAACGTCATCTACGAGTTCTCGTCGCCCGTTTCCTCAATCGAAGCCAATCAGTCATCGAATCAACTACTTATCTGCTCGGGTAGGGCAGTGAACGTGCTCTCAGAGGCGGACGGTAAATATGTATAGATGATTTTACTTCGCGCCCTCATTGAATACCGTAGATCACAGCTGGTCATTGAAGATACGCTTAGACTGCGCCCATTCTATTGGAGAACCAGCCAACTTCAAGGAACCTCCGGTCATTGCGACTGGTGCATTCTACCTAAAGGGCGAAGGTGAGTGTGTCGTCACATATCTTTTCCACGGCGTTTGGTAAGTTTATGGCCCCATTGTGTCTATCGAGTGTACTAGGACTGATCATGCCTAGGAGAGTCGATTTAGAGACGGGGGAGGGGCAATGGAGCATTGGACCCAATGAAAAAATGTGACATTTAACTCAATCTTCGCTATAAACTCACATTCATGATCTCTACTTGTTCAGTGGAATGGCGGCCATCTCGCCAGATCGCACCGCAATGGTTGCAAGTAACATCCGCACAGGGATGGACTGGTACGATCTTTCGAAAGCATCATGGATCAAGAGCAGCACCTCCCTTGAACGTCAAGAAAAAGACGTCAACATTCCGCTTCCGGTGAAATTCATAAACAAAGGTTGCGCAGTCGTCATGGGCACTACCAAGGGATACGCAGTTATATTTCATGCTGAACATGGCCGACAGGTACAAACTCTTGATCATGCTAATCGTACGTGTCTATTTCTAATCCGACTCGAATCCAGCATGCATCTAATATTCTGTAGACAAAATCTGGGTCACTGCATTGGTAATTCTCATATCCTTTCTTTCCATTAACACGCTCTTCTCATTGCCTCAAGGCTTACCAGGAAGCTGGTCATCAAAATCGGATTTTGGCCACCGCTGATGGTAACGTTGGTGAACGAGCAAAGATACGCATTTGGACGCCGGTCAACCAGAACGGTGTGAAACACATACTGCGCCTATTTTGGTTTCCTGCAGTCAGTCTCCCTTATTATTTCCAATTTGTATGCTTCTTGAATGTATGACTTGACACAGGCATCTCACATGTGGAAGTATTTTTGTACTGCTCTTCTACTTCTGCTGTTTGGATTTGCCCTTCGTTTCCTTCCCATCTCGCTACAGGAGAAGTTGAGAGATTGGTTCCTGATCATTCTCTTTGGTGATTCGCTAGAGGAATTTACGGTGATCTCTGTACCACTCCCTGAGATTTTCGAAACACCGCCTTCCTCGTCTTTCTTCGTTTCACAACAATTCCCAGCGGTCCTGAGTTTCCGTGTTGGACCATGGACTTGCTCTTTCAACTCCGGTAGATTTGCTTTTTCTGTTGGATCGATCATTGGTGCCACTTATTACACCGTACAGGCTTTTGGTACTCAGTATGCTCGTGTAATGAATACTTACAATCGTGTGAGGACATTACTCCCCTGGTAGTTATTGTGATAATATGTACCACATCAAGTGACTAGTACTTCTAAACATCCCGAAATGGTGATAGTTTCTAGCACGATAACAAGAGAACTGTATCAAACGGTCAGTCTGACCCAAATTCGCCATACTGATTTCATGGCATGATGTTTGAATTAATATCCAGGTCAGGTCACGTAGGTCCACGTTCCCTCAAGAATGGTGCAGCATCGGATATATGCACACTTCCAGGCAGGATGCATGCATGTCGCTTGGATTTAGATCATCACTTCATTTGTGGTGTCCTATATGGACTAGTACGCTCGGTTTGCACAATCGGCGAGAATGTATTCCGTAGTCGTGCCGGTAGATTAATATTGGAGTAATCCGGAAGGAAACCGTCCCCAATCTTTGTCACGGTAAAATCAAGCCCTGGATTCAGGTTCATGATTCGGTGAAGTACTTACGCGTTGAGAACGTGTTCTGCAATCTATCTATTCTTAAAAGGCCTTCTAAGGACGACACTTGACGCTTGTCTGGCCTGAATGTCTCGAGTTACCCGCTCTCAATCACGCGCTGCCTCTAACGCCTCTGGCGACACTAATTTCCCTGATATCATGGAATTAATCCAGCAAAGTCGTGATACTGCTAGAGTGGCGACACCCGTTGCGGAAACCTCTAGATCTGTTGGTTTTCCTTCGGTCCGTTCTCAAGAAAAACGACCCGCTAGGAATAGGTTATCGCCTCCCCACAGAATAAATTCAGTTCCCTTTAACGGCCAATTCACGCCCAGCAAAAAATACGTTGTAAGCTCTCTTCATGATTCACTGACAAGGGCGACACTCATTGTCGATACCAGGAGGATGGGACGACGATTGGCATCTATTTTGGCCGAGCTCGCGCTGTACCCGAAGTGGTGCCGTTCAAGTCGAAGATCAACAAAAAAGGAGCTCCTGCCCATGTATTCTTCAAACGATGCATCTATCTACGGTCTCGTTTTTCTGATAGCACTATAGCGGACGATCTCTATGAAGCATTCGTCGTAGTTGACGGTCGGGGACACTTTGTGGGTGGTACTTATGACCAAACATCAGGAGAGTTGAACCAGGCCATTGCCGCTCTTGGCTGCGACGAGATCTACAAGGGTGACATCGGTATCGCTTTTTTCGCCATACGCCAACCAGATAGGTTCGTGGAATCGCTTCCTCGCTATAAGAGTGAGCAGGAGAAGAAGGAAAACCTTGCACGGGTAATCACGGCGTGAGCAGTCTCATCTAGAGTGCACAACAGCAATTGACAAGAATTTAGATTTGCCCAAAACGTTCGAAACCATGTCGAAAACGGAACGCCATTGAAGTACCTTCTTCGCGGTTAATCGCCATGTTATTTTTTTTGCCGAAATTCCATTTAAATCTCTCTTCTCTCCTCTTCCTTTTCCATGCAAACCATTCCCTACCTTTCTTTCTGTCTTATCTTGTCTTGTAATGACTATCATGCCGTCCTCGATGACCCTTACGACCTTCAATGTTTGATTTTTCTTGCTCTCTCAATTTTATCACCACCACTTTCCTTAAGCCATATGTTTGTTGTCCACATAGGAGGCACCTTTCGACATTCACTTTTTTGTTCACTCTCATATATCGTTCCTCATTCAACCTTTCTTACTATTTTCTCGTCGTCAGTTTATCATCCCTGTTCATCTCAAGAAACACACTTTCCATAACAAATGTTCGATATTCGCTACACTTTAGCATAAATACACTCCTTTGTATACCTGTACAAGAAAATCTAATTCACACCCTTTTGTAAAAAGCAATAGAGTACCTAGAACTTTAAGAATGAACGTAGATATTCAGCTGCCAGGAGGTCATTCTTTTGCGAGAGTCTGGGGGCATCCTTATTGAACTTCAATGTCGATCGCCATTGATTATTGGATAGAATTTTGATCGATCCAGGTCTTTCGAGAATGCCTTTCAGACGAGATTGAAACCAATGCTCTGCATCACTAGACCAGTATCCAACATTGAGTCCGCAAAATTTCCATGATATCGGTCGGGGCCACCATGATTTGATAGCATATTGAGGTTCTCCGTCCTTGCTCACGATTCCTTGCGTTAATGATCAGAAATATGCTGCAAATTTTTCAAGAAAGCAGTTTACCTGTAGCAATTTCATAGGTTCCGCAAATAAGGTCTATTTCATCCTCAGTCAACTCGTCATCCCAAAAAGCAGCTTTTTGTCTAGGGTCCCAAACACAAAGAGCATTTTGCCCATGTAGTGCACGTTCGGTAGGTCCATCCAGAACATCGTTCACATTGACAACCTCACGAGCCAGACGAGCAATTATACCACCGGATAAAATTGCTGCGCGACCTCTCACTGAACGCAGGAAAATGTCTCGTCTGTGTTCATATGAGCAATACTCCTCCAAGCCTGGTGAGAACCCGCAGGGACGACGTCCCAAAAGAACTGACTTGCGCTGAGGTGGTGAAATGTAACCGGTAGGTGGGAAATAAGCTGATAATGTATTGAAGGAAAATCCGCCTTTGATCAAGTTCTGCAAAAGGTCTGCAGTTTGAGGACCCCAATTACGTCGTGCAATTTCCATCACTGTGCCAGCAGAGGAAAATGCAAGGTGAAATGGTTCATGATCATGAGCTTTTGAAGCTTGCACCAAGAAGTAAAGGCGGTCGCGAGAAGGTAGAACGTCCACCTCGAAGGGCAGTGGAGGTCGCAAGCTCACTAAATCAAAATTCCTCGGAGCGGAAGCTAAGTTTGTGGCTTTCAAAAGATCAAAAAGAAAAGTACAAAGCGCCAGTTCGGATTGGCTATTTCGAAGAGAAGGTCTAGGCTGCCGTCCATAGCCAATCAGAGCCAATGCTTGACACCAAACACTAGCAGAAAACTTGACCGGGCGGTCAGAATGGTTGTCCCTAGGAAGAAATCCGAAGCGATGTTTGACCACATTATCAATCTCCTCACTGAATATAACAGGATCGCGAGAGTGAGAGGAAGACTGAAGGCGCGTAAGGTATGCATTGGAGGATGATGGACCATGGTGATGGTCAATTTCCTGACTCATTACGGATTGTGGCGTGATGAAATAGTCATCGTCATCATCTTCGTCGTCGTCTCCAAAGGATGGTTCGTCATTCGGATCGAGCTCTGTGCATATATCCCATTCATCTGCGACAGCATCATAACATCTCTGACGTGGACCATATCGTTCCCAAATGTCTTCATAATTAGATCTGCCGACTGGATTGCGAACACGAATACCCTCAACCAAGTCCCAATAATAGACCCGTGCTCCTTTGCGCCCCGGCGGCATATCTTTCGATGCATGTTCTTCACGCTGGAGACGAGACTGGCGATCCTTGGCACTTTCGGTAGCAATAGCCCTGGCTTTATCACTAGCTCGCCGTTTGAGAAACTCAAATATACCTTCATTTCGACGGGGTTGAGTTCCACCATCAATCCGGGGTAGACGCAACTGCCTCGTACGAGTAGAGCTATACTGGGTGTTGTCAAGAACTGGTTCTATTGGAGAGTAAGGAGATTGTTTGGAGATCAGAGACTTGACCATGACGCCAGTTGGAACCGGTAGCGCAGGAGATAGTTCTCGTGGTATTCTCCAGTTTTGCACAGTTCCCCAAAAGAGCACTACAGGCATTTTGGTTTCAAGGAAGATATTCAGCCAGGGTAGACAACCTGAATTATGAACATCCATGAAGACACCGACCATAGGGATCTCCATGATTTCGTAAAAATATGACAGCCATTCGGTACTGATGAAGGTTTCCTTCTGCAGCCTATCTTGCCAATCCCACTTAGAAGGTACTGGCCCGCGACGGCGTTCAGCTTCTGCGTTTTGTCTTGCGCTCCAAAACGGGTTTGATTTAGGTAGACTGACTCGAATGTCAGTTGCGATAAGCGTTACCCATTTGTTCTGCATATGGTAGAGTAGGTGAAGGAAAAATGAGACAGAAGCTATTAGAGGAATGAAAGCTTGGCGAGATCGATAAGCAGCGGCGCGAGCATCATCCAGAGTTGTGTAAGTTCGTGAATATCCGTATTGGAGAGGAAATGACCACAGTCGAAGGTCGTCTGGAACGCCGACTCCATTAACCTTCATACAGGCCCTGAGGAAGACCCTTAGATTCCTTTCTAGTGAATCCCAGTCTGTTTTCAGCGACGGCTTCAAACTATAGCCACAATCAGCATCACCGACAATAGGCAGCGTCTGGGCACTGAAGTCCAAGCACCGAAGGAAGTCACACTTGAATGGATTACTGCTAGGTGCGAACCCCATGAATGGGAAAGACGAGGTGACCCATCCTGGTACGAAGAAGTTTGGCATAGTCGCTTCGCGAGGACTGGGTTTTAGGTGTGTTGTCTTAGGAGGGACGAAAGGAAAGGATGCCGGCTTTGGGCCAATAAACGTGAATACATCAGAGTCTATCACTGCGTGAAAATGAGGAGGATCTGTGTTTAGAAATTCCGATGTTGCAAGGGAGCAGATCATGATAGTTTTGAAACTTTGACAGAGTTTTGAGTACACGAGAATGCCAACAACTTCCATTAGATCTTACCTTGTCAAAGTCTGAAGGTAACTATTACTATCAGTGGCTGCAGTACACTTTCACCAGGTTTTACCGTAATGAAAGCTAAAGGAATGCTGTCTTAAACAGCTCGAGGACGATGGCTAAGTTGGACTTAGGAAAAAAAAAGCGCAAAGTCACGAGACTTACCCGTCACGAGGCTTATTTGTCACGAGATCTTTGCGGCGCGCTGAGCGCTCCGTCGAAATAATATACCCTTCTTATTCTTATTGCTCTCATATGTACGAACCTGAATGCTCACCTCAACGGAAATTCATGTAAGGTTTTGCTCATGGCCCCGACAGTCACCTCAATTCAACCTCGTTACATCAAGGACGGTTCAGAGGCCATCACTGCCTTATCATTCTCTATGGACGGTCACTATTTGGCCAGTGCTAGCAAAGACACATACCTGCGAGTATACGATGTCCACGCAAACTTCAAGAAGATTCAGAGCGAGCCCTGCTCGTCTAGCATTAGTGCTATTGCTTGGAATACCCCGGACTCGTTTATTACTGGCAATAGTGATGGCGAACTTTTCATTTCGAGTTTGAAACAAGTGCGTAGATTGCTATAGATTGCTATTGGGATGATCTATGACAATGATATTAATCAAATTTCGCAGCGTGGTGAGAAAGCGGAGCTCATTTATGAGTCCTCTTCGCCCATCAATGCAGTCGAGCTGGACAAGACGAGGCGTATGATGCTGATTTGTGCGGGAGCCTACGTCAATGTTATGGAACAACAAGAAGGTATTAACTCAACTGGTACATTTATACCTATTTCAACATACAACAGATCACACTTGGATAATACAGAGTCGCATAAACTGCATTGGACTTGATCATGAGCGATTTCCGGTGGTAGCTATCGGTGCACATTTTTTTCAGGATAACTGCTCTTGTCTAGTAGTCTATATGCACCACGGGATCTGGTTTGTATCGCTACCGAACTCCCGTAACTTTATTTAACAAATTTCCAAGGTTATCACATATCGGAACCGGTGAAAGTGAATGGTGCTTTACTCCAGAAAATAATATGTAAGCTTTTATTGATTTTACCTAACTTTATCATTAACCATCTTTCAAGTAGCTCTTCGTTCGCTATTGATTGCGACTGTGTCGCCTTAGTTGCTTTTAGTTTCAATGCTGGCTTTACATGTTACAGTTTCAACACTAATTCCTGGGCCAAGCTCGACATCAGCGTTGACAGTCGGAAGCGTGCTGTCGTCGAGCTGTCTGCTCAAAGCATCCAGGGCCACTTAGTAGTCATTCGGACGATCAGGGGCTTTGTACATGAAGAGCCCTGCCGGGTTGTTCAAATTCTTCCAGGCACTCATTGTGAGTCGACCTATCGAGTTAATGAGATCTGATATCTACCTTGTTTCAGCTATTGCTCAGGTTAAAGCTCTCGTGAGTAGCATCTTATGGCTTGCCGTAATCGAAATATCCTCAAAGATTATTGATAGGCTTACTCGGAAGATGGCCTGATAGCCACCGGAGATGGAGATCCAGGTCAAAATGCACATACAAATTTCTGGACCAGCGTGATCCTGATCCGCTTGATAGAATATTGTTCAACGACCGTAAGACAGTATAATTGTAACTCACATGTAACCACCTGTACTCACTTTGTTTGCACAGATTCGTACTATTCTGGGAGAATTTCTACGCATAACGATCATACTCCTCATCCTGGTCTTGACCCTCAAAACTCTCCCAATCGAAACTCAAAAATCAATTGCGCGCGCTATCATATCGGCCATTCAACAGAACAAGCCGGAACCTGTTCACAGTGCTCATTCCTCACGACTCTTACCACCATATGTACTGCAGCATTTCCTATCAGGTTTCCGCGACGGGTGGGAAAGATCTTCTCTTGATGATGTTGTCGAACTCTCAGCTGCTCTTCAACGAGAAATCATCAGCATTACTGGCACAGTATCTCTTTGTATACACTTATACCGCTTGATTCAACGTACTCGAGCACTAGTGTAGTGTAAATGGACTGTCAAATATCATTGATTTCTGTTCATTAATCAAACTATGGAATGATGAATGATGGACAATCTGATACATCGATTAATCTACGGTAAGCTAAAAGGGTAGGCGAGCTATCTATCTTCCACACCATGAACGTCGAAGCTACTCTACTACGACCTGTTGTAAGTCTTCGAGATTGAATGATTAACACCGAAATCTCAACCAAAATTCAGGACAATGTGTTCTATATGGACCGTGTATACGATTTCAGCTACTTCACCATGGATGATGATGGTATGGTATGGGAGGTCAATGAAAACGACGCTGATGAGTACGATTATTCATGCTTTCCTACAACGTGATAACTCATAGAATATTAACAGGCCAGCATATAGACCGTACGTGCACCACTTACCTTCGAACAATGCAAGCTAAGGTCGCAAGAAGGCAATCATCTCAGCCTCAGAAAGACTCAGCCGCGACGCCAGGTAAGGTGAAGTACAGCACATTAACAAATCATTTATGTACGACTGGCAGGGGCTCAGCGCGGTAGAGCTACTTCTCCGAAACCTACAGGTGGTGCAACCGTTGGATCTGGACATAGTGCCAGTTCTCCGCCACCAGTATCATTCGCATCTGGCCGGAAAGCACCAAAGTACAGGATCAAGCCCTCACCACCTCCTATCATAGGGGGAAAACTTGTTCCAGGTAGATTACGGACTGCGCCGTTCACCTCTCGGACCAGTCAAGGCGTCACTCCGTGGTATGAAACTCAGAGTGATGAAGATCTCGAGGAACCTATGCCAGTACCAGCGCCGGCATTGGAAGGGACGGTGTATATACATCGAAACATGAACGATGGTTGTTATCAAGTTTGGGTTTGGAAGTTGGGTAACAATGGACGGAAGAGCTGGCATCCAGTCGACCTCGATGGAGATGCAGTCATACACCCGAAAATCAGCGACAGAATGCTCCGACTGACGCGCAACGGAAAACCTAGTTGGATCCTAACAAGTACCCAGACTACGTACGAATCCCGCGAGATACATCGCGAGCGAGCACAATCTCGAGCGCGATCTCAATCTCGAGGACCCACAGTTGGTTAGGAGCTAATAAACGAGCTATATGTACAGATATTGATGAGTAATTCCAAGTTTATCGCGACGGTTAGCGTGCGCGCCTCATGCCTACAATATTCACGGGGCTTTCCTGGTTCTTCTCGTTGGAGTAGCGGCTGTAGTGATCTTACAGGAAGGCAAGGAGGTGAGCAAGTGCATGAGCGACTATGACCAAAAGTAATGGACAGCAAGCTCACCTGGAGGCCTTTACATCTGGCTACGGCCTCATAAGCAAGCGGTATGCAAAGTGGACTGTCTGACACCGAGTACTAGTTGACTGACTGAACGCAGGTCATTCGATTTCATGCGGGAATGATGTAAGAGAGTAACATTGTGAAATGTTAAGGACGTATTGAATACATATGGAATCATCTCCATTGAAATAACGAGCAATACTACGAACACTGGTGACCTGGTATTCAATCTTGCTTCCGGTACATGGCCGTGTCGAATGCCAGTTTAAGGTATACAAACGTTCGCAAAGTACTAGTGAGAGGAGAAGACAAGTTCGGTACATGCACTGAGAAGAAGTTCCCGATGATAAAGAGAGCTGTTCTTGAGTTCGAAGCCCAGAGAAGAAGGAGGCGAGGGAAAGAGAGCCCATGCACGAGTTAGCTGCAGTACATGGTCAAAGTAATTAGAGGAATTTGTCAACCTTGCGTTTCTTCCTCGGTGCCAATTCTTCGGACTGCTCTTTTCAAGTTTGAGAAGGGACCGCCGTCGCATTCTTTGGATCCCTCTTTTGTGTCCCATCAGCCTGTGAAATGAACACCACAGTTAGAACTTAACGTCAGAGTTTGAATAGCACGGGAATACTACGCACATTCCTCTGTTCATCCTGCATCACCCTTCTTCGTCGCACAACCTGTACATTCTCAATTGAAAAGTCCACTATCAGCGTGCCTCTACTTTTCTTCGGCACAGTACCACCACCACCACCACTCTCAAGTTTCTCGATTTCCCCTTCGACTCTCTTGATCCTCGACTCCTCCTTTTCATTCTCCGGTCTAATTTTCTCCGCCTGTAACAATGCCACTAATTCCTCCTTCCACCACTCCTCCCAAAGTTCGGCAACACTCGGGTTGTTGTTCGCCCAAAGGAGAACACGGAGAGCGTCCGCACATGGGTGTTCAGCTCGAGGAATCCATATCCTTTACTTCGGCCTTTACCTGTAATTGGATCCAAACGAACGCGAATCCTCGGGTTCGGAATTGTGATCTTGGTTGAGAATTCGATTGTTGGAGACGGCTCCTCTCCGTCGTTGGTAACGTTAGTGTCGTCGGTATTGGTTTCGAGAGGATTAATGTGTATAGAGTAGATAGGGCCGTAAGGAAGGAACAAGGCACGAAGGTCCTGCTGTGAGGTATTGAATGGGATATTCCTCGTGCTGCACGACTAGACGACTAGAAGCAGCAACGGTGGATGTGGGAGGCCTGTTTTGGATTGACCATGGATTTGGTTATGTTATCCAACCGTTTCTTGAGTTCGACCGAGAGTAGATTCCCTCTGGATACGTGTGCGTGAAGTTAAGTGACGGCTTCGAGTGCGTTTTGGGGAGTGGCAAATACGACTTGGGCTATGGAATGAAGTTATTGAGATAATGCAAAAGAACTATTTACGAAGAGGAAAATAAAATAAACGCACCTGTATCAGCCTGTTCCGAAGAATGGCTCACGAACTTTTCGTGTCTATTTCCGCAGAGATTCCTGATACGACAATTGTACGGATCGCGAGAGAATCATGAGTAGCTTTCGGATAGCTCGGTCGAGGTAGAGGTATAGGTCTCGTTTCCTTCTTCACTTGTTCGCCCTTTTCGCTTTTTTCTTTAGGCTATCCAGATTCAAATAGGTCCATGAGTGAACCGATATGGTTCATTGTGACAACTCACTATCAGCCTACTGAGCACAAAGACTCCGTCCAGCAAGGTTCAATCCATCCGTGGATATTTTATCGAACACAAAAGCGCTCTATATAGTCCTGAGTGAGTTAAGGAAATAATATTTGAAGAACGTACATATAGTCCATGCAGGGATAGTCGAATATTGTGTGAAGAGGTTCCCGAGGTGAGGCAGAGCTGCATTATTAATGAGTTCAAAGCATAGATGAGAAAGATGAGAGACCATGCACGAGTTAGCTGCAGTACATGGTCAAAGTACATGGTCAAAGTATGTAATTAGAGGAAGGTATCGATGTCGAGGATGTCGAGTTGTTTATTGAAACGGGCCGAAACCCGGACCAAACAAAGCCAAGACCAAACAAACAAAGAACTGATCATGATCGTGAGAGTTTAAGATATTCTTCGCTTCTTCCTTCAAGTTCGTCTCTACTGGCTGCAGTGAGTAAACACTCGTGTAGCACTCGATGGTCGTCCTTCAGCTCGTAACTCGTGTGGATCTATCATGGACTAGGACGATAACGGGCAAGGTATAATGGGTCCACTCCTGCTTCCCCAGTTGCATCGTCGTTGATTACTTCCTCAGCCTCGACGTTCCCCTCAAGACGAATTCACAACACATTGAACACAGGGTATGTTTCTCCTCGCAATTGCTTGTATTGTCAATATTCATGGTTTGCTTGCAGACCCGACATTCCTAGTACTGCGAATTAGAGCTAACTCGTTCATGGACCACGCGCTGTCTCTTTGAGTAGTACTTCTGCAAACTAGTTCATGCAATCCAAACTGTTTCTTTGACGATATTGATTGCCGCCATGTATTTGAGCTAACTCGTTCATGGAGTGCGCGCTCTCTAACTTGGGGAAATCAGACTGGTTTCGGCGGCCTTGCTACCATGTATTTGAGCTAACTCGTTCATGGTCCAGCGTTCAGTTGTCTTTCGCATTTCCTCACCTTCAGGGCTCCTTTCTGCCGCTTTGCCTCCATGTACTTGAGCTAACTCGTTCATGGAGTGCGCTCTCTCTAATTTGGGGAAATCAGACTGGTTTCGGCGGCCTTGCTACCATGTATTTGAGCTAACTCGTTCATGGTCCAGCGTTCAGTTGTCTTTCGCATTTCCTCACCTTCAGGGCTCCTTTCTGCCGCTTTGCCTCCATGTACTTGAGCTAACTCGTTCATGGAGTGCGCTCTCTCTAATTTGGGGAAATCAGACTGGTTTCGGCGGCCTTGCTACCATGTATTTGAGCTAACTCGTTCATGGTCCAGCGTTCAGCTGTCTCTCACATTTCCTTACCTTCAGGGCTCCTTTCTGCCGCTTTGCCTCCATGTACTCGAGCTAACTCGTTCATGGTTTCGGCGGCCTTGCTACCATGTATTTGAGCTAACTCGTTCATGGTCCAGCGTTCAGTTGTCTTTCGCATTTCCTCACCTTCAGGGCTCCTTTTTGCCGCTTTGCCTCCATGTACTCGAGCTAACTCGTTCATGGAGTGCGCTCTCTCTAACTTGCGGAAATCAGATTGCTTTGGCGGGCTTCCTACCATGTGTTTAGCCAACTCGTTCATGATCCTGAGTTATCGTTCCTCTGTCTCTTGCATTTTCTCAATTACTAACCTTCAGGAGTTCAGCTGTCTCCACACCTGCTTCCCCAGTCGCATTGTTGTTAATTACTTTCTCAACCTCAACGTTCCCCTCAAGACGAATTCTCAATGCTCACTAATTTCATATTTACGCTGATGTAGATTCCGGGGAACGGACGTAGATTCTAGGGACTTATGGATCGAGACGTTACCTATTCTATATATCCTTATCACTTCCCCGCTCAACACGAAACCCAGGACCGTCGGTGCGTCGAGCTCGCAACTCGATAGCGTGGGCTTTGGCTCTCAAGGTGCAGGAGAAGCACTTTGTTAGCTGCCCAAGTCCAGTAAGAGCCAAAGCAGGCCACAGTGCGGTTACGCCTGTAATGGGGACTTGGTTTTTCCCTGACGGTCTTTCTCATAGTTATGGGCAGAGTGTGTGTGTTAACTCTTTGTTATAGTTCTATGTATTCTCTGGGTCCACACATGAATGATCAATCTATTCTAACCCAATGTACTCCTCCAGCTGAATTAAGATTTAGATTCATCCCCATCTCTCAACTACCCTGTCCAGTGGTCCAGAATCAGAACCAGAGGTACTGCCCGCGACTGGTACTCATGCCCGCCACTCGCGACTGGTCCTCACGCCTGCCGCTCGCGGCTGGTCCTCGCGGCTGGTCCTCGCGCCTGCCACTCGCCACTTGTCTCCACGATTCGCGATTCATGGGGACAATTCGCGAATTGCGAGTCGTCTCCACTGGTCGCGAATCGTGGATACGACTCGCGACTCGTGGAGACAATTCGCGAATTGCGAGTCGTCTCCACTGGTCGCGAATCGTGGATACGACTCGCGACTCGTGGAGACAATTCGCGAATTGCGAGTCGTCTCCACTGGTCGCGAATCGTGAATACGACTCGCGACTCGTGGAGACAATTCGCGAATTAGTCGTATTCGCGACTCGCGAATCGTCTCGTCACGCGGCACAACGCGCGTTGCGTTGAACAAGCGCGCCCGCCTCTTGTGACGATGACCGATGTTGGTTGCAAGCTGTGACAGGTGCTGATCACAGCAAATTTTCAACCTCTACTCTTCATCTCTAATGTGCTTGTCTTCACTGCTTTCTCTAGCCTCCTTCATCTCTCATTCTTCTGGGTTCTCTCAGTCTCATGTCCTCTCTCAATCTTCTATGATCTTTCTCCAACCATCTGCCACAAAATCCTGGTGCCATTATCTACACTCCATCTCCATCTCCCTTCAGCCCTTGCTCAGCTGTGTTCACTGCCCCTACTTTAGCCATTTGGATCTTTTTAGGATGGGAACTTTGGATGAGGTGAGTCAATAATTGCCTCTAGCTATTCTAACTGCTCATTCCTGTGTCTCTTAGCTATTCCCTGGCCCTGCCCTGCTTCACCCTGGAATATCTGCAAATTGCTCCACCCATTCCTCCCAATCACACCCTTTTCCTTTCTCAAGTGAGATGAGCTTCTGGATTGAGGTGAGTTTTGAATCTTCTGGAACTTCTTGCCTTTCTTGATTATCCCTATGCCTTTCAGCCTCTATCCAACACTAGCCATGGAATCTGTTCAAACACCATTACATCCAGCAGAATCTCAGCCTCCTCTCAGACCTCCTCCAGTTATGTTGGACCATACATGCTTGACAATTTGGTTCTATTCTACTTCCACACCCACATCCATCATTTCCCTGGCTCACAGCACTCATTCCCCATTCTTCATCATACCTGGGACATGGTATCTGACCAGCCATTTAGCTTTGCTGATGGTCCAGGTTGGATTTACATTTTCCTGGAAGGAAATGTAACATACAAGGTTGGGCGCACAAACAACGTATCACGTCGTATTCGTGAATGGAACCGAAGCTGCCATACATCTCCTAAAACATGGTTGGCTGCTATTTGGACCCCTTATGCCCACCGAACTGGTAATTTCTGTCTTTATACTTTTTTTTGTCTAACAGTTATTTTTTTAGAACGCCTAGTACATCTTGCATTAGAAGCAGTTTGCAACTCACGTCCCCGAGTACTTTGCTCTTGTTTGTCACACTGAATCTTGCTCAATTCTTCTCACTGATTGATTTTGTAGGTGGGACAACTCACAGTGAGAAATTCATATTCATGGGTCCAAGAAATAGTATTGTATGTAGAGTAATTATACCTATTATCATTGCAGTCATTGCAACACTGAGATGAAGTTTATTGTACATATACATACATAATAAAATAGTCAATGAAATACTCTGTGTATAGTCCAGATGTTGATGACATCAATAAGTCTTGAGATATGTTGACCTCGGAGATGTATCCGATGTCAGGACGTCGGTGATGTCTCGATGTCCCCGATATCGGGTACAAATAATCTAAGCTGGAAAACTTCAAAATTTACTTCATTTTACCTTGAATATTTCAGTAATTTTTCCACAGTATTAATTCAAGTATATCTTGATGATTATGTTTATTTACTCTTGCATAATGTAGTTGAGTATATCCTTCATATACACACCATAATAATTACAGGAAAAATCGGACAAAATAGAAGGAAGTTTGAAACATTGTCTTGAGTTAAGCTGTATGCTTTATGGTCAGAATTTTCCTCAGTATCTGTGAGGCAAATTTCAGAATATATTCCAAATAATCTGAGGTGAGAAACTTGCAGATAAATGACCATAGATGTTAAATAACCCTCTCATAATCACGCAATAGGACCTTGAGATTAACTCGAGTATTTTTCCACACATTCAAGGCATTTAATCTTGTAGTAATCAGGCCTCAATTAATGCAAAAATTCATTGCAGTATATATTGAAACCATGTTTCCGAAATGCTTCCCAGTATTTAATGGTGATATTGACAAAAACTTTTTAATATCCTTCGAATTTAACTAATAAATTGACAGTCAAATATCTTTATCTAATCTACATGATATCTAGGAAATTTCCACGACTGAAAAAGATGCCATCCCCCCAGTGAATGACGGGAATCATGAACTGATGATCATGAGGAAGTTCAAACATATACTGCTCGAATTTGACACGAGAACATTTATGGAAGGAAGAAGGAAAGTGTGTTGAGAGTCAAGATCTTGAAGGGTACGCGGGCGTCACGGGCGTACCAACTTATAAGACGCGTACGATGATTACCGTCGAAAGTCACGGCCTCAAAGATGCAAACAATATGCGGACATATAATGACTCCAGAAATGACGGAGCATTGACCAATCGGCGTGTGCATTTTTAGAGGCTGCGCTGCTAAGAGAGGGGTTAAGACTCTATGTAGAGTACTATGTAAGAGAGTCAAGAGTCGGGGCTCGGCAATGATGCATTGATGGGGAGGATTCAGCCTATAGGGAATCTGTTCAATCTCAGCCATACATTGCGAAAAACAGCTTTGACCATGACTATATATTTGAATACTCACGTTTATCGGTTCGCCCTAAGACATGTTGAGGTTCGCCTTTCCGTTTGTTGCCCAGAAGTTTTGTTGTCAAGATAATCAACTAATGAATCAGCTGACCATCATAATAAGCCATAATATCGAAACATCGCTAAATTGGTAGACTTATCGCGGCGGGTTACGATGGATCATAGTTGGAACAATCTTCCACAAGACAGTCACAGTCTTGTGAAGGATCATAAGAGCTTGTTAGTAGATTGTAAGACTATGTCACTTCGACAATCATTGTGATGGTATTGTAAATACCCTGCAACCATGTAGCAAACTTGCATTACCCCGCAATATTCACCTAATTGTTGTTGCAGTACTGTAGTTTCCCAATAAGTACTGTGAGTATCTTATCATGTATAGACAATGCTTGTGGATAGCTTATGTTCTTGAGGCAGGATTTTACAATGAGCTGTAATGTGATAGTAATAATAGGAACAGATGATATTGGATCAGGTTACTGGATCGCTTTCGTTACTTTCAGGGCTCATAAATGGATAGGATGGAAAGAATTTTATTTGAGCATAGACGAATATACTAGGTAGACGACGCCGGGCCCGGAGCAGCTCCAGTACCATTGGAAAAAATATCATGTAGAGGGGAAGCAACGCGTAGCCGTTTTGATACATCTTGTTTGCGAGAAGTCATTTTGGTGCCACGACTGTTGGCGGCGGCACGGGTACCAGTGAAGATTCGACTATGAGAGACATAAATCGATAAATTCTCAGATGACCGAAAGAAACTCACTCATTCCACCACTTCAGTAGCTCCTTCGATCGCTGTTCTTCTTCTTCGCCCTCGGGATCCTCAAAGAAGTCGACAATAAAGTTCCAAAGGTCGAGATAGTTATAGCCCATGTGAGAGTTAGTCCACTGGGAAGCGTCGCTAAGAGCGAAATGAAGCTAGATGAAACACTGTTCAGAGCTGAATACACGTTGATAAAGATAATACGTACATGAACGGCGGCATAAGCAATTGAGCGAGGTTTGACATCATTCATATGAATGATCTGCGCAACGTTGCCACGATGATTGGTCCCAGTGGTTTTCTTCTTCTTTGAGGCAGGAAGGTTTTCAACATCTTGCGGCTGATCCTTGGTTGACGACGGCGACGTAAACATGAGACGATAGACCTACGAAGAAGGAAGAAGTGAGTACAAAAGACGAGAGGCTACTATAACTTATAACATACCTGTACAAGAAGATAACTTTGCAAAAAACCCTTGTCGAAGTCATCGGGGTCAAACTCCTCATCCTTGTAAAAACAGCGAGCATGAGCAGAGCTGGCAAAGTCATAATTCGGGTCAAAGGCACGAACGGCGGCACGAACTCTGTGCAATCCAGCTGTCAATTCATAATGCTTGAAAAATTAAAATTACTTACGCCGTGTCGTTCCAGTCAAACTCGGCTGGACAAAGGAGATAACCAGTAACATCATTCTGAAGACCTCTGTTATCCCTGGAAGTTGTACAGAATTCTTCGACGCGTTCGAGTACAGGTTCAGCCATTGTGTTGGTAGTGGCAGTGGGAAAATCAGATGCGCTGTCACCCGTTGTGACATTCTCGGTGTAAGCACGTAACTTAACCTGATACTCTTTCAACTTCGCTTGATTTATCTTTCGAACCTCTTCATTCAATACGTCGCCTACAAATTTCATGACTGTGGACGTGTCGAAAGCCCTGGAACTATTTGCGCCAGTTTGTAGCTAATCCCCGAAACATCAATCTGAATTCATACAACAACTAATGCTAAACCTTGGTGCTCACCTCACGGATGATATGTGCGCTTCCAGGCTCCTTTATCTTTTTGAGAAAATCTGGGTACACTGTCTTGTACAGAGTCATGATACCGGCATATCCACGTTGTAGCCTAACTCGGAAATTGTGAGTGGAATCGCGCTGAGCTCAAAGATAAGGATACTAACCTTCTCTTTTCTTCTATGTCAATGTCGTCGTCATCACCCTCGGAATCCAGCTGATGGTAACCCTTGTGTCGGTATTCATCATACTGCGCAAGGAGGGTGTGTATATCTTCATAGACAGCAACAAGTTTAGGAATAGCACGTCCACGCCGCATTGCCGACATGTTATCAAGGGGCTCACTGTAGGTTAGTGTGAGGAAATTCTTTTGTTTACAAACAGTTATACTTACGGCGCCTTTCGCTTTCTGCCTTCCTTTTCCTTTGAATTCCTTGCACTAGCAAGTTGACGTTCCAAGTCTCTGATGCGTTCCTGGTCCTGAGTGAGGCAATTGTCGCGTGTAGAATGTGACTTGGATTGTTGAAGAGAACGGATTCGACGGGGTGGCGGTGAGCTTCGTGTATCATGATAGTCATGGTCTGTGGATTGACCTCGAATATCAGTCAGACTAGGAGAACCATGAGTATGTCTCCCAGAGCCTGTGCGATGAGAACGGTGACTCGGACTGGGGGAGCGCGAAGGGCTTTTTGATCTATGGGAGCGTGAGGACATAGTGGGAAGGTGGCAGTCAGAGTAAACGAAAGGTTCGTTGATTTCCCCCCCTTATATATCCTGTGCAGAGCAATTTCCAATGACCCTCCATCAGGTGATCGTGTATGTACGAATTTTGGAAATTTGAAAATTGTTTTGACGGCGGCATCCGAACCTGGTCTGAATCCGTTATCTGAGTCCGACGGTAGCCTGTAAATCGACCTCACTTACGGACAGACAGTGACTCGCACTGATGACTCGGAGTGTGCTTCTCAAGCAGCTCAGCTTGTTACTGCTTCTCTTTTTTTCCTTTTCTTCATTGTCAAATCTCCCAACTCCGGACCATTCTGAGTCAATAGACAACACATTTGGTATCATCATAGTTCATTGCATGTCTGACCCTTTTCAGTGTGCGCCGGAATGTAAACGAGGCCCGTTCCTCTCTACTCAGGCAACAAATCGACATCGCGGGAGCTGCGAAGCTTGGAATGCTTATGTTGCAGCTCAAGCACTGAAACGTGGGTACGACGAAGTCAGTGGGGAGGATGAGGATCCAGCGATCACCCGCCGAAAGAAGCAAAAGCGTAAGAAACTCGAACAGGCTGTGGCTCGTGCTGAAAGCCTTAGTCTCCCGCGGTCAAGTATTATTGCTACGCATGCAAAGGTTTTTACTCTCATATTATATCCCACCGTTATGATCCAAATATTTACAAGCTGAATATTTAGGCCTCTTCAAGTGCAGTAACCCTCGAGCAATCAAAGGGTCCAGAGATCGGGGTTTGTTCTGACAAGGATAAGCTTTGTTCGATAACTTACATCAACTTACAGACAGCTGAACACCTTACTCCGAGAGCTCTTCTATCTCCGGAACCAAATAGTCCAGTATACATTGGGATCGATGGACAGCCTGATGAACCAGAACTGGCTCCAGAGATGACAGCTGCAGGTAGACCCATCCGCTCTACTCGTGGTCATTTGCCGGCCTGTTATCTGGATGTCCTTCCGCAAAGTGCTCCCGCGGTCGGGAGTTCACAGGTAGAGAATGAAGAACAGCCTGCAGAACAGCAGAATTCACCTCTTACACTTCCCCGTATCATTCTCATTGTTCGTGACAAATTGAAGACACAGCTGAACGTTTTTGGCTTATGGCGCGAGTACCCGGATCGACCTTCACATGATCCTGATGGTGAGGTCGGGCTTGAGGACTTGTCGAATCTTCCATGTTCAGAAGAATATAGAGATGATGAACATCCCGAGGATGCTCGCGACGATTCCCCTTTGAATCCCACCCAAACTCTCCTCACAGGTTGGCAGAATAATGGAAACTCAACGAAATCTAACAGCGAAATGGATGGACTCACACATATTCTGCAACGACCTGACTTTGATGTCAAGGAACTCAAGGGATATAATGCACAGGCTGCCAATGAGAAGATTACTAAAGCAGACGAGGATTGGGAACATAATCGATTTAAAGACTCTTTTATTGAGACTGCCATTGAAATTGAAGTCCCATCCGGTAGTCCACAAATTCCTTCGAAAAAGTTCAAAATACCCCAGCTCCTATATTGAAACCCTCTCTCAGTCATCCGTGCAGCATTCGCAGATCGTTTAGCCAGTCAATTTCACTTCGCACCCTTCAAACTGTTCCAAGAGATTGAGGATGATAATGGGGAGACTATTTCACAACGGGTACAAACCGACATCTATAATTCCGATGTGTTCCTGGAAGAGCACAAAAATCTTCGCCGTGCACCCACCGATGACAAGGACTGCAAACGAGAGAAGGTTGTTGCTGCCCTCATGTGCTGGTCAGATGCTACGCAGCTTGCCAACTTCGGAACTGCAAAGCTATGGCCTATCTACATGCTCTTTGGTAACCTCTCGAAATATATCCGCGCTTCACCAAACTCAGGTGCCGTTCATCATCTCGCCTATATACCAACAATCCCAGACTCAGTTAAGCACGAGATATCAAAATTCAATGTTAACTGGAAAACGCAGGCAAAGGAAATCATCGCACACTGTAACCGGGAGTTATACCATGCAGTGTGGAGATTTCTTCTGAACGATGCATTCCTTCATGCGTACAAATATGGTATTGTTATCAAATGCTTTGATGGAGTTGAGCGTCGTGTCTATCCCCGGTTCTTCACATATTCAGCAGATTATCCCGAGAAGTAAGTTGTCAATCTACTGTAGCACTTCCTGCCTTGATAATACCCTTACTAGGGTTCTTCTTGCAACTATTCGTGAACGTGGACTTTGTCCATGCCCTCGTTGCTTATGTCCAAAGGAAGCTCTCGATCGGATGGGCTTGCATCAGGACATGAAGATGCGTGATAAATTACGGGTTTTTCTGCATGATAAAGTTAAGCTCACCAGGGAATGGATATATGAACAAGGGATCAAAATTCAAGGAAGTGCTGTTCAGCGTATTCTGAAGGCTACTTCTTCTGTCCCAACCATGGTAGCCAATACTCTCGACTTGTTACATGCAGTGACTGATCTGTTTTATAGAATGCTTTCATGGGACGTCTAGGATTAGATTTCAATCTTTCGCGTATGCTCGTTGTTGATCTTATGCATGAATTTGAACTTGGAGTGTGGAAGGCCTTATTTTCTCATCTTATCCGAATCCTCTATGCCGTTGGCCAACAATATGTCGAAGAGCTGAATCACAGGTCCGTAGTATGTTATCTAAGTATTTAGACTGATGTTTTGAGCAATGGTACAGGTTCCGACAAATGCCCACCTTCGGCTTTGATACCATTCGCACTTTTGCCAACAATGCTTCAGAAATGAAGAAGTTGGCTGCACGAGACTTTGAAGATTTGTTACAGGTAGGGTATTGCATTGCTTAGTTCTGATATGCACAAACTGATATGTGATTAGTGCGCTATTCCAGTATTTGAAGGACTACTACCAGGACCAGTCAATTCAAAGCTCATGACATTATTGTATCGAGCTGCAGAGTGGCATGCTCTTGCAAAGCTCAGGATGCACACTGAGAAGACACTGGACTATATGGAAACACTCACATACGAATTTGGAAAACTAATGCGTCAATTCCAGGACCTCTCCAATAACTCATTTCAAACATACGAGACTGATCGCGAAACAACTGCCCGTTATCGCCGGAAGGAAAAGGAAGCTATCGCAGCTGGGGCTAGTCAGCAACATGAAAATTCAGGACGAAGACGTAAATTTCTCAATCTGTTAACATACAAGTGGCATGCATTAGCAGACTATATCTGTTCAATTCGCTGGTTCGGGCCAACAGATAGTTTCTCGACGCAGCTAGTGAGCCCTTGAATTATATTCTCATTTGTCATACTGATTGATACAGGGCGAGTTGGCGCATCGAGTTGTGAAGAAGCTCTATAGTCTGGGTAATAAAAAGAAGGACCCTAGACAGATTGGTCGCAGGCTTCGTCGTTTGGAATGGGCAAAACGAGCTGCTGATCGACGTGGAATTCATACAAAGCGGCGACGTCAACAAAGGATATTGAATGCTGGCAATGCAGCTGAACTATTAGCAGCTCACCATCACATCGGCCTATCTGCTAAGAACAAGCACAACATTGGATCTTTTGTAAAGGCGCACTATGATGATCCCGCAGCTCAGGTTTCTTTCCAATTCACTCGCACTCTGGATATATTGCTTAACGCATCCAATTATTGTCAGAATTTCTATCCCAAGCTACAAGATCACCTTCTGGGAAGATTAATGGACCGCAAATTCGACGGTGACACACACGAATCCTTCACTGATGCAGATCGGAACCATATTCGCTTGAAAGGAGGCTCGTTCATCTCACTGAAAACATGCCGCATCAATTACACTACCTACGACGTCAGACGAGACCAGGACACTATAAATCCAAGTAACCACGCAGATGTAATGATGCTTTCAGGTGAGGATGCAGCAGGTGCTCATCCATATTGGTATGCCCGTGTTCTTGGAATATTTCGCGCAACCACTATTTCTAGTCATCCTAATGCCAGTACAACAAAATCTGGACCGGTGGAAATGGAATTCCTTTGGGTTCGCTGGCTTGGTATTGACCCAGGACATCAATCGGGGTCCCGTAATGCACGGTTGCCCAAGGTTGGGTTTGTCCCAGAAAGTGATCCCTTCGCGTTTGGATTTCTGGACCCAGCTCATGTTATTCGAGGATGCCACCTAATGCCTGCTTTCAGTGATGGTCGGACATCGGAGCTCCTTGAGACTGAAAAACCCACGGTAGCACGGAAGGAAGGAGAGAAAGACGATTGGGCATATTTCTATGTAGGAATGTAAGTGGTTGCCTTTTCAAGCCAATGCTCTTCTCAAAGGATATATAGTTTCGTGGATCGGGATATGTTCATGCGTTACTTCCCAGGAGGTGGTGTTGGTCATGTTGCCAATCGGAAATTCTTCAAGCAAGGCGAAGACAGTACTAATGACAACGATATATCCAGCATTAGTAGTGATCTAGGTGCCGATGAGCTAGATGTGCTGGATACAGAAGAAATCAGCTTGGAGGAGATGTCTGAGGACAGTTCTGATGATGATCTTGGAGATGAACAGGGTGATAGCAATGATGATGACGACGATGATCTAGATGTCGGTGGGGATGACTGGCAGTGGGATGACGGGTATGGATCCCCATAATTGTCGAACTTGTAGGATGTTATGATCAGCATATAGAAATACTTATGACCTACATCTCATTCTAAGTACATCCTAATACTCGGCATAAATGTACAGTCAAATGTAGACGGTCTAATGCTTAGGACACATCTACAATGCATCACAATAAGTACACAAGAACCGGAAACGATTGCGATGGAGTGTGATGGAATGCAGTGACTGATAATATTTGTGAGACAGTTATATTTGATGCAAGCGGTTCCAAGATTTCCGCCAATTTAGCGATGAACTCACCAATCCTCTTTGAGTCTGCTTAGGAGAGACTACAACCCTACTACAACATCCCCTCACACTAACTCTCAGCGGCTCGTCTCACTATATACCGGGAAATTATATCCCAAGCCAAACAATAGATCCTCAAAGATCCTCGGACGAATGACCATGATTTCGAAATAAAATCTATCTCCGAACTCAACCCGAGTCCCACTCCGAATGGAATCGGAAGTTTGATATACATACGTAGAGTAGTGGCTGGAGCAACTTCGAGACCGAGAATTCAGCAACTTCAGAAATTGGCTCCTCAGCCTAAGGCTTCAAATCAAACACAGAATCAAAAAGTCAGACCAGCCTTAACAACATGACGGAAAAGACCTGATCCGAAAATACGAAATACAGTATTTACACCTTGAGTCTGTAAGTACCTGATCTCTACGATCCAGCGTAGCCTGAAAGTAACTTGATAAGTACTGGGATCAACCTCTCAGTCTGGTGCGAGGACCGCCACGAATATTTACATCGACCTCCCTCGGTCGATCATCCCTCTCACTCCTGCGTACCCTTACCCATTGTCTCCTACTCTGCTCATCAATCACCCAGGGAGCCGGATATCCGTTTCTTATTTGCCTGTTCTGCTCTCCCAGACATAGTACCAGCTCTCGTAAACCTGCGAATTCCCCGTCACCACGCTTGGACACCTCCTTCCACACCTCCATTGCAAAATTCTCATCGGCTTCGGGGTAAGAAGCCAGTTTCGTACGTCTATCACCTTCTTGTTGTTTTTTACTGGGAGAAGCAAAAAATGCGATTCCAAGATCCATATGTATCGTCAGTTCACGAAGGTTGGTAAATTGACATAGGACGGTGTAATATGCGCACTCTGATTTACCCTCCAATGTCCGGTCAATATCTAACGCAAGATTGGTCAACTGCGGACAGGAGCCACAGATATCGGTGAGCTGGTCGAGAGTTAAACAAATACGCATAGAGTCCCCTTTGGAAGATTCGACCTGGTGGAGTGACAACGTGCGAAGGGAATGCGAATGGTGGTCGAGGATCACGGAGAGAAGGGGTTTCCAACTTTGGGAGGTTTTGAGAACGATAGATAGAGATTCCAATGGTCCACAGGAAGCTAGGAATATACAGAAGGCATCAACCATTTCTTCTATTTGGTCAAAACCGCGCGACGTGGTCAAGAGACGGACATCAAGCTGCTTGAGTGCAGGAAGATGGTAAGCGGGGTCTGTGCCAGTAAGACATAGAAAATCTAAGGAAGGTCGAATGTTTGTCAATGAGATAAGCTGGTCCAACTGCGTGTATGAGGATAATTCTTTTAACGCCTTTCCATGGATATGATCCATTTGTAACGACTTGATGCATTTCCGTATAGGTGCATCGACTTCGAATTTCTTGCTCTCCAGATTCTGGGCATACATTTGATCCATCGGACGCACATACATGACACAACCACCTGCCGAGCGGGAAGTTCGAGAAATAGCTTCCAAATTCGGCGAAAGTTTGGCAATGCGATCGAAAGCGCTGAAACGAAAGTCGGCTACAGGCCCGGTTCCAGTGATAAAATGTCCATGTAATGACCGAAGACAGGGAGAGTTGGCCAGTGCGTCTTCCGCGGGATCACCGAACGGAGTGTCTGGTGAAATTCGAGTCCAATTTCGGATATGAAGATGAGAGAAAGGATGATGATGGTGCAAAGCATCGAGGAGCACGAGTGGCATCTGTTCAGAATAGGCGAATGTAAATGATGCAAGGTGCGACAATCGGCTCAGAACTTGAACGAGTGAGGTCCACTTCGTCGTGTCTGGGGCTTGAATAGATTCATCTCGGCGCAGGCGCCAGTAAGGAGGAATACCCTTGACGGTAATGTGCCGAATGAAGGAGAGCATCTTTGAGCCGTTCTCGAGCCAGGATTCCATACGAGCGATTGTATCACGCTGTAGATCGGGGGAATAGTCCATCACACACGAACGGTGAAATATTGGTAAGGTAATATCGTACAAGGTCCGATTGGCACATATCATAGAGAGCAGTGAGTGCTTAGAGACATCGTGAACCTGAGTATCCGCTCTGTCAGTTCATCGCCGTAGGAACCAATTATCCAAACCCACGATTAGCAATATGTGACACAGGATATCAATATTGAGATCGTCTAGAGCTATCTTGGAAGACATATTAGGGTTTCTGAAAGCAAATTAAACCTTTGGAAAGCCTTGAAGAGACGCTTTATATCACAGTCGTGGTGGAAGCTGTGCAACTGCAACCTAGTGATCAGAATACACGGTACACAACAAGCTCAACAGTGTAACAACCCGGAGTTGGATCCCGCACATACTAGATTATATTTCCTCTGTTTTCAATAGAAGTAAGCCGGGTTCTGCTCAATATACATCAGTATGTATTGGGAAATTCCGGGATACATACGCACCCTGACTCCTGACAAGTACGCATCAATGGGGCAGTCTTTACACTCTCGTTCCAATGATTTTCCAGTACCTTGCTGTGCCATTCCAGCTTTGTTCTTTCGCTTTAAGCTTCAACATGGGGTATGTGATATGTGAATAGGTACAAAGTAGGTACAAAGATAAGCCATGAAAGAAACAGAGAGTTTGACAATGTTTGGTCAATGGTCACGTCCGCACCTCCATCCTCAGCGAGCAAAATAAGCGTTTCATGCCAGATACATCGCATTGAACAGAGTATGAAATAAGTATGCTGTGTGTAGTCGATACGTTACATATGCGCGACAGTCAAAATAACACAAGAAAAAGGCAAAGGAAAGCTGGATAGTACTGTCTACATATTATTATCGATGGAAGGATTTATGTTAGCTCAGTCGTCCGGTGAAGCAACCTCACTACTTCTTTGACTCGCACTATGCGCGGAAACTGACCATGCCGGCGAAGTCTCTCTTACCTCACCCTCAGTTTCCAAAGTCATACTCCTAGCCCGTGCTTCGCTGGACCAAGGGCCCTCGTCATCATCATCCTCTCCTTCCCCGTCAAGATCGTTAAGATCATCGCTGCGCAAATCAGTATCAAAATCAGGCTCTACCCCGACAGAGGACGACGGGGATGAATCAGCCAAAGACGATGGTGGTAGTACGGAAGAGATGCCGACATCATTAAAAATTCCCAGGAAAGGACTCTGTTCATATTCTCCTTCATCGTCGGTGGGTACACCTGAGCGAAAATGACTGGACTGACTACTTTGCCAGTTTGTCATCGTAAAGCCGGCTCCAAGAGACGACGTCGGAGAATCATTCAAATAGGAAGGGAGGGTGTCGACCTCACTAGGAGGGGTGGGAAGTTGTATATCAGTGTGCATTGGAGAAACGCCAATGACGTCGGAGGGAGCATCATTTGTCTCGTCGTCGGACGTAGAGGAGACAATTTGTGTGGGTGATCGTAAAACCTGCTCGACAAGTGCGTGGCTTTGTCCACCCAAGGGTGACGAGGAGCGACGACGGTAAAACAGAAGATAAGCATTTGCATTCTGCCAGGGAAAATGGGTTAGTGTACCAGACAACGAACAAGCACCAGTCTAGACGCACCACTGCGTTATCTGCAGTTGATTCCGAAACGAATGAATCATCAAAGTGATACCATTTGTTATTCATGTGGTTGAACGCATACGCTCGATAATGGCCCCCTCCAAGGCCACCGAGATGTTCATCGACAGCAAATAGATCATAGATTAAGGGTTCTGACGTTGGACCGCTTCCACCCTCAGATCCTCGACCCAGCAACTCGACAGAGTCGGTATCGACGCCCATTCTCTCCAAGCTAGAAATGACACGTCTCTCGTTGACTCGTTCATTCATGTCGAGTCCTAGAATTGGGAAATCGACAAATGCATCAATCTTGTCGCGTAACATCCTCGAATTGCTGAATCTCTTCAGATGTACCACAAGAACATCTGGCGTGCTCCACAAGTCGAACTTCTTGGTGGCCTGCTGATGTTTCTTGCACTGTGGACAATACCAGAGATCATCGGCGCCAAGCTGTTCTTCCTTTGTGAACTCGTCCAAACAGTCAGAGAGTGAGATTCCCCTAGAGGATTTCGAAGCTGCGGATTTCACGGAATCTTGATACTCTGGATGAAGATACTCATCCCAGATTTCCCAAAGAGCGTGTTCATACTTGGGGAAGGAACGCTCTTCTCCGAAATAGTAAGATTTCATATTTTCGTCGAACTCGCAGTACAGGACGTCATGTTCTTTCAAAAGTCCTCCTACTGCTGATTCCGGATTCGTGAGCGCCGTCTTTTCTGCTTCTTCGATCCTCGACTCCCAAGAGACTGGGGTGGACGTATAACCGCTTGTTCCGTAGTCTTTTTGTCCCGTGCTCAATCGCAATGTGAAAATATCCTTTTTGGGACCAAGCCGAATTGGCACAGCACTCTTTAACCCAGACTCTAGAGTGTCTTCTCCGATGTCGAGAACCATACTTTTTTCATCAACTATGTCACCCTCCTCCGGAGTCAGCAGAGGCGTGGGCTGCTGACGAGCCGGGACGGGTTGTGTCACGTTGACCACGGCGCCATCTTCACTAATCTCTGTGACAGTCTCTAAGCCATCTTCATCCATAACGTTGAGTGTGACAGTTTCCACTTTCTCGTCGATGACAGAAATTGGGAAGCCATCCGGCAACTCCCAGGTCCAAAGATCGCGCTCCTGCCTAGTCCATCGAGCTAATCTTTCGACGGCTGCACCATAAATACCTTCAACGGATTTAGCCTGTTCTGCAGTGACTACCACGATGGTGGGATATCCGAATAAGTTATTGCCCAAGCGATGATTGCCGTATGTTTTTGAGAAAGCATTAGTGCTAAAGGAGGTTGGAGGTGCATCACATAGTAGGAGCGGTAATACCCAAGGAGCATTCGGATGATCACTACGCTTCCATGTCCTCGACTGCTGGGAATTGCATGGGAGTTCGAAACAGATGATGGTGTCATTATCACCGATTTCTCCACAAAGTATCGTATCGTCGAGATTCTTGTAAAAGTGATGACTGAAGTATTCGAGAGTCAGGAGCTGTAATAAACAATATTTCGTTATAGTGGGTCACAGACAATAGCGAACGACATACGTTTTCGGGCGGTGCATTCATCCATCGCCCGAGGAGGGCTCTCAAGTCCTTGAATGATGCGTCACGTCCGATTTCGATTGGAACCTAAGAAATGTCCGACAACTAATTTGAACGCGCAGTGCACCATACAAACAACAAACACACCTTGAGATGAGGCTTCTTCATGTCCCATGGGACATAATAAACAGTGCTTCGCCACTTCTTTTGCACTGGTAAAGGCAAAGTGAGGTACATAAATGGGTCAAACGTTATAGAGATCTGATGTGGAATTCATGAACATGCAATTGTTGGGTATGGAAGAATTGACTGACTTTCTGGCACTCGGGACAGACGAGAGTACTGCGATATTGCCCTTGAAACAGATCCACGATAACACTATCGTTTCGCTTTTTATAACCTTCCCAACTTTCCCTCGCAAATCTCAACATCTCTTTATTGTCTTCCAAGTCTTTATTCCACCCATGCTCCTGAACGTAAATTTCGCGTTCCTTAGCTTCATACTCTTCCTTTGCGCGCATGTATTCATCCTTGTCTTCTTCTTCGCCGTCGATTTCTGCCGTACGCCGTTCCCTGAAGGGATGCAACACAGGAGGACGGGCACCAAACCAGTCCGGCTTTTCCACGTAAGGCTTCTTCAAAACTCGGTTCAGATCTTCGTGCAATCCATCGAGTAGGAACGCAACCAGTTCCTGAGAATCATGCTGCTGGTACCCAGAAAATTGTGGAGCGAACCGAGATAATTGGGATTTGAAGTCTCGAGGGGAATAGGACGTCGCGGATGGGTTCAAAGTAGCCCCGTCACCAGAACCACCGAAATTGTTGCTGAAGTTGGACGTATTTTTGAAAAATTTGGACACTTTGTTTTTCGCACCCATTCCGCCTGATCCTTCCCTGAGCTTATCCAACGCCCCATAGGTGTGTGCAAGCTCCGATCCTGCCCACATACGAGTCAAAAGAGCACCAAATCCTTCGGCGATGGCACCTCCCATGCCAAGAGGATTGTCTGGGTTCAGCTCACGACTGTAAACCCCTGTAAGAAAATACTCTGTTAGCTCCTTCTGATGTCCGAGGCATTGAATGGCTGAATTCATGAAACATGTATTTCCCCTGAAGCAAACATTAAACTAATGCCCAACGGAATCTGAATCCAGGAACACTGACATGTTGCCCAACCCCAGCGTTCCGGGTTCAATCCACTTCTCTTTCGGCTTCTCCTTTGAAACGACCGATAATTTCTCGTTAACCTCTGCTCTGGCATCTCCATTCGATTGGCTATTCGAAAATAAAGATGATGAGGAAGCTCCAGACATACGATTGAAAAAGGCGTCATTGGATTTGAACAAAGGTTCAGGAGTGGTTTCTTCAATTTCAGACTTTACTAACCACTCGCGAGTCGTTATATCCTGAAATTCCAGCGCAAATGAGTCCTGGCTTTGGAACAAAGCCTCTTCCAAAGTCTTGGATCCATTTATTGTGGTGTCAAGCAATTCAATGGCGGAAAATTTGGACATAGGAAGTTGCCGCGAAAGATGAGAAGCACTCGACTCGTTTAATCGCCAGAGGCGGGATTGGGGGAGATTGCTGGCTATTCCGGTATGAAGGATTGATACAGATTCACGATGCAGGTCCTTGAGCGTTGCGTGCGCAGACAGTGTTATGGTGGCCGGTAAGGATGTTTCGGATGGGGAGGAGATGTATGCTTCATCGATTTCGTCTTCTTTGGTAAGGCGGAAGATGTAGAATTTCGGGGGATGAAGCTCCACGGCAATGGTACTTTGATTGTATCCGCGGGCAATAGTATTCCTACGTAGAGATGTAGGAGGTTCGCCGTACCTATGTATATGACGTCGCGATATTGAATGCAAATTCGGTCGTAGACAAAATAGCGACACTCACCAGCTAACCAGCAAGCTCCAAGCTTCATTTGGAAAAAGCTCAAAGTCCACATCCTCCACCAGGCCAGGCTTGAGGTTCCCGAATTCGTCTATCAACGCGCTGGTGGAGGGAGATCCTAATTGGCTTTCTGATATTGTGGCTTCATTGGACTTGGGGTCTATTTCGCCCAAAGCCGCTCGCCACCGACAGCACCAGGCCCGATCGACGAGAAACCAAGTTTGATTCAGCGCGAGAGGCGTACGCTGAAGCTCGGCGATGCGCGTGAGTTTGTCAGCAGAACTGGGCCCAATGTGACCCTGCTCCTGCATGTAAGAGTCCATTTCGGAATCTTCGACCATGTTCTTCGCTTCACCTATCGAGAGAGGATCAATTTGAGGTCGGGGACTGCCGCGCTTTAAGGATTCTTCTGTAGCAGAATTTGCGGACGTGCTTCTTTGTCTTTTACGAGAAGAAATTGTTGTGGTAGAAGATGAAGATATGGATGATACAGAGGTCGGTGAATCTAAAACAGAAGGTAGATCCTGTATCGTCATCGAATGAAGAGGAAAGTTTGTGAAACAAAGTTAAATCAAAGTATTATTTGAACGCGTATGATGATGTGACTCTGTGACGTTACGAATTCAAGTATCGATTACGCACTTGGACTCAGCAGGCTATCATGAACATCAACGGATCCATCCGATCCGTTGGTCTCCGCAACTCGGTCTTCAGTCTTGCATTCCGACGATAATTTCCGCCCTCTCTTAATGATCATGTCCATCCAACTCTGCCTCCCTGAAATATACCCGAGCGAGGTTTCTTGATCTTCAACGACAACGTCCTAAAGGAATGTAGGCCCTAAATGCCATCTTCTATTTACTCTCTCTCTTCCTTTGTCTCCGGCAGTTGAAAGTAGCCGTATCTTTGTCAAAAACCTGTTCTTATCAACTGTCTTGCCACATCTTGCTCAATGTTCAACTCGATTAGGGACGTATCATCAGTGGTTTCATACTTTCCTTCAATTCCAAACAGCGAATGGTTCTCGCGGAGTGACTGCTTTACATAAAGGTATAGTAGACTAACGTCCTGATCTCTATTCGACACAGTCGGCAGCGCCGACAAACCATTGAGCAACTATTCCACTGATAGTCTGTGACTCCCAAGTTTCGACAAATGCACCGACATCGGCAGGTGTTTCGCCAGACACGGAGATGACGGACATAACGTCGTAAGTTCCATCATTATGGCGGACAAGAGGGGCGTTTTCGTCCTACAAATCCTCTCGTCGTCAAAAAGAATGGTTTTGAGAGTCTAAGTATCCCTACTTACCGTGAGGATATGGTTGGGATATTCCTCACCGACGGTGTGTCCAATCGCTATGCAATGTTGTCAAGATAAAATCAAAGGTGGTCATTGTAAAGCGTACCATAGTTAATATCTGTTTGAAGGTCGTCTGGACCAAGATCAGGAGTCGGGGTCATGATGAAATAGCAAGTGGTGCTATTGCTGTCCTGACGGCTGACGGGATTGGCAACTGCGAAAGTAGCACCAGTGGCAGCCCCAGCTACGAGAGCGACGAGAGTCTTTCCGAAAATCATCTTAGGTGTTCAAAGGATCGAAAGTCGAAACTGGATGGTGTACAAACATTCAGCGACTTGGTTTTATACGGCTCGGCAATCCCTACCCAGATCAATGCGTTGCCAAAGCCAAGAGACAACGGACATAAGTGACCGTGCTGTTAGATAGTATACCCCGGAACATGCACATTCTACATAAATCGTTACACAACTCGCACTATGTACATTGGCAAGGTCGATTGAATCCGCATTAAGTATTCCGGGAATGTCGTGCCTGATAATGACTAAAGGCTCTCACCATCAGGTGTGAGATCATCCATACGCAGGGCATCGAAGCCCTCACCGAGTTCCTCGAGGAGAGCGGAGCATTCACAAAGACAGGAAGACATTGCCCAACCCCTAAAGAACCAGAGTACTTCATTATGAATCTGGGAAGAACCCGACATCATGTTCCATGGTCTAGCAGAAGAAGATGTGACACCAGACTGGCAGGAGGAAATCATATTCGGATGACTCAGAAATTGAGAGATGAATCCAGTTATCCCCGGGCCGTTCCTTCTCTTTTCACCCACAACACCCGGGACGGCTGGTACACCACGGCTGCATGGGCATTGGTTCGCGGGTTGTGGGAGAAGCAACTTGCTAGCTGCCAAGTCCAACAGAAACCAGAACGGGCCACAGTGCGATTACAGCAGCAATAGCGACTGGGTTCTCTCTGGTGGCCTTTCTTCCATTTACTACGGGCAGAGTGCGGAAGCACATTAACTATTTGTTTCAACTATTTCAAGGCCACTATGGATTGTGTAGGTACCATCCCCAACATTCCACATGTACATACATGTACAGAAAAACACCGAGACCATTAGCTATATCATGGAATATCCCTCAAATCGAGGCATGGAATTGGGCGGTAGGCGATAACTGTGTTGATCATATATGGACCTGATAATGAAGAACAATGTGTTTGTTTTACTCATCGAAATACATCATCAAGTCTGTCTTATCCTACGACGGGCAGCATATCAGATACATCATCAGGGTCATCTCCTTCCTCAACTCCCTCTTCAACATTTTCTTCCTCTTCACTATCACTCTCCTCCTCACTTTCACTCTCATTGAAGGTTAGTGAAATATACTCATCACCCAACTGGGCATCGTTAGCTGCTACATGTTGCATTCGAGATTCACCTTGAGAGTCAGCCAGATCAACCAACCCAGAGACGACAGTAGAGGAAGAAGATCCATCAGAAGAAACAAAAGAGGAAGGAGGCTTCCTGTTGCGATTTGCGCGAATCACATGCGGAAGCTTGCATCCCTTAGTCGAGCAGCCGCCCTTCTCTGCGAAATCTGGACACTCCCTGACATGTTGCTTATCACAATCTAGTCCCTTACCGCAGTATCCAAGAACAGCGAAGTCGCGGCATACACCATGACGAGCGCCCACGTTTACATGCGGAAAAAGACAGTTTGGACGAGTACAACGACCTTTGTTGAGAAAGTGGAGGCACAGAGGGGTACGTTCTGGTGTAGGATCGTGGGAAAGATTGCAGGTATCAGCAGTATTGGGACAATTCTCTTGCAAAAAGTTCCAGCAAATGGCGATCTTTGAGGGGTCGTGCTGATATATGCAAGTAAGGCCGTGCGAGCAAGTACCTATAATCAAAACAAAAGCATGGTGCATTGAAAGGTGAATAAACGCCAGAGAAGGTGCACTCTGATTATTCCTTGTTCAACGACTGACGATAGCGCACCTGTTGTCGAGAACCGAGGGCATTGCTTGTCGGAGTATTTCATACGTTTGTTTGCTCGTCTCCCCCTGGGAAAAGTTGAATGAAAAGACATGTTCGTATCCAAGAAGCAGACAAACTGATAAGGTCTTCGACCGTTCGTAAGAGTCATGTTGCCACCCCGACGGCCGCGAGAGGATTTAGGTTTATACAGACGGTTACCGGCGCGAAGATGGCCAGATTTGCGGGCATACTGGGTTGGTGCTGGCGTTGATGAAGGCATTGGTGTAACGGGTTTGCTGAACGATGCTTTAGGGACTGGGCAGGAATTGATAGCTTCATTTGTGAGAGGTTAAGAGGTATGTACTAGCGCGACTTACGGTCTTTGCGTACTAAAGAGCGGCCAGAAGATTGGAAAGCGATGCCGTTTATAACTACTTCTTTGACTTCAGTTGTCGATGCTGGTGGCTGCGTCAAAGTATTTGAAGGGACTGTGGAGGTCGAGGGTCGGATATACTTGTTTGTGTGCTTGTAGTTGGGGTTGACATAGGCATTTGTTCTTGTTGGTCGGGTCGATGCCGATTTATGCATGTTGATGGAAGCTACAAAATAAAATTTGGCATAGGAGGAGTCTTACAATCGCCTATCTTACCCGTAAGTCTTGCGATTTCGCTTTTCAACTGTGCTTCATTTGAGGAAGAGGCCATCGTCGCCGTAGTGGTACGAAGAAAACTTAGATGTCATCAATGGACTACGTAAGCAGCGCTATACAGTCGGACAGCGGCATGTGGCGGCATTATAGGACGTCTTCCTCTACACGTCGTATTACACTAGCCATAACATTATCGACGTCAGTGAGACTCGTCTCTTTTCTAAAAACCTGCATGTACATTTCCCCTATCATCCCTCGTCGATCTCTTGTTTGGGCCACACTGCGAGCTATGTGCCAATGTTGTGGATTCTGACCCCTGGAGAATACCTCTTGTACATCATGTTGGCTAGAAGTAAATCTTGTCAGCAGGGGCCCATTGAACAACTTTGTCGATCTCCGTACCCTTGAAGCAACGCCTGAGCACTGAATAAATGTATCGAGTTCGAAGTGAACTTTTCGGAATCATCCTGAACAGAAAACGGTGCTCGCCCCGATGCGAATATATGTCGATCTTTAGGTTGAAGAATCTTCGTCAGCGACGGGATCGTCTCAATTGAGCTAGCGAATGCATAGACATGAACCCTCATTTGACGGCGAGGCAAGTCACCCAACTGACCTCTTCGAAGGTTCCTCGTCGAGAATAGTCCTCAGGGCTTCCAGAAGATCGTCGGCCGTCTTAGAAAGAGGTTCGAGCTCGGGTATAACCAAATTCGGGTCCTCGTCTAGGTTGATGAGAGCGAGCAAGAGGGGATGTTTCTAGGAACACTATGTGAGAAAAGACAAGGCAATGAAGAAGAAAAACCAACCGTAAGATAGTAGATCTTCCTCTCTCTGGTATTCGAAGAATGGGGATCTTCAGCGAGATGGACGATCGTGGACATGAATTCTTGCGGTAGGATTGAAGAAGGCGAGGGCGAATCTGATGGTGTAGAGGAATTGGGTATTATGTCTGATTCGATGTCGTCCAGTTCAGCTGTCGTGAAGTATTCTTTATCGACTACGTATTTCAACTCTGTAGCATCCAAATCATTTGTCATAACACCCTTTGAAGAAATAGCATCGTCCAAAGCACTCTGGTCTACAGCTCCATCTGGAGATCGAAGTATTTCTTCGCGCGCAGTATCCGGGTTGTCTATCGTGTCAGGCTCGGCTTCATCTTGTCCTCCCTTGGTTGGCTTCTTTCCGTTCTTTCCAAAGTTTAGCCAGCCCCATTTTCCAACATCCATATTCGGCATACCCATTCCCATGAAAGTCGAGCGGTGAGCATCGTCCGTTGGACTGTGTTCTTCACCTTCAACGGGGTGCAAATGAGAATCAGGAGGTCGTTTAGGTCGCATTGTGGCATCGTGTGTAGTAGAGGTAGAAGGTGAGGGAGTTAAATTCTCTGAAGCGGAAGGAACGAGGGAAAGTAGATGTTTGGAAAGTATTGCTGGTAAATGAGCTTCCGAAAAGCGAGTGGAAGGAATTGCGTGAGTCGAAGTCACAACTATTGAAATGATAGTATCGGGTATATCGTTTGAAAGGGTATCTAGTAATGGCAGCATGCGACGGTACATTGGATGTAATGGAGTTCCTAAAGCAAGACTCATTTAGATTAATGTAAGCGAGGTGCATGAAAAACACACCCAAGTGCTGGCCAAATTCGAGTCCATCCTCTATGTTCCAAGACCATGCCCATACAGTAAAAAATCTCTCTAATTGCAGTTCTAGAGCCTGTTGTCCGAGTGTAGATAGAATGGTGGTGAATGAACCGTGCGTCAACTGGAAGAATCTTAGTCCGATTGTTTGACAGAATATGCGGTTATTCACCGTACTTTGAATCGTTCATAGCCTCTCATGAGATCGTCTCGCAATGCTTGGTCGTTCACCGAAGCATCACTATAGTCATAAACTGTGATTGAGGGCTCCTTATTCTTCCCTTTTAGAATACTCGTGACACCCTTTTCCTTCCCTTTGGAATTGGTCTTAGGCATTGTTACTTTTGGAGTCTTTGCCAGTTCTACACCCTTTCTAATAAATTAATTGGTCTCTTTGGCGGCGAAATATTGTGCAGACATACCGCATGTATGCAGAAATCAGGTTCCGGGCAGACCATTATCATTCTGCGAGTTTGAGAGTGGACACTCTCGCACCCGTTTTCGGTATCGAACATCCTACAGATAGACATAAGTATGAGCGATCGTTCTTGCAGTGTAAGGTATTGTAAGAACCCGGAAAAGTTCACCAAAGCCTTAGCGAGCCCTACTTGTCGAAGCATACGGTCGCGCGAAACTGCCCGTTCTCGGGACGTATAGAACAGGATTTGAGCCTGCTCTTCCGCATCTTCGTCGTCGGGATTGGGAGTAATTGGTCGTAGTGTAGTGTTGTAAATAGTGAGGTATGAGAGATTTGGAGGTATTCTAGCAGCGTCCATGAGAAACGAAGTGGTAAGACTTCAAGCAGAAGGCCGAATGATTGCCGTGACCCCCGCCTGAGCTCTTCTCTTCCATCATCTGTCTTCACGAAGGTTCTCCGAAATGTATCTCAGTCCAGGGATCTTCCTTGTGACTTAACGATGAGGCCACAATGACCACTTTTGTGACGCTTGTAGTACCATCTGCTTGTATGCTGCATCCACAATGTCATCACAGGGACGTAGCTACGGCCTACTCTTATAAAGCGTCGTAAAAATTCCTCGATTACGCAAATCTAACAATGTCCCAAACTTTACTGCCACACGACCCCAACACCACAGTCTCAGGTGAACCGCTGACTCTTGGGGAAAAATCTTACGATGCAATTCAGCAAACTGCATTTTCTTTTAAACCCATTTCGAACATTAAGCAAGCTTTGTGTGCCATGCATCCATATGCTGCAGAGCCGAGTCGAGTTGTGCCAGCCTATCATTACTGTACGCATAACATCAGCTCGGACCTTCACCAATGCATTATATTTGACTCTAATGAGCCAAGTGCGCGATTGATTGGAGTTGAATATATCATCACGGAAAAAGTTTTCGAGACGCTTGACGATGAAGAGAAGAGGCTTTGGCATAGCCATAAGTATGAGATTGAGTCTGGTGAATTTTGGGTCCTTCATTCTCCGGATATCTTCTCCCTGACAGTTTGATTATATTAAAGGCATCTTAACTATGGTCGCAAAACAAGGGATTCCTGGCGGCGTTGACGATATGTTGGAAATACCAGCTCTCAAAGATCTGCACACCACTTACGGAAAAACTTGGCATCTGTGGCAAATAGATCAAGGACAGTAAGTAATAAAATTCGTGGCTGCCCGACATGGTTTGATCCCGCCATTAGCTCGCTTCCTTTAGGTCTTCCAAGCCTTATGAAGTCTTTCAACGGCCCTAGCGACGTTACTCCACAACTGATTAGAGAACACGAAGAAAGGACGGGTACCAATGTCAAAGATAAAGCAGAATATCGTGCCAAGCATCTGGACACCTCCTACAAAGTAATGGAGGGTGCTGATGCTAAAGGACCTGAGTTTCAGTTGATTTTCAAGTGAATCGGTCAATGTATATATGTGTTTTAAATGATGTTGAAATTGTCGAAGGTGGAAACTAAACTCAGTTCACTTCAGGTTCACTTAGACTACAGCAAGTCCATGTCAATCCGTGTATCAGCATCAATTCGATTAGATCATGTATTTTCTGCAAGAAAACTATGCTATGCTATCCTGTCCTAGGTTTCATATGGAGGCGGTAAGTTCTAGGGTCGGTAACTGCTACAGTGACTGCTAGGTTAGTAGTCTCTATCTTCTACTACTATCATGCCAGTAGAGTTTGAAAATTCTTCAAAAATCACTTCAGAAATGCCTTTATAATAGTCGTATTGTTCTCGGCTTTGGTACACTTATAGCATGACATATTAGGATGCCTTCCATCTACTTTTTACTACCAAGACTTGTTTTTATTGAGAGTAATAGAGATCCCGTCTCGCGCCTGGGGTGTTTGAAAAAATCAGTCACATCAAATGTCACCAATTTGCCGCTAAAATTGATGCAGGAGTTGCAGGAGAATGTCACAAAAAGTCACACATCTCCATCTTCAACCTCTTTAACCTTGAATACTGCTCCGGATAACTTCGGAAATGTGTTCTACTGAACTATGGAAGGCATATTCACACATGTATACACATTCCCAAGTAGTTTAAGCTATCTTGCTTATAAAATAAAGTGATTCTCAACAATTTTGCAAACCTGACAGTCAAAAGGGCTTATGCAAGGAGATCTCAACTGTTTTTCTCACAGAAAAAGCACAAACTAGGTATTTCAGGTATTCATAATGCAATCCCGAAGCATACATACAGTAATAAGAAAGGAGAAACACCTACAGGATATGTTTTCAAACTCCCCTGGCTTTTCAAAGCCGGCAGGCACGATAGGATAGGATAGGATAGGATATAAATTATACTGGCGAGGTCCGTTGCTCGAACAACCAGTTTACCATACTACTGTACATTTACATATGCGTCTATGTCTCCTGTACAGCTATGGAACACACACTCTTATTATGGGGGTCGTAATGTATGCTTGAAGTCATCCTGCCCTCCCTTGGCATTGACGATACACCCTTTCCCAATTCAGTAGTGCATGCTGAATTATGTTGAATAGACAATTTCTGTGGCATAAAATATTTCCAATACCTTGCAGTCGAGCACGTAGACCATCATTATCCGCCAAAGCTGCTTCAAGCTTGGTGGAGACGTCATCGAGCTTGGCCCACAACTTCCTATTCTCCTCCCGAAGAGTGTCGTTGGGTGAGTTGATGGTGGTGGTGACCTTTTTGAAGGCGTCAGCTATCGAGGTTTTTCGGTCCACCCTCACCTCTTCGCGTAGATCCGAAAGCCCTTTGGATATGAGAGATCCTATTCTCGTAAACTCCTTTGTGGCATATGTGCGTACCTCCATGACATCCTTTGGCTGGGGGAGAGTTTTCGAAAACCTTCATAAATCTCTATCTTGTCCTTAAGCGTACGAAATTCCTTGTCCAAGGTCCGCTTCCAATCTACACCGTCCTTTAGCAAATGGTTGTTGCCTTCAAGTGCCTTGATACGCGTCCTAATATCACGTAAGGAGACGCTGCAGGCACTTTCGGGGAACCTGATCCGTCAGAGATGACAGATTCGTCTACGTGGGCACCCAGTCCAGACACTTCCACATCTACACGCACTCTCAGCTCCCCAATTTCACCCCGAACCCTTTCTTCGTTCTTGCGTTGTATTTCTACCAGCTCTAATTGATGACCTCCCAGAGCAAGCGTGTTGCAGTTCAGAGCAGACGCCACGACAGCCGTCGACCTCTTCTTCCCAGTATTTGAACCTTCAATGCGTCAGCAATGGCAGCCTGATCATCCGGAAAACATTCTGACGAGGGTGGTGAGGGGTCGTCGTCGTCGGAAAGGATGGACAAGGATGAGTTGTCGTTGGTCTGCAAGCGAGTGGAGGATCGGCGGTTTGGCATAGGCTTCTTCTGAGGAGAGGTCACTTTCTCCTTTTCGATTGCCTTCTCTTTCCCTTTGAACTTCTCGGCCGTCGCATTTGCTTTAACCTTGTCTTTTGGTTTACTTTTCTCGGTGCTACCCTGTAGACTGTCCTTATCGCTTCTGTCATGTCCCTCGGGCTCCTCCAATGCGGTTTGGTGAGGAGATTTTGCCCGCGAATGGTCATTCGATGTACGATCTCCCAACGTCCAAGAGTTTGGGGATGATTGGTGTTCTGGTGAGGTTGCAGAGTTTTCAGAGTGACTGTTTTGCCTGAGCTCGGCTTTGCCCGTGGATGCAGACATATTAACAAAATCAAGAGAGAGTTCGGATTATAAATGGGGTGTTAAGTTTCAAGGACGCGTTTGCAAAAGCGAGCACATAGTTCGGTAGCAAGCAGAGTTTGTTTTGGTTTCGAATCCCACGCCGTAACAAGATTCAGTCTGGCACCCGAATTGCCTCGCAGTTTTACGTTCGAGCTCCAGCACGTACACTCCATGTACAGTTTCTTGAGCACTACTTTGTTTTGTTAAAAATCCAGATCCAAGTCCTTCGAGAACACCGTTGAGGGGGCAAGAATCCAAGCCCTCCCGGGCACCCAGATGATTCTTCGCGAGTAACCAAGCTCTTATGAGCACAAAAGTCCAAGCTCTTCCTGAGCACACAGTCCAAGCTCTTTGTGAGCACTATGATCCCTTCCTGTATGTCCAGTCACCAAGCTCTCCAAGCACTCAGTCACGCAAGTCGAGTCCTACTATTCAAGTCCAGGCTATGAGGCGCAGAATCCACCAAATCCGGGGGTGATCGATAATCACTCGTTGTCGAAGCATACTATTTTGCCGGTTGTTGTTGTTATTGACAAGGATGGTTTTACTCTAACACCAGTATCGAAACCCGATATCTCTGTGCACCAGTAGATGTTCTACCGTGAGAGAATCAAAGGATGATGATGGTTACAGAAAGAGTCGATCTCGATAGTATAGGTGTTGATATCCTGTACCAGTTCATCGAGCTCTGACGGTGGCTTGAATAACGCTTTATCCCATGACAACAGCTCTGTGATCATTGGGGCTACGATCGGGACTATCGTCCCCTTGACTATGATTGTCGCATTCGTTGCAGTTATATGGATTCAGCGACGATCTAAGAGTAGGAAATTGGAAGATTCGTCAGAGTCGGGGTTTCCCCACCAACCAGAACACCAGCTGCACTTTCCTCCGCAATCACCTACTTTACTGGTTCAAGAAATTCCAATGAAACCATCACTCCATTCGTTGCGATCCCTGAGCAACATACTCGTTCGAAAGGTAGCCCTACAAACCGTCCTGCACCGCAGAATACCAATAGCCCAGGCAGAAACTCCAGTTTTTGCGCTACCCCCGGCGAGCTCTGTCGGGGAAAAAAATGTTTGCTCCACTTTCTGTGAACACACCTATTTCTCCCGTTACTACACATGCAGACCATGATACTGTGGCAGAGCAAACTTTGAGCTCTCAGAGTCTGGTATCAATCTCGCTAGGATGTCCACCGGTCTACCTCCGCTCATTCAAAGACAGCAGCTACTAGAGGAGGAAGCTGGCCGGCTACGTCTCCAGATCATGAGCATGGTCAATTCTGCTTTGCCTCGTTCCGATCAAGGTCCCACGGCGCAGAATTTTCAGAGTGAGAATCACCAAATGGCTGCTGAAATGGAGAGGATGAGGACGCAAGTAGAAACGCTGGAACAGGACCGGGACCCGTCGTGGGCACGAGGATTATCAGACGAACCCCGAGCTATATCGCCTCAATAGGGAGATGACACATCGACATATACCAGGAGTAGCATACACAGAGAGTGCATTACTATAAGTTCAAATGTAATCCACACATAGTTTCAAACGGATGTTTACGACGAAAAAATTCACAACGTCCAGGAAGCCTCTTCATCGAATGAATCAGTCATATTTGTTATCGTCTCTAAACTTTTACTCCACTCCACAACTTTAGGATGTGCTTGGACCTGAGGATTTTGTTTCAGAGATCGAGTAACGTTTCGACTGTAGGATGGAATAAACCTTTGATGGATTGAAATTCAGTACTTGAAGCCCGTCAAGGGAAGTGGCGCGAGACAGTGCAACATATGCTTGACCTGAGCAACAAAATCATTTATGAGGACAGCGTAGTCAAGGGATTGAGCAGCATAATAACCTTTTTCAAATACCTTGCCCAGATCAACTTTCACTCTGTCGAGTGTTTGTCCTTGTGACTTGTGTATCGACATCGCCCAGGCAAGAATCAACGGCAACTGGGATGAAATTTACAGATGTCATCGAATGTGTCAGTCGCAGTCAAGTAAATCAGGCTGACCTGAGATCGGGCAGCCTGTATTTCACCATTGGGAAGCTCCACTTTGAAGCTTTCGGGAATGACCAGCATCTCTTTGTGAGATCCGTTCGGCATAACGAATTCTACAACCGGTAATAGTTGAGGTACTTTAGCAGTAGGAGCTGGTTTAGACGAAGATGAGACAGGCTTCGAGTTAGAAGCAGTTCGCGAGGGATCTTCGTGGTCTCCGTAAGTAGCTGGATCACAAAATCGAACAACACGACCCATTGAGCCATTGACCAGATTCTCGTCAATGTTCTTGATTAACATAACCTGGGGTTACCAATCATAAGCATCGCCGAAGTAATCAGAGCCTCGAATGCTTACCTGGGCTTTAACTCGAAGAACTAGGGTTGGGGGAGCCATGAAATTACTCAGTAGCTTCTCCCGTTGAGGCCCATCCACCGCACCACTGTCGATTGCAGTATACGTACGAGATTCTTCTGACAACCGATTGAGACGTGTGCTGTTAGAACGGTCGACATCCTCGCGGCGTGGAAACCTGGGAAAGCTATCTGAGGCCTTCAGAATAGATTTGAAGCGAAACACTCACAACTCAGTGGGGCCAAGGCCATCATCGTACGCGATATCTCGAGAAAGTGAGCGAAACTTTGCAATAGATTGCGCCGTCAATACTCCGAATCTCATTTCGTTCAACATGTTGACAAAGGCTGGATATTTACAGGCCCGATTAGCCTAGCCATACGCCTGTGATATTACAACAAACCTGGATCTTTCTGTCGGAAGACTTGTGTCAAATTGAACGTTCGTTGAATTGATTTGGACCAGTATGCGGCTTCGAAGGCAAATTTCACAGAACCGGACTTGGTCACTGGAGGGAGTTGGAAAAAGTCTCCAGTAACTACGATCTGTATTGTCAGATTCATGAGTTGGTAGCCGTAACGTAAGCGAAAGGAAACTCGTCCGCACCTGTATGCCTCCGAAAGGGAGAGGACTTTTCCTAATGATAGAACCTACCTCTGCGAGTTTGTCGAATAGGTCACCATCAACCATGGAGACTGTGGGGATGATTTGCTACTTACGCAATGAGTAAGGGCTGAATTATCTCACCTTCATCAATGATAAGTACTTTCGTCCTAGTCCATCTAGCGAATGCTTTCTTATTTTTGCGAGCTTTCCCAGCCAATTCTTTGGCATTTTCGATCCCTAAACCGAATCCAGCAAACGAGTGGACCGTGACACCGCCGATATTGCAAGCCGCAATTCCTAGACATGTCGATGAGAATAAATGTAGGGAAGGAAGCTTGAAGGCAGAATCACCTGTAGAAGCGGTGATGGCGACCGCGTCTAATGATTTGTGCTTTTTCTTCATGGTCTTTATAATTTCACGTAAGAGGACAGACTTTCCAGTCCCTATTCATTGTTGAGGTCAGTCACATTGCGCATATAATGAGGCAGGATGTGCTTACCTGCACTCCCCGTATAGAATACACTCGTTCCTTCCTCTACTAATCGGAGAATTTGACTCTGTTCTGGACTGAGAAATACTCCAGCCGGTCGTTTAATAGCCACTGGACTACTTGTGCTCGGCAAATTCCTGATTTGAGGCCTGATTGTCGACGATCTAGACGTTGTCACCTTCTCGAGGGCTTCTTCAGACCAGGACGGCGGAAGTTGGCGCTTCTTCTTGGACGGAGGCACATTACTGTCGTCTTCGAATAACAGCGCTGGATCCGAAGGCCTCTTGTTGAAAGTGCGGGACTCAACAAGAGGCTGAGAGGCTTTGAACGCAGTAGCAACAGTAGTATTTCCGCCTAGTGCCTCCTCGATAGCTTTCATTCGAAGCTGCATTCCGGTTAACTTGGGTGGTGCGCGTGGAGGTGACGCGGGCCCATCGATGTCAATCGGTTCATTCCGAGAAGAGCCCTGCGTGGAAGCGCGAGCAACATTGTGCGAGAAGTCTCTTTTGAATGTTCCCAGTCCTGACTGCGATTGAGACTTTTGAAACATTGTATGCAAGCAAAATACAAGAAGGCTAGAACGCAGGAGAGACGCAGTTGAAAGTCCGGCGTGGGAACCATATTGGATCGTGACCACGAGCTGGTGTCTCGTGCGTACGTGACGCAACGCGTTTTTCTCATGCTGGGCTAGGCAGCCACTCAATTTTTTTTTGCTTTCAAGCCCTTCCCACCACGCTGTATACTTAATCAGACCGACCGTGGCTCGAAGAACTTAGGGCGTCTTCATCGAATCCATTTAATCAACGAGAAATTATATTAATTGATCATAGACACTACTGTTTAACGAGCAGCTCTATGCAATGCTCACCGACTAAGAATTGAAATTCATTAAGCCAACCATATTCAACGTGAAGATATGCAATAAATTTTACCTTTGCATATAACGACTCTACTACCTTACTAACTTGACCTAGAGTGTTGATCGCACTGTCGTACATTTCCTATACATAAAAATCATGTAGTCAGAAAAGTCGGTCGGCATTATGGGAAGGAATGACCAACATCAGCTTTTGGTTCATCAAATACAAGAAGACACCCTCGTCCTTGATCAAGAACACCATAAAAGACCTTGTCAAGAATCATTTGCGAAAGTCTGTAAATGAACCAAAGTTTTCGTCGATAGCTCGAAACAGAAATCAGTCTATAACTCACTTTGTCTCAACGCTCTGCCTGCCTTGGCCAACACATTCTGCAATGTATTCAAGTTCCACGACAGAATAAGGCTCTACAATCCTCAGCAGATTCTGCTGAAGAAGGGCATCGTACAGATCCGAAAGATGTGAGCGGATGGTGGGATCCGAAGAAAGTTCTTATGAATAATTGTTAACGAGACGAAAGGGGGTATAATAGAAATGCGTACCATCTTTATAATCTTTCAGAGCCTTCTCGAAATCAGCCAAATTCCGTGCTTGATGTGCTTTCGCAACAGATCTCATACTTTCTACCTCTCTTAGCTGAGCGTACTTGACGGCCAGTTTGATAGATAGTAACGAAGTAACGTCTTCCGGCTGGAAACAGAGGTAAATCTATGATGACAGAAGACTACAATGCATTGCTCACGAGGTTCAACATAATTTTGCACAACATCATGTATTTCAAAGCACTCAAGGCTTTGCCATCATCTTCTCCTTGCGTTGAGAGACTCTCAAAGGCTTCATAGAAGTAAGAATAGGCAGTTGTATAGTCTTTGTCTTCGGCGTGCAGAATACCTGTCGTACATTTGAGTGCCAATACTAGAAGGCAATATGGAACGGTACGAACCAGATTGCAGATCGAGGGAAGACTGGAGAGCGGGTGGACAATATATCGAGTTGGCAGCTGTCCTCGCAGATGTAAGAGCAGCCTGAAATCGCGTTAGGCCAAGACAAAAGGTGAAGAACGAAAGCGATTTGCCTTTGCTTTCGCCATGTTACCAATCCCTCGGTACACTCGACTTTCTAGTAAATGAACCTCGGTCAAGATCATCTTGTCGTCTAACCTTCGTAGTTCGGTCAGCAGTGTGTCAATTAAAGCCAGTGCGGGCTTGTATTCGTGGGTTTCAAGTTGGCTGGACACCGAATAAGCACGAATAACGAAGAAACGAAGTAGACGGACGTACAGACCAGCCAATCTTGTCTCTAAGCTCTGCTTCAAGAATATCCGCTTTTCACGTTTAGCCCATTCAATATTATCTTGAAGCACCGTCATTTGTATTTTCTGGCTATTCGGAATTGCGTTGAAGTAATCCAAGAGGGTACGAACTAGTCCCGTAGATGAATTTGCGATATCAGATAGGATGCGAAATACCAACTCAGTTTCGCGGTCTTGGCCTTGGCCGTAGACGACATGAATGATCGCGACAGGGTGATAACTTCCGCTACACCTGCAGCATTGCTTCAAAGCGCCTCAATATGTGGCAGTCTCATAGCATATGTCGAGATCAACATACTTCTGATCTCTATAGAGTTGACCCAAGTTCACCAACGCTGTTTCTTGGTCCCGAAGAGTCTGCGTCTGTTGACTGTTCTCGTGCGTTGACGGTTTGGTCGATGAGAGGATTTGTTTGTAAAGAGATTCCGAGCGTTTTGAGTCGCTTTTTGATGCAGAAACAGCTTCAGCAAGAAGCTCGGCTGATGTAGACATTATGAATGAGGTGTAAGATGTAAATGGATATTTAAGCTGGAGGGACACGCGTCGCGCCGTGGGATATTTACTGACAGCGGCGCTAAAAAAATCCTCTTTCTGCGCTGCACCAAAATGACTACTAGACTTCGACATCGTCCAACGGGAGAGGAAGAAGATGCTGCTGCCCTCAAACTGGGCCCAGGTGCTACTAAGCCTTGATTCGTGCACTAGCGTCTCTTTTCTTACTTGCTTCAAGAGTTCAATAATGCCGGTTGTCTGTTGATTTCTGAGGTCAAATACTTGCTTGAGAATCGAGATAAAGATGCACCGGATACTGCGTACGTTGTGAACTTCTCTTCTCATAGTAAGTCGCAGCTCATTGCTTCGTAGTGTATATAACAAAACGCTGGAATATGTCAAAACTTTCACCAAATTTAGCACTACAGACTCTGCGAGCGCAGTCCGAGAGTATGCAATTGGCCCTAATGCGTCCAATATCAGTAATACAAGCTGAATGGACCATAGGACTTTAAGAAGAGAACCTGCTCTCACGCAATTCGAGACAGCTCAGATTGCCAACCTCTGTCCCGCTGATGCGGAAGAAGCTAAAAGTGTTGTCCCAAGGTTTGTCATGTGTTATTCTCTATATGAGCACCAATAATCTTCAATACACCAGTTTGGTTAAAATAGATGACGACAGATTGCAAGCATTGCTCGATGAGATTCAGACAATGCGGAAATTTCAGACATAGACCTATTTTTATAATGTTTTTTTTGTGTATTCAGAAAGCATGTATTTTACCCCTCCGCCTCCTCCAACTGCTGCTTGGTCAAAGACTCTTCTGCATCCTCATTTGCTTCATCGGTCAACTCCTCCACCTGCACCTTCTCACTGTCATCCTCAGCAAAGCTAGTGAGGTTGAACACTTTTCTTTCCCTAAAAGGATCTTGCCTCCGTTCCCCTTTCTTAATGATAGCCTCTGGAGGAATAATGCCTTTCGGATTGAGATAGAGGAAATCGTTGCCTTTGTAAGAATCAATAGAACGGATCCAGCCGTCGAACCTTTTTCAGTATCAGTGAGAGCACTGAATCCGCTAAAGTATAAGACGTACAATCCCTTTCTGTCTTCAATACTTCTCATATTATCATATATGTACTGCTGCTTGAACGAATTCATCTCTTCCGAGTAATTCTCAAAATCAATCGGTTCCCTATAGTCAGGATCTGAAGGGGCCAACTTCTTGGCTATCCTCGTATTATACCCAGTGAAGACCGGATACTCCAATAGTAGACCCAATGCGGGCATTTTCGGTATATGGACCCTCGTCAATTCGAAGAGCTAAGTAGATTCTTTATAAGTAATGACGTAGCAACTTTCAGCAAAACGGGTACCTCATCGAAAAGGCTGTTAGGTGTCCCGGTGCGACAAATCATCACCAATGCGAACATCATTTTGCGCTTGACGTTAGCTCAGCGTGTGCGGTAACATTTATAGAACACAAGGAAATCGTACTATCTGGCGCAAAAAATCACTTAGCTTGAAAGCAGATGTTCCATGGAAGATCTTACCTGATGCAACATAAAACTTTGTCCATCCAAAGACACAGCGATCCATTCGGTTTCGCCATAAACAGCTGGCTCTGCAACCTTGGCCCGTATTATTTGTATGTGATTCCACTTATGAGTAAAGACATACCTGTAACTTCTTCATGAACCTATTATTCGTTTTATCTTTGGGATCTTGGGCGACGGTGAAGTTATGGAAATTATGGGTTTTTTCAAACTTTTGAATGATAGTCCGTAAGCGTTCAAGGTGAGCTGGTGTTGCTCTCCATGCTCGCTTGCGTATCATATCTTCTTGCCAAGTAGATGTTGAGGGGTCGATGGTACTCCAGAACGGATCATTATTCCAGGGTATCTCACATCCTTGTGAGGTTGCATGCTTCCGTAAAACACGATCTAGATGCGAGCCAGGCTTCGGGGGTATCAACAGATACGACGGGAAAAAATAGGTATATTTGCGAGCGTCACAAAGCCTACGATGAGAAAAATCAGTACAAGGGTCATTGCCTTCAATACAATGCTTACAATCGGGCATTGAAAGATCTTTGTACGCGTTGCTAAAGGCTCAGATGAGAAGGTGGTTGAGAGACGACTGTGAGGACTTACAAATCCCCACAGGCGGATATCTGGAGGTAGCAATGTGTTGATACGGGCACACAAATTATCTACGCCCGGTACGGACATGATCATTTTCAAAGATACGATATTGCCTACTGCGTGTACACCCGCATCTGTACGCGCAGCCCTAGCAAGGCCCACCTGAATGAAGATAGAGTTTATGAAAACCATCAATTGGGCGACGAGACGAGACGAGGCGCACTTTGACGGGATCCTCAGAATTGTCTTTGGATACCGCTCCAGCTGTTACTAAGGCTTTGAACAGTTCTCCTTCTATTGTCCGTTGTTCAGGTAGACCAGGTTGTGTCTTCTGACTGCATAACAAGTTCAGATGTGAACCCCAAAGATTCAACGCAACGCACAATTGCATTCCACTGTATTTAGACCCACAAAATCCAATCATCAGCGCACATTCGCGTTTAGGAAGGCGAGGCTCCTTGGATGCGTCTGGATTTCGCGCCTGCCATTCGTCCCTAGACGCCTCGTCTCTTCTCCGGCGACCTCGAAGGTTTTTGTCCTTGCTCTTTTTCGGCTTGTTTGGGCTGTCGCAGCTGGTATCATGGTCCAATGGTTGCTCCGCAACATTTGCGGTTCCCGTAGGACTCAAATCGGTTTTGAATTCTTTCGGTATATGTGTATTACCTTCGCCTGAGCACAGTCAACAGAGCCCTAGTCATAGATCAGGAAAAGCGCCCGGCCCACCTTCAAGATCCAGCCTCGGGCGTTTGGAGGACGGACCGCTGAGCGATTCAGCTTCAGCAGGAAGCTTTCGATCCATGAAAGATGCGTTGCAAGTGCTGGAGAAGTAGGTCTCGCGGATTATCGAAGTCAACCGAGAAATTTTTGTGTTTCGGCGAAGGACAGTTGATATCAGGTTCAACATCAAAATAAGCGCCCATGTTCAGCCAATGCATTGTCCGACAGCAGTACAGTACCCAGAGTAAACAGAAGATACATTATGTGCAGTTAAATGAAGACCCCAAAGCCCAAAGCTAGATGTAAATCTATGAAGAGGAGAATTTAAGCGTCCTTGGTTGCCCAGATTTTGACAACTTCTTCTTCGCATGCAGTGTATGAAGCAACTAGACCGTCGTATTGAATTGCAACCTCTTCCCGAGGTTCTGCCACACACTTCATTCCAGTGGATTCGCCCTCCATCATTGCGTTCATCTCTTCAAACGTCCCCTTGCTATTCCCGTTCTGCTTCCACCAAGCGTACTTAGCCAACAACGCTCCACCCATGCCTGCAGCTTCCTTCGTCGTACTGACATACACCTTCATGTTGAACAGGTCAGCAGCAAGTTGACGAATGGTGTGATTTGCTGACGATCCCCCGGTCACAACAAGCCTTTGAAGAGGGGGAGAATCGGGAGGTAAGATGGCTGCAATTCGAGAACGGATGGATAGGAACTGGGACTCCAAGATCATCCTAGGTTGAAAAGCCTGGGGAACTTCTTCTTCTGTGACTTGTACCGGAGGTACAGATCTACCATTGCGGAAGAAAAATTCGCCTTTCACGCCAGGGGGGATGATTTCAGGAAGCGGAAAGTAAAGACCCATGTAACCATCACAACCAGGGTTTCCGCTATCAACCAGTGTATTATAGTTGGACCAGTCAGAGTCAGCATATTTATCTCGGACTTGTTCTCGGGCTAAAGCTCCATTTTTGTAGCAAAGCATAGCGATCTGTGCATCAGGAGCAGTCGTAGGATGTGAAAGCAGATGTGATGTTGTGAAACGCTTCGGAGGAATGTCAGCGGGAGGAATAGAAAGGAGGAACGTGGTCGAAGTTCCCAGAGAGAGGAGAGCATCTCCAGGAAATGATAACGCAACGACGGTGGCCGGATTATCACCGGTAAAGGGTGCGATTAAACAATCTAAGAACGATACACCAAGATCACTACCGAGATCATGGTAATTGAAGAATAACCTACTTGGATTGAATCCCCATCGATTGGTCCAAAAAGAGCTTATATTTCCCAAACAAGTACCGCCTGATACAGGTTCCTTGATACAACAATCAGTCCAGACATATTTTACAATGACAGAAGACACGTACAGGACCCAACTTGGAACGAAGTTCCGGCCCCCCACAGATGTCCAAAAGTATGTCGTCCCATTTGCAGGTCAGTACGTTCATTAAATTCATACCACTGGCATCAGATATTTCAATTGGCGCGATGCGACCAAGAAACACTGAAGGCATGAATGATGATACCAGAGAAATCCGTGATGTTGCTTTGTAGGCTTCAGCGTTTACTCTGCGGATCTGCAAGGAAGAGAAAAAATATTAACCAGAGAAGACCCGGAGACGGAACTAACCTACCCGAGCGATCTGAGTCCCGGTGAATCGCTCATAGGCGCGACTGCCAGTAATGTCAGCAAGAATCTGAGGACCGCCGACAGCTTCTTCTATTTCTCTGCACTCCCTGGTTGTAGAGGAATCTTGCCAGATGGGCGCACGAGGTAGTGAGAAAGCTTTGGGTGATAATTGTGAAGTTAATGTCTGCGACGGATCCAGAGATGCTAAAGCGTCCTCTGCATCATATGACCAGAAAACGGAGCCATGTTGCTGAAGATTTGTTAGAAGGCAAACGCTTTACAGAAACGCATTCGTATACCTGTCCTGCACCAGAAATGGCAGCAATTGAACCAAAATCGACGCCTGCTTGCTTCATTCTCTCCGCCAAAAGTTCAAAAGCATCGAGCCACATAGCCACAGGAGAGGTTACCTCCCCTTCAGCCGGACCTTTGAGAGCACCGTTTTCTGTCTCGTAGCTGGGCAGGTCTTGATCAAAACGAACAGAGGACTCATGTAAGATGGAATGATCTTCTCTGACAAGAACTGCTTTAAGCTGTTGAGTAGAAAGGTCGAGACCGAGAAAAAGTGGTTGCATTTTCGATGCCTGGGTGGAGGTGGTAGTGTTGGGAGATAAGAGAATTTTCAACTTCGTTTTATTGACGGTCCGCGGACCGCTGTTCGTGAACTTGTAATGTCTCTGTTAACGGGCGGGGAAATCGCGGAGCTCTGGATCGTTCCGGGGTTGCTCTGGATCTAAACTAAGTGCATCGCAGTTCCGACAATCCTTCCGTGACACTGAAAAGAGGAGCTTCCAAGCGCTGTCGAGGACAAAAATAGAGAGATATAACTAGCACTTCGTACTTGTTGGATTATATACCAAGTTGGGTCGAAGTCCAATATTGAAGGGGAAGGGGGAAGGGGAAGGGGGGATAGAGTTATACATACATACGTAGAGGCTCGTAGAGGATTGCGGAAGAATGCGGGAACAGAGTCAAGCAGGGTCAAGCAAAATGCGGATCAGGCACCTAAGTGCGCAACGCAGCTGTTCATCATTGTTTGTCTTCCAATACATTTCTGGGCCCAGGCTCAAAAGACTAGTACTTTTGCGGTTTTCTCTTGCGGGGAAAATGTATTATCGGACAAGTAAATAAACACAAAGAGAAAAGAGGCCTATTTTACCGACTGGAATGGGCAGTGCTCGAGTCGATGTGTAGGCACACTTTGAAACTATTTCGTTTAAAGGTTCCACAGCTCACCCTAGGTCCTGCACCCACTGAGCACTCGCGGTGCACCCCCCTATACACGCCGAATTTTTCATCTCCAATCCGAGTAAGTACATTAGCCACCATTGAGCAAGGTGCGGTCTACAACAGCGGAGTTTCTTCTCCATTATTTTCCCCTAAGCCAGATCTTCTCTTTCATTACATCGTCGTGGAGCTAATGACGAGCTGAAGGAGGCTGAAGGGTACGCTAGGGGATGACATCCGATGCTGCGCTGTTCTTGTTACGTGACTGACACTCTAATGAGCTCGTCGACCATTTGTAAGTTGCTCCCCTGGGTTGCTGGAGGTTGCTGGGCCAAATATCTCATCGAATTTTATTTTTTGGAGTGGAAAGTCCAAAGAAAGAAATGACTCTCTTGTTTATCAGGTACATACATGAAAGTACATAAGTACACTCAACAAGAAATTGCACTACAACTTATATGAACAAAAACACTTATGTTCATTCTATCGTAGATATTTCATAACAAGAACATATTTACTGAAGTAATGTAGAGGAGGATGAAACAATGGAAGATTATCGACAGCAGAAGTGCTCAAAGTGATGCGATAAGAAGCACGACAAACGATGAAGCCAACTTTCCACAAATTATGTCGATCTTGCCTCAGGAAGGGACATTTCAGAGTTGCTTCGTGTGTGATTGGTATGAAACGGTCCATCCACCAGAGAAAGACCTCTAATCTGGTCGTTCAGACGAACGTCGCTGTTTTTCTCCCCCTGAACCTGCATGGTATTAGATCGCTTTGATATCTTCGGGTTATAGAGCTCAGCTGTTCTCGGAGGCGGTCGCTGGAAGCCGTCCTCAGCACGGAAACCATTTGCCTCGCTATTGGTGAAAGGAATATTGGGAGCATTGGGGTGATGGACGAGAGCATTTCCTGAACTTGTAACTCCGAGCGCGGGAGTCGTCATGACCGATCTTGATGGATTCGTCCAAACGCCTCCTGCAGTCGGTCGCTTTTCTGGTGTGGCCATAGCAGTCAAAGGGGGGAAATCTTGTGACTGAAGCGATATCAATGGCTGTGTCTGTTGAGGGCGTCTATGAGAATTGTTCGAGTGCCCTGTACCATTCGGGACGCGAGGAGGAGATACCGGGGAGTTACGGGAGCTGTTATCGTGGTGACGACTTGAATTAGTGGAGTGAAGAGTCGGGTCAGGTTTAAGACCAACCGCCCAGTCAGGTCGAGGTGGGAGAGGATGTTGAGAAGATGCTGTTGAGGTGTACGTCCTTCTGGAAGACGATGAGGTTGAAGATGACTGGTAAAGAAACGAGATCAGCGACGGTTGTAGGAGATGAGAAGGGGTCAAACTGACAGCGATAGAGGAGGCTTCGTCACTGTTCGAGGATCGATAGGCTCCTGAGGAACTCCCGTTGCTTGTGTTCGACTGTCTACGCATCGAATGCAAACGTGGTCCAGTAGTTTCGCCACTACCGTTGCTGTTTGAGCCGGCCATGGTGACCATTGTTCCGCCCATGCTAATCCCAGGACCGTAGCTCCATGCTGGACGAGATAATGGGGTAGTCTGCGGTTTTGTATGACCATTCGACGCGCGATGGTTCAAAGACTTATTATTAGATCCGGGCACCCCATCGTGCGCCGACCCATTGTTAGTTGTAGGAGGAATCATTGCTGGAAACGAAGCACCCATATTGCGCCCATCATAAAGCTGTCCATCTGGATGAGACTGAAATGTAATTGACAAGTCGCTCGGGGGCGTATAGTAGCCAGGCATTGGATATCCATATCCAGGCGGATGTTGCATAAACGGTGGCGGTGCAAAGGGATGAGGAGGAGGAGGACCGCCAGTAGCGTTCTGTGGCTGTAAGGGGGGAGCAGAATGTAATGGAGGCATATTTCGAGCTTGCCACATGTATTGATTGTACATCATTGGAAGAGGGGGTGGATATACTTCACCTGTCAATGGAGGATCGGAGGGATTGCGCGACGGAGGCGGTGGACCGTACGGATAATAGTATGGATATGGTTGTATGGGAAAAGAAGGACTCGGGTGCGCGGGAGCAGGGGCAGAATAAGGATACCCGAATGGTGCTGATGGGTATTGTTGACTGGCAGAATTAGGATCAAACGACCCGGATGAGGCAGGTTCGTATAATGAAGCATAGGTGAATGCGGGAGAAGGGGCACGAGAGTTGCGTGAGCTTCCAGATCCGCTGGATGTGAATGGCTGCGCTGAAGATCGTAACGGCCGGGAGCCAGATGACTTGATAGAGGAATTGCCTCTTCTATTGGAAGAAGGGCTCGAACGTTCACTCTCTGTGGCTAAGGAGTTTACTGAGTCCTCCCCATCTCCTAGACTACTTCCCCCTGCTGAGCTTGACGCGACGCTGATAGAGGACGAGCTAGCACTCATATCTGTGTCTCTCCCCTTTTCGTTAAAGATACGCGAGCGAGCTTCATTGTAAGCCGCTTCACGTTCCTCCATCGTCATTCGCTTCTTAGAGCTGCCACCGGTAACACTGCTGCGTCCACCAACACTGCCGGCTTCAGAAGGCTCGATATCAGACGAGTCAGCATCTTCACCGGTGACCGAGCCTGTGTGAGATTGAGGTTTGACGCGACGATCATGAGGAGACCTCTGCATAATTTTGAATGCAGGTTGTGGAGTCGGCTCAGGAGGAACGAGGTCTGCCAGTCTTCGGAGAGGTCTACAGAAATGATTGAATAACACGTCGGTACTAAGTAGCAGCCACGACTCACATTCGACTTTCTGCAATCAAGAGCGCAGAGATTGATTTCGTGAGAGGATCTACATCTACTTGAAGCTTGTAGTAGGCAGTGCAACGATGCAGGAGGAGCCGCTGGTAAGAGGAAGCTGCGGTCAGGTCAGCGCGAACCCTATGAAATGAAAATTAGTCTAAAAAGAAGGTATCTGAATTGAATCTGCGCACTTTTTCTCGTTGATAAGGTCCTCCATAATCTCCCCCAATCTCAGGACATAAATTCTGTCCTTGCTCCGTAGAGCCTCCAATATTTGAGGGTCTACGTCAGGTATCTGACTGTCAGAAAAGCTCATGGAGTTGGGAAGATCCCCTGGTGCATCTTCGGCAGAGATAAAGGGAGACACAAAGGGAATCCCATCGATGGATGGAGATGGAGAATCGGAAAAAGTGTCTTCCGAGGGAACAAGAAAGCTGGTAGTACTGGAACTAGCGGTGATACTGGTAGAGACAAGGCTGAAGTCGGACATTTCAATGATAGAGGGTGATGAGGCTCTAGAGTTTGCCGAAGACGATGTAGACGACTCTGAGAGTGCAGGATTGCTTGTATGGTCTGGGGCGAGAGGGAAAAGCAGCGATCGTCACGCAGCCTTTCAGTGATCTGGAGAGCTCGTCGTGCAGTGAGGTGCTACTCACCAGACGGCATAGCAAGCAAATATCATAGGAAAGGAAAAAGGCTTCGGGCTATTCGACTTGTACAGTCGTTTTCAAAGGAGAGAATCACTGACAATGTTCAGTGAGGCTCGATTTGTGGGAACTTCTCATGTAAGCATAATGATCTCAAGGTCCCTACACTACTTTTACATATGTAGAGTGCCATATGTTATGATCGAATACAGCTTTCAGTGAGCAGGATCGCCGGACGTAGAAGGCTGAACTACTTGATAGATGTTGAATCCCAGGCTCGAATTGGCGTTAGTTCAGTCTTCAGGGTGATAGCTCATAACAGTCTCACCAAAACACAAAAATGAACGCGCCGTATACGGCCAGCGCAAGAGCGGCACGATTCAGTGTCCTCGAGCTCTCATCTCCACGGCTCAACTATATCCACAAAGAGATTAGTCAATACCAAAATATCAACTTCGGGCGTACCTTCCAGTACATCAGCCCCGGAAGAATAAAAGAGAGCGTAGTTGATCCCGTTGAGCCAACGAATGAAAGCACTAGATATCCTCATTCAGAGGGAGTCATGTATTTGGAGCTTGTTTCCTCACCTATTTTGAGATCATCTACGAGGTAGGCAATGGTGAAAGTACTGGCTATGATGGCCAAAGTCAAGATGGTGTGCTTGGTATTTGACATATCATCACTGCCGTGGTCGTCTATGTCAACCTCGGACCCCTCGCTAACCACTTGTTTCACAGATTCTCCGGCATGGAACACTTTGTCTAAGCAATTCCGGCAAGGATGAACTTGCAAAGGATAGGAAAACAGAACAAGTATAACAATTGCCAACTGTCCGATGGCAACGAAAAGCGACGTAGAAGGATACATCGCAATGATATTGGCGCCAACCTGAACGACTTATTATTGCCTCGAAAGAGATAAAGTTTGGACAACGCTTACATTAGTTCCAAAAGTAAGATATCCAAAGACAGCGATGATTTCGTACGTCAAAGTCGCTGAACCAATGGCGGAGCCTATGATGATATTCATTCGAGGTTGTGTGTTGCTCTTCACTTCATTGTAAATAGGGAAGAGCTGTATACAAATGTATTAGCGGAAGGCGCCAGTTAGATTCAACCCATTCCTCACATTCTGGGCACAGGTAAAAGCAAAAACCTGCACCGGGAACGTCGACAAGAAATTGGACGTGAAGTGGACCAAACGAATCTCGCCTGCAGGTGGCATATCCTTCAGAGGCCAGAAATAACACTTGATGACGATGATGACAAGATACACTACATAAGATAGAACAACGATGAGCAAAAGACGATAATGTAGATAATTTAAACACAACTCACCTACTGAAAACAATGCTATATAGCTGGTGTGCCTCAAGCTGTTCAGTCGACGGAGGAATGCCAAGGGTATAAGGATGATCATGAATATAGCAAGCCAGTTTCTTCCATTTTGCGACCATGCAGGAGGTTCGGCGTCACTTAGATCGTGATACAGAGACGAAACGACATTCGGTGTAAGGCCCTTGATTATAATCAAGTAACTGCGAGTCCAACACCGTGAGTCGAACAGATGAGAGTAGTAGTATTGGATGGACACACCTAATGGATACCCCAAAACATTTGATGGCAATAGCAGCATCGAAAAACACCGCAGCTTTCGGAAAGGTTATTTCCGCAACGGCAAAGAAGGAAGAGCGTCTGTGTGGAGCTTTCGCTGCACATAGAGAAAGAAGATACAATCCGAAAGCTGCTATGCCGCCGGAGAGGACACAAGTGATCATTCCCGGAAGAATTCCCGCTGAAGCTAAAGCCTGTGACAGTGTATCAGTACTCGTACAAGTGGGGAGGCTCGGACGATATTCCAGATACGCACGAGGGGGAAGGTCAACATTCCTATATCAATCACGAATTAGCCAAGCTACTCAGTGAGCGACCAGATACAAAGCGGCGCGCACCACTCCCGATAATTGTATTCGCCAGATTGCTAATAGAACTTGTTATACTAGCATGCCCGTCTGCTTTATCTTCCTTCCTCGTAGTGGTTATATCTCTATTATCTCCAAGAAATGCAGTATGTTCATTGGTGTCTTCGTCGTCCACCGCTTCCGTTGAAGAGGAAGTGACTGTGGCTCCATACGTGTTAACCATTTCAAAGACCTCTTCCCTGCCGTCGATTGAAAAGTCGTGAGTCCTAGGAGTCCTGGGGCGGGATGGATTTGCAATGGTACGGTCAGAGAAGAATTTTAAATCTTGTTTGAGAATGTTGAATTGGGCAGCCAGGCCTGCTTTTCGTTGGGTAAAGTTTCTTTATTTATACCCAGGAAGAAGCACCGAATCAACTTCCGATCACGCGCTTCAAGCCGCTGGTCCTCCGTAGGACCGTACATAGCATGATAAAATTTTAACAAAAATCAACGCCAACAGGGCTCAACACGGTTATGCCGGTCGCCTGAGTCCAGAGAGAGTAGATAATGATACTGTGACATAGTAACGATCTGGAACAGTACATACTGTATACGCAATATTTACTTGCTGCCTTTTGATTTCCCGAAAAACGAAGCTATATTCTTCTGACTGGTACTAGCACCAGACCCTTTACTGCTGGTCGAAGTTGAAGTCTTCAGTTTTGGCTTCGGAGCAGGTTTTAAGTTGGTGGAAGGAGTCTCAATATCCTCTTGCACTACCTTCTCCTCTTCTTCGTCCTTCACTTTTCTCGAGCGTGGTGTCTCCATCTTATTTGACTTGTTCGTGCCACCAGCTGTGTCCTTACGCGGTTTGCCTTTGCCTTTCGCGGGCTCAGAATCAGGCGCCCCTTCCTCAACAGACTCGTAGGCACTATAGTCTTCAGTTACTGGTGCAATATCAATCAGCACTCAGTTAGACTATTCTTGAAACAAGCCCTTACCCATGTAACCTTTCTCATCTACGGTCATCTTGCTCTTCATGACACGTTTCTTCCTCAAGCCATTCCTACCAATGGGCACAATCGTCTTCACTTTCGTCGCCTTTTTCTTGATTTGAGGAGCGGGTTTGCTATGTTGTGTATGGTCCTGCATCTCTACATCCTCGGTCTCAGAACCCACAGCCGTGTTTAAGTCTGGAGATGCCCTGGAATGCGAGACGCGGATGACTTGATCTAGACCAAATTTAAGTAATCATGATTAGAACAGAAATCGGAGCCTAACCATCGTCGACATCCATCATTTTTAAAACATCTTCATCTGACCCTCTCATAGCTTGCTTGCCCTTATTTCTACCCTTAGGATGTTCTACTTTCGGTGTCGATTGATCTTCTTCCTCATCGCTAATAATCACGTTCTTCTTGACCGTGACTGAAGGACTTCCGATTTCAGTCTCAGAATCGGGCGATTTTCGTTTGTGACCAGTCTATAGATCGACGGAAATGAACAAATAATTGTCATCATAAGACGAGAAAAAGAACCCGATGATTCGCAGGAGCTTTGCCTTTGGTACTCGAAGCCTTGATTTTGTCTTCCTTTGATTCTGGAGGGAATTCCCGTTTATGCTCCCGGCCGACCTAAAGTTGCATCATAGTAAATACCAAGTGATAGACAATACCTCTTTGGCACCCACGTTGGATAACTTCTCTTCAGGTTCGGAGATTTTGGATGTAGCAGCGGTAATCTTCGCCTTCGAGTTGCTGGATTCTTCTTTGGTACTCTTCTCCTTCTTGACCACCTCTTTTGGCTTGGCTTTGGCAAAAAAGTCACTTCGTTTAGGTTTCTCGAAAGTCGATGTGCTCTTCCTCGTGATAGAATTACTTTCAGTAGATACAGATTCGGAAGATTTTGGACCCGAAACAGTACTGGTAGTTGCCGCAGGCGGTGGTGGAGGAATTTGTACATAGGGTTTTCCTTTTCCTTCCTATCGAATAGAATGGTTAGGGTTGGGAGAGAATAGCCTTGGAACGAACAGACTTTGACGTTCCCGACAATCTTGCCCGTTATGGCTGCCATTTCAGTTCCCTTCTTGTTGTCGATGTCCCGCACAATTTCATTAGGGCCACATATAAGGCCCAGGTCCTGTGACCAGTTCGCGCTCCGTGAGCAATTCGACTGGTACAAGCGTGATACGACATACGATTATAGGTGCAGGGGATAAACTATAGATATGGATACTGTAAATCGTAGAGAATTTAGATTTCGTCACTTGTAAATTGTTCAGACACAGTATGACAGATCGAAGATATGGTGCGACACACGTTCCAAGTCCTTTTCGCCAACAAGAACAACCTCAATCAATGGAGCCTCTTCTGCTCCATCATCATCATACTGTATATTTTCTTCACCCATGTCCACATTCGTTATCATTGTGTCAGGTTCTTGGGTATCTAGTTGCACCTTTCCGCTGACTAGGTATGTCGCAGAGGCTTCACGTTCGCCCTCCTTCCTACCCTTCTTATGAAATGTAGCAAGGGCGCTGTTAACAGAGATAAGTGGTTTAGTGAGTGGAAGATACAAATGATTTCCTACTTTTTCGCGGCATTCACGTGGAGAGAAACTTGGCGACTGAGAGAGCGATATGTGATCTAGACTTTTGAATCAAGCAACACGTTTCTAGCCCCGAAAACAAAGTAAAACCCACAATGTTTCCTTCAATAAATATTTGTTTAGTGAGAAAGTCTTCAGCGCTTTGCGACCCCATAGTTGCACGTCCAAAATCAAGTTTGTATTCAGAGTGACGAAGTGTGGCGGGAGCTTCAAGAAGGGGCCAGTAATAGTAGGGACAAGTAGAAGTGAGATGTAGTTGGTAGAGTAGGTAGAGGTACTGTGACGCGCGTTCGATAACGCACACGTGCTACAAGTCACACTAGCTTTAAAAGTGCGCTCAAACTACAACAGCCACGTCAGGCCACACTCTCAATCATGAGTGTCCAATATGAATACTCAAAGCTTCCAAAAGAGACTAGTAAGCGTAGGAATACCGACGAAGAGGTTCTGCTCCTAACTCCATTCAAAAATTTCCATACAGCCAGCCACTTTTCCCGGGACACCACCGATGTTCTTCTTTGGTTCACCTCTCCACCTGTCAACATCACGGGAGGGGGAGGTGCCACTTACTCTACCACTTTGAATAAACTGCCTCACTATAGCTTGGAGTACTTACATTGGAGAGCTACAAAGACAGGAAACCAAGGCGATTCAGGTAGCACAATGCAATGAAGGCATATGCTGAAAGGGACTTATTATAGCGGATAAAACTCGCAGACATCCAGAAAGCCTCGGATGACATTCAGTCAAGGCTATCAAACTGAATGTAAATTTTGTTTTTGTATTGAGACAGTGTCCAGCAATTCCTAGTCCAACAAAGAGAAAGAATGGGTTCCAGAAATAATGACTTGAAGGAACGTAATAAAAAGTAGTTTGCATGAAATCAAGAAAGATATGCATATGCATACGTGACAGCAGTTTAACGATATGTGCATACCATAACTCCTAAGTTATAAAAATTTTCACTTACACACCCAAACAACTCAAATTCTGCGATGTTTTTTTCGACCTTCGCTACCACTCTTCTGTGATCGCTCCTTTTCTTGCGTGCCTCTCATCATAATTTTCTGTCTTCTTACATCCATCATCATCATCTTCCCAACTGGCGAGAGTTCCGTCGACGATGCGGGAGAAGGTGTCATATCGCGCGGGGGTTTAAACGATGCTGCTGTTACCGCGGCGCGCAGAAGCGAAGAACGCGACGATGAATTGGATCGCACGGGAGTGAAAGGAATGTCAGGGGTAGCAACAAGCCCGAGGGTGTGATTATGCGAGTTTTCTTTATCGAACACCGCAGACATGAGCGATTTAGTGCTACCGTGCCTTCTGCTCCTGCTCTCTTTTCCCAAAGGCATTGGATTAGAAATGTGACCATGGGAATGAGTTGTTTTCGAGTCCATGTATGTCAAACTTAAGGAACCTGAGGAGCTGCGAAGTTTCATCGGGCGAGAAGGTATGGGAGTGAAAGGGTCAGAAGAATTAGAAGAATTGGAACGCTCTACAAGTCCTTCTCGGTATCCCCGTTCTTTCGCGTTATTACGCGAGCGATGACGGTGTAGGGAGCGAGGACCACGAGGCATTCTAGTTGTAGGTCGATCACTAGTATCCGCCAAAGGAGTGGGGGCAGTTACAATGACTTTGGTTGGAGCAATTAATATTACTTTGACCTCGCGGACATCCTCCTCTATAGGTCCACTTGGCTGATCAGTCAGCTGTTGTTGAGGGACACGTGAAGCCCGGCCATCTTCGAATAGCATACGAGAAACAGGTCGTTGGGAGGAAGGATTGGAGGAAGGATTGGGGTAAGTATTGGGGTAAGTATTTGAGTTTGAATGTCTAGAAAATTCGCTAGAAGAGGCGTCGCGGGAAGGAGTTACGATAGGGGGATTGTGATTGAACATAGAAGAATCCTCAGAAAATCGAGAAAGAGTAGTACTTTCAGATGGATCCTTGTCCGAGGGCGAGCTAAAAGTACTAGGCGGTTTGAACAGAAGCTTATCAAAGGTTTCCACTGTAGGTCGAGACTTTCGCTTTTCTGCAAGGAATCCAAAGACCTCTGAAGCTCTACGAGGGGTCTTCGGATCTCGGTCTAGGTTGTTGTAGGGGTTTTCAGTGATATAAGGGGAGTCAATGATCTGAGAGGATTCAGTGGTCGCACTGAGCTCTACTTCCATTGAAGATACGGCGGGATTATCAAGGAAACTGGAGGTAGAACAAAGATCGTGATCGCTCATGAACGTGGAGTCGGAAGGAGCGTTATCGATTATTAGACTGTCAGAGAAACGAGAGTTAAGGTTGTCTGGCGTTTGAAGAATGAGGGAGGATACGGAAGAAGCGGCACTATTGGCCTCGCTACCAGAAGATCATGAGTATTTAACCTCTCCAAGTCAAAATTTCAACCTCACCCAAGAAATCGTTCTGCCCAAGAAATATCGCCCTCCAACGAGCTACTAGTGTCATAACGGTGATGACCGTTCTCTGGCTCGCCAAGAAGCTCCCGCAGGGTAGATCCTGCCCGTTGCTTTTGGGGGCGCCCTTCCCGAGGCGGAGTATTTGAAAATGCTTCTTTTGGAAGGTGTCCATGCTCATCGTACAGATCAAGCAGACTGGCAACGGAAGGATCTCTGCGCAAACCTTGGAGGTGTGTAGAATCATCTCCAGTTGTTTGCGCTCGGCGGCGAGGTTGGGGAGTCTTCGGCTCAGGGACAAGACCACGATTAGCGATCGGAACTTCCGTACTCGAATGGCGTTGCCGAGGATGGACTTTGACGGTGTAGGTCCCGCATCGTGCTAAGCTGGTACTCGGAAGGCTAGCATTCGACTCAGTGGGTGTGCTGATAGCACTATTAATCGGGTGAGCTATAGTTGGTCAGCATGGTGGAGAAGATGTTGTTGGAAGAGTCACTCACGAAGTGGAGGCAGCCGTGTGTAGTCGGTTTCAGAAACAACAGCGAAACGTGCGGAGGAAGATCTTAGTAATAAGTTTACGGCTATTTCATTATCCTCATCATTGTTCTGAGGCTGGTTCGTCTGAGCTCCCACTTCGTCCACCCAATCATTGCTACGAACGGCTTGAGCTTGTTTTCTCCTACTACTCTTTTTACTGCCAAGGGAGAGAATGCGTTTGAAGAAGCCAACCATGGCGTCCTGGGAGCTGTCGTCGTGGTCGTTACAGTCGTCGATTAGCAGGGGAGCGTTCGTGAATAACAAATTAGGTCCTAAGGTCGCCCTGTTTGAAAACTGAACATGGTCACGGGATCGCGTGGTGTGCCGATCAACCGGCAGCTATGCTGATCTTGTCCTTATGCAACGTCTTGTCATACAGAACACAGGGAGCACTGCCCGGGACTTTTGCTTTCTTGAGAGAAATGTCCTCTCGCATCTAAAACTGGCCCTTCTCTTCTCTGTCCTATCGTCGTCTCTCATCCTTCATGCTCGACTTGTGCCAGATGCTGACGAAAAAACGAATGGCTCCAGTTTCAATATCCCTTTATCTGGCCTTCAATTCGTTGCCTCTTTGCTTGCGATAGCGGGTGGACTCTGGGAGTATTTCAATGGATATCGAGATCTGTTGGATATGAGAGCGTTTCTTGCAGGCACTAAGTATGTTTTCATTTCGTCCTCGCTGTATCTCACCTCATTTACGCTTTCAAAATAGGCCTCATATGGCGATCATGGTCGCAATAGTAGCTGTAGTACTGGTAACATGCGTTATCCTACTATCTGATCAAGATCTTTGAATCCTCTGCATACGCTGCTATGATCGACCACCTATGAGACCAGTATGAGACCGAATGATGTCTTTCCGTGCCCATAGCGCACGATACAATATATATAAACTGCGAATTGCTGCAAAATGGATGCATATGTATCCATGTGCATTGCATATACCTGTCATCTCAGTATCAAGAGTGCGAGTCTGAGTTTTTGAGTGCAGGACATGATTCGAGGGTGGTTCACACGGAAAATTTGAATCATCCAATCGCTAATACGTAGTTTCAACAATTGAACCATTCCTTCCTTTGCTCTTGACCATCACTTTCATTTCCCTTTCCTTCCTCACGACCTTACGCTGTCATGAAAGTTACCCAAAAAATTGCGCAATGCGAAAGAGAAAACAAAATATGGTGGTCCTTCGAATACTTTCCTCCTAGAACAGCTCAAGTATGTAGACTTTCTTACATCCATTGAATTTACGGTAAACTGTGATCAAGGGTCTCCAAAATTTGCTTGACCGTATAGAACGTATGCGAGGACTTGGTCCAGAGTTCATCGATATCACTTGGTATGGCCAATCTTATGTATCATAGCCTTGCGCCAACATCATTTGTAGGAATGCTGGCGGACGAACCTCAGAACTTACTGCGGAAATGGTAAAGACATGTCAGGGTCTTGTTGGAATAGAGACCTGCATGCATTTGACATGTACTAATATGCCGAAGGAGAAAGTCGATATTGCCCTCCGGGTGAGTCATAACTTCTGTGGATTTTGACACTGCTAATCTGCATATCAGGAAGCGAAAGTCTCTGGATGTAGGAATGTCCTTGCCCTGAGAGGCGATCCTCCTATGGGCAAAGAGGAATGGGAAGCAGTTGAGGGAGGTTTTGTGCATGGCATCGATCTCGTCCGACATATCCGCCGTGAATACGGAGATTACTTCGACATTGCCGTCGCCGGCTTTCCTCAGCATCAAACCCTACCCACAGAAGAAAGAGACCTTGAAATGAGGTACCTCAAGGAGAAAGTCGACGCTGGTGTGAATTTTATCTTTACACAGATGTTTTACGATGTCGATGTCTTCATCGATTGGGTCAATGCTGTTCGAGCGGCCGGAATCACCATCCCCATTGTTCCAGGAATTGCACCGATCCAGACTTGGAATGGATTTCAGAGGGCAACTAGTCTGGCTCAGACGATCATACCACAGACTTTCCAAGATGCATTGGAACCGCACAAGGCCAATGACGAAAAAGTGAGGGAGATTGGTACAAAACTTGTCGCAGACATGTGCCGCAGAATTTTAAACGCCAACTTGGGGATTCATGGCCTGCATTTCTATACGATGAACTTAGAGAAGGGTACGAGGATGTTGTTGGAAGAGCTCAACCTAGTACCCAGGGTAGAGACAATTAAACCCCTCCCCTGGAGACAGGTCGGTTGCATACTTCATTTTGAAATCTTTGTAGTCTCATTCGACCTCGTACAGTCTCTGACACCTACACGACGCCAAGAGACCATCCGACCCATATTCTGGGCAAACCGAACCAAGTCCTACATCTCCCGGACCGAAAACTGGGATGAATACCCTAATGGCCGTTTTGGTGATTCTCGTAGTCCAGCATACGGTGAATTAGATGGCTATGGAGTTTCCATAAAGCAATCTGTCTGTACCTTTTCGTCCGCGTATACCTGTTCCTATTGACTTCTTCCATTTATTCAGAGAGAAGATGCCCTTAAACTTTGGGGGCAACCATCGACTTTCGCCGAAATCGCCGACCTTTTCGCCCAATTTTGTATAGGCAAACTTAGCGCCCTTCCATGGTCAGACCAGAAGCCCTCGACAGAGACTTCGATCATTTCTGAGCAACTCGCTCGTATGAATTCTCTTGGTTTTCTCACGATCAACTCCCAACCCGCCGTTAATGGTGCAAAAAGCAGCGACAAGGTCTTTGGGTGGGGTCCCCGCAACGGCTATGTGTACCAAAAGGTTCGTTCAGTTTTGTACTCCACGATTGGAGCGCAGAATGTGCTTGCTTATTCTCCTGTAACAGGCCTATCTCGAATTCTTCGTCAAACCCGCTCTACTCACATTATTACTTTCACACATTGAACGAGACAGCAATATCACATACTATGTTATCAATAAGCGAGGAGACCTTCGCACTAACACTCATTCTGAAGGGCCTAACGCGGTAACTTGGGGTGTATTCCCAGGCAAAGAGATCGTACAGCCAACAATTGTGGAGGCGGTCAGCTTCATGGCTTGGAAGGTTTGCAATCTGCTATGATAACTCCTGAATTACTAATGAAGATCTCTTGCTCTACAGGATGAAGCCTTTGAACTTGGACAGCAATGGGCCCGCGTCTACGATCCAGACTCTCCTTCCGCCAAAATCATTTCCGAGTTAATGGATTCGTGTTACCTTGTGAACGTTGTGCACAACGATTTCCACGATGCGGGTGCCATCTTCAAACCCTTCTTCCAAGCCGGCGAGGAATACGCCACCCAAGCCAATGGTCACTAGAAGGAGTCAGCATTCTGTAAACCTTAGAGGCTTCAACGGCCACTGACTACTTAACAAGGAGCGCTTGCTTGCTCTAAACGTGCAGTGCTTCAACTGTCACTGACTCTCTGTATTATACTATACTTGTTTTCACTCATCTCACCTCTTGTAGCATCTCGTCGGGTTCAACCCCCGCTGTTTTCATACTAACCCACTCACTCACAATCGCATTTTATACTCATACCCTTCATTTTGCATCAACTGCACTGTACACAACGCAATAGTCTCCAATAAAACCTTTTACAGTACTACAATACAAAAAAATAAAGATAGCTTTCAGAGTCTTATATTAGTTCAGAGAAGAAAAAGTCGGTGTTGGGCGGAGGTGGACCCGCCGTTAACCCGCTAGGAATTTCCACCATCTCGCCTGAAAGGTCTGAAAGGACACATTCAGGAAGAGCTGACTAGAAAGGCAAAAATCACTCACCTAGCAGCTTAATTTTGAGACCAATCTCCGTCAACGCCTGAACGAATCCTGCCGTTTCTTTTGACGCGACATGACCACCGTCCTTTCTCAACATGTTCAGTCCATCCGTCCAGTCAGCCCAGCGTGATTGGTCTGGTGCTATTAAGTCCGCGAGGGAGCCTTGTTCTTCGTGTATGCTGAGAAGAGAAAACGAAAGTGGGGAAGGAGCTAATGGAGTGGTAGGAGGAAGATCATCGTGATCTCGAAGAACATTGGGAGGAGGGGCACAAGTACCCGTTGCGATCTCACTGACCGCGGCAATCTCTATCCTGTCGGGGAGGTCTTCGAGACCACTCCGAACAGGAAATTTCACTGCACTGTCTACATAATGTAAGTACTTCGTGCTATTATCCTGAAAAGCACGAAGTAAGATTGTGGAAGTGAGTCGTTATACCTCGCTCGATATGCTCACCAAGCGCACAAACCTGTAATAAGAGAAGTTAGACGGTGAAAATCAATATGTCGAGGTACACTCACCGCCATGGCTTACTTGGCCTTCGAGAGTCCCGTGGTTGAGGAGCATTTCCTGGTAAGGCGATGACAAACCAAGCCCCCTGCAGTAGACATTGTATCCTCTGCTGGCGTACGAATTCATAAGATTCTTTGAATATTTTTGCCCGCAGATTGCTGGACATTGTTGTAAAGTTCAAGAATAAAGACGGAACGAACTTGAGAAGTACCCACCGCACAGGAATTTTGCTCAGCAGATCATCTTCTTGCTCAAGCTCCTTCATTTGTCTATCCCGTACTGCACGATATTCACATTCCAGAAAATCGCGCTCGACCTCATGCCATGCCCGTACGTTTTCGTTGCGGAGAGCAACCTTGACCCTATTAACAAGAGTCAATCAAAAAACACCGATCAACTTACTTGACTTACTGACTACGGACCAAAGCTACTACGCGAATGAAATCTCCAGTAGCTGCCCCGCTCTCACTCCACATCCTGATAAAAAAATTCGTGGCTAATGCATGAACTTTGTAAAAATCTAGAAAAAGAGGCTGAAATGTAGTCGAAGTTGAATCTAGACAGATACAATGAGCTTTGAAGTCAACGTTGCATTAAACAAGCATCATACAACCGGGGGCAAAGATCGCCCAGTGTTCTGACAGCAATTCCACAACTTCATTAGACGCCTTAGCAATCGGACACCGTCGCTCAACAGGACGGCTAAGTTGTTCCAACACAACCTGTGGTTGCATAAACACAATTTCGAATACTGCAAGCCAAGAAATTATCACCTTCGAAAAGTCAGGGTCTCGCTCGACGAACCGTTTCTAGCTCGACAGGGTTGGTAATCGAGAATCATCCAGTATCGGAAACGTACCAGACACTCTAAGCCTAAGACCCCAACATCATTAAATTCCAATTCAATATCTTCAGTGTCAAAACCAAGTTTGCGCCATTTGAGTTGCTGCCCTTTTTCATCGCTTTCCTCTATCAGCTTGCTATGTTCCCAGATATAGTTGAGATCTGCTGCATGTGAAAGTTGAGCATCGAGATCGACAAGTGTGCTCTTCTTGCGATATGTCACCCTCAACATGTTAGCTTGGAAATCGAGGATACAGGAGGTGAGCTCTTCCACGGTGTGTTGAGACATGAGCCGCTAACATGAAGGTTGAGCAAGTTTGGGCTGAACGAAAAACCGACGGACCACAACAGCTTTCCGCAAGTTGAACCTTTCCATTTCTGCTATAAACTCTTCCCATCTTACATCACTTGCATGAGATAGCAGCGAGTTTATCAACATCATGCTGAATGAGAGGGTCGGACGGAGGAACGGGTTAAAAAATGGACCATATACCTATATTGCGCCATAGCCGTGTCGGCACTTCCTAGACGATTAACGATAGTTTCCAATAAACTTTTTTCTTTTCTCATTTGTTCAAAGACCACAGTGAAGCCATAGCGGTATATCGATCCAGGGACTATAGCAGGCCCATTCTTACTAGAACCGGCTTGAGGTCCTGGAGCATTAGAAGGATCGGCTTCAACGAGCTTCTTCAATATTGCAGTAGCAGGCCGACAAACATTGATGAGAGAGTGAGAGGATGATAACACCTGGACAACTCTGAAGATAAAAGCCTCATCGAGCGACGCCCATCCGTAGTCTAGTTCCATTAAGTTTTGCATAGCTGTAAGGGCGTACTATGAAGTTTCAAAAATGGTTAGGGCAGCGCATAAGCCTAAAATATGGGGTATACTGACTGCTAAGGTATTACCAAGGGATGTGAAGATGATGTCCACAAGCTGCGTAACACCGTCGTAATTGATGAACTCTGAAGCAAATTCGTTTTCCTAAGAAGACTCAGAAACCATTTGATAGCCAATGGCATGAAATTCACTCACCCTGATATATCTCTGGAGTGTATATAAGGTCAATCTCATTGTTTTCTGATCCCGTACTTGAAGTTTTTCTGCAATCTCCCTCCCCTCTTTATTAGGTGAATTGACAAGCCTATGCATGGAATAAGAGATCGAGTTTTCAGCATTAACTAGTAACTTACTTTAGGTCCAGTCTAGCTTTAATTTTCTTCCTCAGATTGTCGTTGGTTACTAATTCATGATTTTCATCCCTCAATGCGTAATCTGAGGGTATTCCCTTGATTTTCAGATTGACGCAAAGCTGCCTAACCACGTCGGCCACTGTCAAAGTGGGATCGATTCGTGCGCGCACGGTGATGCCTTCACTAGTGGTAACATTGTTGGTCGGAACCAATCCGGATTTCGCTTGAGACCCGCTAGTTGGAGGGGTGGATGATAAAGGACTCCGAGGAGGAAGAGAATTATGATTCGACATAATGGTAGCAAAGTCTAGAGCTCCGGATAAATGATACGAACTGGAGTAGATTGGTCAATAACAGTACAGGTTATGAAGGTGAAGATTCAGTAAAAGCGAAGATGACGTCCTGGGCAAAACTACAAAAGTTGAACCTCTGACTGACGTGCAAATAGAATTCGTATTCATCACAAGAACAAATTTCATAAGAAACCCACCTAGAATTAGTCGTGACGACTGGCTTCAAATTCTACCTATATGACCAGAGAAATGTTAGTATACATCAAGTATTGAATAAGTTCATAAGGAGAGGCTGCGACTGACAAATTCTAAGTGTTGTGCATGCGGTGCTGTGCAGACACTGAGACACTGCGACACTGCGAAGGAGCCAAGTTGAAGGAGCGAAACCAAAAATTTATTTTCCACGTGTACTCGGTTAACAAGCTGCCTGCCGTTCTGGCATTCCTCACCTTTCCTCTGGCAGGGATTGAATACAACATTCAAGATTCAATGTCCTGCTCGAATTCGTATGTACTCCTTTATATTATGTTGAAGCTATGAAGTGACACTGTGAAGCTGGTAATCTGGAAAATTTTGAAAGAACTTGAATTAAAATTAAATTGAAACAGAGACACCTTTTCGCTCCCAACCACCAGCAACCACCATTATCAACGATTGCAAACCAGTCAACTTTCAATTCTTCCTTGATAAATTCAAATTCGATCTCAAATGAAACTTCAAGCAAGCTGATATAGAAATGTATACGACGTCGTGTAAAGAGCTCCATGGTACGAGGTCAACAGTTCTTTTGCATCCATCAATAACTGGTTTCGCGAACAGCAGCTCATGAAATAGCAAATCTCTGCATACTCGCATGAAAACTCGTCAGCAGACAGCAAACTCTGCGGATGTACCTTTCACTGACGCCTGCTTATACCAGACCCCCGATTGAATATCATTTTTTTGGCTCTCGATATTGCAATGACAACACGACCGATCTGCTTCATACTTTCCATCTTTGGGTGACGGGGAGTGTCTGAATCGCGGACTCGTTGACCTCAAAAAATCGCCTCGTAGGCCTTTTCAGTGGAAGAAAATAATGATCGTCTGGCTGACATTGGATTGACCAGACAAGAGCTTTGGACAAAGTTGAGAGAAGATACAAATTAGACGGTCCGATGCTTTCAGAACGGAAATATGTTGTGCATGAATTCGCAGTAATCAACAACAATCCCCAAATATCCTCAGTATTATGTCAAACTTATCGAAAACGTATTGTCTGGCAAAATATAGGATTTGACCAGAATTCCCTAGCTTTCAATCCCAGGACCGGTTTTGACTGGACGTGAACGCGCGCGTGAACTCTCGAGTCAAACACGCTCGGTATCCATCACAGGAGAATCAGCATCCCGACATCAACATCATCGGAAACTCTGAATAACACTTACTTGACCGGTAAGCTACTGGGGTTCATGAGACATCTACCTTTCATTTATTCTATGCCCATGCGCTTATACTCTCCTTGGGGACAACAAGACGGCTCATCGGAAACACATCTCCGAAGCAAACATAAATCCTAGACGCGACTTAGAGGAATTGCGGCACGCAGACTTCAAAAGCCCGGCTTAATGCCACTGAATCCGTCTTGACTCGACAGTAAGACCAAAGCGACAGAGTCAAGGACCCCACAGAAACCACTGCCATGCGGCGACCGAAATACAAGACAACCAACTTTCCGTCTGCAAAAAATCGACCACTACTCAGTGAACGTTCTTCTAGTATCGAAATTGTTTGACTTCAATGATTCTATATCAAGTCGGATCGTGTTATCCATAGCCCTCCTAAGTTTAATTGAACAATGACGGATTTTTTGCGTTACCGAAATCTGCACAGGCACCAGTTTACACTGGCATGCCTCAGCATGACTCCAATGTTATTTCGCTCGTGAATTTCGGACGACATTTCATTTGCCACCTGAGAACTGTCCATAACAATATCGACCACATCGATGTAATGTTTCAATGCATATGTTGAGCCCATAGGGTATACTTACGATACTTTGAAAGGTCTGCCATCTGTCAAATTTCGAGTGACATTTTATCATCGCTCACGGCGCAACAGCGCTGAACCTACTTATGATAGGTATGCCTAGGTATGTACAGTACATACGCAAAAAACTAAAGTTGCCAACAAAGTCCAGGAACAATTATCGAGATTGCCTTGCCATACATATGTCCATATACCAAATGTGTTGCGCCCGATTCTACCGGTGTACGTAGCCACCCAGGAAATCTCATCTTTGTTTCTTTTTTTGGGTGGAAGTGTCTTTTTAGCGCACTGGAAATTTGAGGTTTGATGCCATGTGCACGTGGTTATTTTCTACTTCCTCAAACGCGTTCAAGCTTTCAAGCAATCAAGCTTAATCAAGGTTTAACGTCGCTGACTCACTATACCCAACGCTCATGTCGTCCCTTACAAGCACTCCTAGTACACCGTCGCTTGATGCGCTTTCTGACTTTGACCACAGTTTATTATCTGAATCGTTATCCCTCGATACAATTTCCATCTTGTCTTTAGATTCAATCCCGCCGTTTCCTTCCGGCTGCAGGACTCCTCTCCCGACATTTCTTACTATAAATGACATTACCTGTGCTTCGGCAAATCTACAACCTAACACACTATCCACTTCAACGACAACTATCCCAACGCCTCCTCGCCTTAAAACTCTACTCAAGGAGGATCTTTGTATATCTAGATGGACGGTATGTGAATGGAATTTCATTTCCCCTCGCTGTGCTCATTACTCGCTTCAGGAGAGCCTTGCTTTTGCTGAAGCCCCAGGCCATACTCCCTGGGGCGATGTTGAAGACCACGATATCACGCCTTGGAAACCAGAAGGATCTTTATACGCTGGTGACACCTTCCAGATGGCTTTGTTGAAATCTCGACAGCGACCTTCCATGTTACGGCTAGCTCGACAACGCCTCCCTGTCCCTAATTCCCATCATCGCAATGCGCTTGTCTTTGAACGCGAGATCACCCTTAAATCTGAGGGTAAGACTAAACGCTGGTCTGTTCAAGTCCCCGCTGGCTCTATGGATCCCGATCTCGCAGGTATGATGATGGAACTTCGAAACCTCAATTCGTATTTCAAGGAAGAGGAGGTCCAAGCGGACGACTCGGTTCAAAGATTGGAAGAAGGACTCTGTTCCCCTGTTGACGGCGTGTACACTCATACCCCGTCCCTCATCGTCTCGAACTCCCAGTGTATTATTCCCTTGTCTCTTGAATCAGCTGGCAGCCTGCATACTGTTCCGAAAATTCTTGCTGTGCGTCGGGGAAACAAAGCTCTACCTCCGTTGTCAATAAAGTCTGAACTCATGAACCCAAGCCCTTATCCCAGCATTCCCACTGCCTTCCTCGGGTCGCCTTCCTCTTATCATCCCACCTTCGAATTTGCCGGGACCACGCGATCTTCCACTGCTTTTCAAGATATGATCGAATCCTTAAGGTCACAATGCGCCTCGCTTCAGGTAGAAACTGCCCATTTTCCTGCTCTGCAAGAAGAAGAGAATAATTTTCAAATGATCCAATCTTGCCCGCATGTTCCTCCTGCTTCCCCAAGTGCACGAGATGGCGATAACGATTGGGCGTTTGCGGACAGTCTCCTGCAAGAGTTTCCGGAATTCTGCTCCAAGCAAAATCTAGAACCTCCTAATGTTGAGCTGCAATCCGACAAAATTTTTCCTGAAGCTAGTATTACAGATCCGGCCCAGTTAACACACACTATATCCTCAAATGATCCATCCAATTCCCATCTACCTTCACCGTCGATCGCCGGCAGCGTTTCGCCGACACCTTCATCCAACTCCCCTCGTGGTATCCTTAAACGATGTAAGAGTGTACGCTTTGCTGAAGCTCCTTTGATCGACCCAGACTCAGTACATACCACACCGGTTCAGGAAGTAGTATGTCCTTCCACCCGTCACTCGACCGGACCTCCAATTGCACGCTCCTTGAAGCGCCCCTCTCCTTTGCGTCATACTTATGCTCCCCAATTGAAGCTGACCTCTTCTGCTGACTCGTCGCTCCCTTTGCGTAACGCTGGTTCCCTGAAGCCGACGATCGCATCGGAGACCACGAATTCTAAGCCTTCCGTTCATCTCCAGCGTACCGCAATGAAGAAGCTAGGCCGAGAGTGCATAGTGTCTTCTCCCATTAAGCCTAATAAGCCGAAGACGCAGGGTCCTCCATCGCTTGGACGTTCCTTCCGCAACACGCTTATTTCTGGCAAGGAAAATAAGTTGATCAAACTGAGAACATCTTCTTTTGCTAATAGGCATACCATGGACGAGAATGCACTACGCCGCGTCGGTAACAGTTCTAGCCCGTCGGAAACTCTCAAGAGCCGTATGCCAGTGCCTCTGAGGAACATCCTAACTAGATTTAAGTAAACTTGTACTTCACCACTTGTATCAAATTCTTCATAATCAGTTTGTTGGTAACGCTCTTCAAAAAAACCTAATTAAACCGCAATCTCAATTGCGACATTCTCTTTGATTTTCCTGATGTTTATGTATGAGAAGTGAGTGAATCATTTTCTCAACCGGTTCAATCTGGTTCTATATGGTAACATTAACATAGTACCATACGTGAATATACAGTATCGAGACAAATAAGTCCACCTTATGACCCTCGGCCTCTAGGAATCCCTCTACCAGCAAACCCAACCCTGAATATGCCCCCACCACGGCCTATGAAAGGCAAACCTGGGTCCTGAGAGGGAATACCGCCGGGGAATATTGGAGGCGTCTCAAATTGTCCTCGCCCTGCTCCAGCGTCATGATGTCGACGCATTCGAGAAGGTTGCGCCGTTTCCTTCTCGGTCTCAACATCGCTGTCATCTTGATTTTCATTTGTCTGCTAGTCATTATTAAAACGAAAGGTTGTAAAGGGATCCCGAGTAAGACTCGCCTCTAAATCGATGACGAGAGCACCAGTATGCCAACCTGATGCGGCAGCGGAAACACAGAAACGGTCCTTGGGCTTCTTTCTGTGACTATCAAAACGCACTTCGGTTGGGATCTCAACGTCGGGAGGTGTTCCATGCCTAGTCTCCAGCGCGCGCACACGGAGGGTTTCATTTGCGAAGCCGCCTGGAGTTCCAGCTTGTAATGATCCTGGATCTCCTAGGCCCAGTGCGCCATCCGAATATTGACCCCAAGTAAGCAACTTCCCGGTCGCGGTGACAGCTGCGAAGTGATAATCCCCCAGCACCACGGAAATGATGGACTTATCCTGCAAACCAGGAATGATTTTTGGTAGCGTGTCAGGGTTGGTCTCCGTGTCACCCATTAACACGATGGATTCCGAATAGGCAATGAAAGTGCGAAAATGGGCCGAGATCTGAACACACTGAATACATAGAACACCAGAAGTGAATGTCAAATGCTCACATGAGTTATTTTGGTATCCGATGGAGGTACCTTCAATCCGGCATTGTAGAATACATGGTGATTCAGGAGTCTACTTGCCTCGCTGAAATTTGGAAGCTGAGAGTGCCAGAGATCAAATCAAATTCATGCTGGAAGATGCCATTGTGTCAGAAACTCACGTATTTCCAGCTACCGAGAGAGGATTCACTAGCACTTTGCAGGGTATCGAACAATAGTACGTGCCCCTGATTAGTCAAGGCGATCATTGCATTATCAAACCCTGCGATTTTGACGACCCGTGGGGTATCCGAGTCAGGCTCCGCACCGAAGAGCTTGGGTAGAGAGGGCAAAGAAGGTAAAACGACAGGATCTGTTTGCAAATCCCAAGGTGCACACATGATCAGTCTATCGTTAGTGGAGTGGGCAGAGTTTTCTTCTTCGTTATCCATTTCACCCATCCTTGTCTCTATTACTGTCCTTAGAGGGTCAGAAAATGGCCACCAAACGACAATGTCTCCAGATTTCATCAGGGCCGAGGAGAAGGTCCAACCGCATTCCACCTGTATTGGTGTAAAATCTGGAGTGCCCAACAAATCAGAAACCAGTCTGAATGGCCTCCCCCAGCTCAAGAAGGTCCATATCTGATTGTTGAAGTCAAGCGACGAAGAGTGTAGCCTTCCACAACTAGAATCCAGTCATCAGTCGAGATCGAGAAGTATACGGGCTTGTAAGCAAGTACCTGATGCTTCGAATAGAGGTCGGCAACTGCAGTCTTAATGGAGTACTTGCTATCTTGCCTGGTTCCGAGAATCCATCTCGATTTAGCGCAAGTTGTGAACCATCTAATGCACCTGAAATTTTCAAGAATAAGCACCAATTATCAAACTCAAAAGCGGAAAATATGAATACCCCAAACGTGAATACGACCTTCAGAGTCCAGAGCTTGAAATGACCTAAAACGACTTAGACGTGATGTCAAGATCAATAGTCGACGCAACTTACATTCCTCCAGCAGCAAGGTTCACGATTCGGGCACCAGGAAACTTGAGCTCTAAAGGAGAGGATACGTTGTTCAGCGTGGACTTTGGGAATGCCGACATTCCGAGCCGGCCATGTTCCTTTCGACTGGTGAAAAATCATAAGATGTTCATTGAGAAACGACATTAAGATGACATACCCCCAAACAAAAACTGTGTTGCAAAGGATGTAAGTAGTAGTAGTCCAAGATACAATGAATTGCGTACCTCGAGGTTTCGTTAATCGTAGATATATAAATTTCCACCCGCTCCTCCTGGCAGTACCTTCATCGGGGAAGTTGAAATCTTCTGCTAATTTCTTTTTCCAAAACGTCTCGTCTCCACAAAGTTGCGCGAAGAACTGCGATGTGACAATGAAATGCAACAGTCAAGAGTAAGCATAACAATTCTAGGTTATTGGTTGAGCAAGAGGTGGTGACCTTGTTCGTGGATTGAAGCTGAAGCAGATCAACTAAAGGAAGTCGAGGAAGTAAATTATCGAGAAGAATTTCCAGAGGAATATCAATAATGGAGAGCATGGCGATGGAGGTGATAGTCAAGGAATCTGTAGCATCAGTGACATCATGCTTACTTGATAATCAAACTCAAGGCTCATAGCTATGCTTTGACAATTCCTAATTCGAGTTTACTTGCTCGAAATTCACATATCTCTGATTTATCTTGCTCAATTGCAATGTCGCCTTCTGCAACTCAAAGTCATTTATCAAAATTGTGTCCCAGTGATAACAAATGGCAACGCGCCGACTTTCGTCGTCTTTCATCATCTTTCATCTATCACTTGTTACGCCTACATAATATTTAGTAGGTATCAAGTCCAATCAGCCGTCATCCTCTTCATAATATGCCTGCGAGAATGTACATTTGATTCAAGCCGGGTATCTGTGAAGATCTTTCGCTTGCCTTTATCTCTGGAAACGTGCCCCGTTCAAACCCGCAGTAACAGAATGACACTGAGATAACGGATTTCCTCTCTTCAAACGGCTCTCTACTCCTTGATAGATCTCGTTCGCAAAAGGAGGTATAAGCGTCAAGGCATCTATCCTTTGCCGATCTCCTGAACATGCCAGCAACACGCGTTGAATTTATTGAATGGTCGGCACTGGTCAACGCAGGCCCAGACAGGTACATTTGGTGGAATCTCGGAATTATTTTTCACTTACAAATGTCATTTTTTTCAATCATCTGAGTACAAGGACAGATTTGAAGATAATACTCTTAGGAGATGGAGAGGATGCTTCTTATACCGAAGAAGCCGCTATTCAAGGTATAGATTTAATTCTCATTTTGGAATCCTGCCATGGTCGGCTCTGATGATCTTGCTTAGCTTCAGATAACTTGTAAGTAGACTCGGGTCTTGATTTGTGCTTGTATCTTGGCTGTCGCTCAGCGCTCATGGAGTAGATGATGCCTAGGCCAATGTCCCTGCATGACCGCAACGTTTATCATGAAAATGACTTGGTTGAGGCCTAGACATAACACATACCTGACAGTAACGTCGGCTTCAAGTCTGCAAATGTCTGAATCTGGATCATTAATGCGTTCGAAATTGCCGATTGACTTTGGTCATGATGAAACGACCATTTGTCAGTGGAATTTCGGATCGTATCGTAAGAAGGCTTACTTTAAGCTTACATTCAACAATTCGAAATCAAGCGAAGCACGTATGCACTACCAACGAATAGGCGTCGATGACTATAAAATTAATAAATGTTCGGATTTCCCGACATCCTTGTGAAATCCTTGTGAATTCCAACTAAGTAAACCAGTCAAATGTTTTACTGTTTTATACATCTTGTTAGTAAGTATATGACTGTAACTCTGTATATCTTCGGGAGCACGCAGCCACCATCAATCAGTTCGTCAATTTATGTACTTCGTCTGAATTTTGTTTAGGGCATCTTCCGAGCTCATTTTGGATGTCAAGTTCATTTTGGATTGCATGCGGAAGAGTGTATGAGAGAATCAGGAAAATTTGCAGATCATAACCAAACACGGTGCAAGGAGAAATCCAAGGAGAAACCCAAGCCCTCCCTATTACAGCGTATTCAAAAAACCTTGTCAGTAGCGTAAAAAACGAGATAAAATAAAATAAAATCGAAAAGGTACCCGACGTTTTAGCCGACCGCCTGGAGCCGCTTGGCGAGTGCGCTGTCACTCACGCCTTTCGACAACGATCTTCCGTGGTGGAAGAGGGTGGAGGTAACAAAGGGTAATAAGTCCACTCAAGATCACAATGTCGATGGAGCTCCTCCCGGCACGGTCAGACTCTCCAGAGGCATCAGCATCTGTTAGTCCTACCTCAGAAGCAAAAGATCCACGATCATACTACATTGTTGAAAGGCGCGAGTGACAGCGCGCTCGCCAAGCGGCTCCAAGCGGTCGGCTAAAACGTCGGGTACCTTTTCGATTTTATTTTATTTTATTTCGTTTTTTACGCTACTGACAAGGTTTTTTGAATACGCTGTAACTATGTCCCTGCCGCAAGTCATCATTCATATGGAGCGATGCACCGATCCAGAAGTTGACAGTGATTGGCGAATCGGTGACTGACTTAAGTAAATGCACTCGAGATGGTGTATACGAACAGCGATACGCCGGGCCAAAGGACTGCAATTTGCCACGAACAGGGGCCTATTGTAAGTGGGCTGTCAAAATAGGTCAAAATGTCGTGTTTGACGATGTCTGGGAAAAGACTTGTAAACGAACGTACATTTTCGTACATTTTCAATAGGATGTGGAGCGATATGATACTTACTGTACTTACTAAATAGGCTATAAATGACCATGATCAGCAGAAGAATAAGTATGGGCAGGATTGTACTACGAGGAGTATGTCCCATATAGATAATGTACAATGTCCATCAGAGGACAGAAAAACATAGGGAAGGAATGGCAACAGCATGTAAGTAGAAGGGATACATATCGAAAAACAGTAAGTAATAAGGCGTATCATCACTCACGCAGTATATAGACTATAGGTATAAACGAAATATGTGCAAAACAAGAAACAGCTACATGAATTTACATTTAGATCCGACAGCCTGAGTCAATGTTGGGGGTCAGAGAAATACGGCGGGGAAAGAATTGTAACAGAAGCAATCAAAAGCAGAGAGAAAAAACCAAGGCGCATCCTATCACACCACACGAGAAGGTGGCATGCCAGAAGAGGTGAATATTCAAGTTCAATAGTCATCCCCACTCCCACGACCCATACTCGCATGCCCAGAGCCAGATCTTCTACCGCTCTCCCCCTCGTAATACGCCTCCGGATCATACGTCATGTCACTGCCCACCTGAAGTGGAGGAAGCGTTTCACGGTGCTCATAGCCAGGAAGGGGAGTTAGCAGCATACTATCCGGAGGAAGTCGACCCGAATGCATCTGTGGAGGAGAAGGAATTGTCAGGGGTCGATCAGAGGGTTCTATTGGACTCGAATGATAACTCGAGGGTGCGTCGAACTGGAGTTGGTGAAGGCTGTGGCTGTGGCTGTGGCTATGTCCATGTCCTGGGTGAAAATGCTGCATTGACGACTGAGAAGGAAGGGACGACGATAAATAGGGGACAGGTATAGATGATCTCGTAGAAGAGGAAACATGGGGATTCCACTGCGAGACTGGACTGGTATCGTACCTCGGCCTCGCGCCGAAGGGGAGACCACTGCGCTCGTCTCTCTCAGCCGCGTTAAATCCCAAGTCGTCGGCACCCATATTATATCGCGAATGCAACGATAAACCTGGGAGTGACATGCTAGTGGCGTATCCATAGCGGTGATGAGAGGGGGGATAACGACTTGAATGCGGGTCATTCAGATCGTGTTGTGGACCAAGGAAATGACTGGGTCTTCGAGAGACGCCACCAAGGGTAGCGGCTTCCGATTCCTTCTTCGCTTTTCTCCATTGCTTTCTCAGCTCTTTGAATTCTACGAGGCAAATGCATCAGAAAGGGTGTCCGCGGTGCACGAAATCAGCGGAAACGCGGAAATAGATGTAGAACCAGTTCCGAACGCAGCAATATGAAATACGGCGAAGTAGAAAGGAAAAATCTGGTAAACTTACCATTTGGACTACGTTTTGAACCATGTTTCTGCATCGTGACGTGAGCATTGAGATGATTCAATGTCCCATAAGCCTTGTTGCAGTCAGGCCATGAGCACTGATACAACCGTTCGATCTCATCATACCGGCGACGAGGACGCTTTTTGACTGTGTTGCCTGGTAGCGCAACGAAGGAATAAGTTTTGCTATTAGGATCCATAGGACTTCGATTTCCATCAGCGTCAACATCTTCCCCTGGTGCATCACCAGCTGAAATAGACGCTTGCGATGGCAGCCGGGAAGTACCCAGAGAGGCTGGAGTGCTCGTACCAGTAGGCGACGCGCTGCAGTGGTCCTCCGCAATGGACGAATACTGAAGACCCTGAGCCATAGTAGGTGAACCTCCCACTTGACCACCTGTAAAACTAGGTTGAAATGGAGACAGAGGGGAATCAAGCCCTTCATTGACATGCGTGCTGTGCGCCATGTGATGAGAATCATCTTCGGTCTTCCAGCCATTATGGGACCGTGGCGAAGAGTAATGAAGATGTTGGTGATGAAGACGTAGGTCCCGAAGAGAGCCGATACTCGAGCCTCGTTGCAGAGAAGGCGCATAGGAAGAACGCGAAGAATTATTGTAAGACATAGGGTAGGAGTAACGACTCGATGTGTCGGCGGTAGAAGAATTTGTAGAATAATTGTTGGGAATTGCCAGTATAGCTGGCTCTGACATGCGCCTTTGGTCGAGAAGGCCTGAGGACGAGATATTAGACGCAGATGAGGTCTCGAGATAGGAATCACGAGAAAGTGTGGCTGGATTATAACGTGGGTCAGAATCAGTTTGGTAGGATGATATATGTGGATGTTGGGGATGCGATTCAGGGTATGAATGGGAAAAATCCGCAGAAGATTGTACGTCACCAGGAGAAGGAGAATCGGATGGATAAGAAGCAGGAGCATCGGATTCTCTTATATCATTGACAGCAGTGAATGAATAAGTGTTCTGGGGTGTAGGAAGTGGCTGTTGGTAGATATTGGAGGAGGAAGCGGGATAAGCGGAGGGCGGATCAGTGTCGTACATTTCTGTTGGTGAACTGGGTGAACCGAACGAGGGTTCAACACGATCAACATAATAGTAATTCGGAGAAGTATGAGTGGGGGAAAGTCCCGGCGAAGAAGAGAGATCGTCGTCCACTGTGTCTGGAGAGTTAGCAGGAGAGATCGAAGAAGAGACAAGCTGAGCTATATCTTCATAGAAAGACTCGGAACCAGAGCGGTGAACGAAAGGCTTGCAAGCAGCCTGTTCGCACTGTAATGGATATAAGTTAGAAGTAACTTGTTCAGAGGAAGGAAACATTAGCGGAGCCCGCACTGGGGAAAGGAAGTGGGACTTTATCTAGCCGGAGAATGACAAGAAATACGCAAGTTATAATTCAATTCATACAGTTTTACATTCAAGCAACACACAACCAAATTAGGATGAAATCTCGATTCATCACCCAATGTCACAGGACCGAATATCAATCGGTTCGACCTCCCTTTTTTGGATCACTATCAGGCCAGGCGCTGACCCCGGATTGCCTTTTCTTCCTCTTTCTCCTTGCGGCTACTTGTACTGTAATTTCTCCCCGACAAAGCATTCTATATTCCACTATTCGTGTTCCCTTTACTTTCCGCCCTTCTTTCCGCTTTCAGTCTTCCTCCGCTAACCGTTTCACTATCCTCACTTTGAGCTCTCCAATGAGATACTTTTTTCCCCTTTGTTCATTACCTGACCGAATAAAACGCGGTATAATGATACCTTTCTGGGACCCGCCAGGTATATGTAAAATAAGATTTACACTGGCGATGGACAGCGATGGACGTCCTTACGAAATTAGTTTTTACACAAAAATCATGATCAAGTACAATCCGGCTCGGTATACTAACCGACTTGCCCATTGAAAAAATTCCTCACTCCAACCCGGAAGTCATTTCGAAGGACCTACATATGTGCCTCCCGAACAAGTACTGTGCAAAATATGTATGTGTAACGAGCTGCGGCGATTTTTACAGTAATCAGTCTCTATAGAATACGTGGTCAACTATTCATCTTCTCAGCCTCACTGTCTATGTCCCTCTACGGCCTGCGGAGCGAACTGCCCTGATCGATGAGCAGCGCAACGATCCTGGCGTTTTCCATCACCTGGAAGAAGCAGGTACCAGTGTTGAACTGAAGGAGGCCGCCAGTAGATACCGAGAAAGCCCTAATCTGCGACTTCTCTGGGCGCGGCGCGCATGTACCGTATGTGAATCAACACAGACAGTGCCTCCAAAAGGTGCCTCTGTCCAAAATCCAGATCCTGCACAACTTGAGCGCGGATGATATTACAATTTCTGATGTTTACGCATCAGTAAAGAAATATCAATCTCTCCGGTTGCGTCGGAACCGGATGCTATCTGGGATGCACACAATCTGCAGGATACTCTTCGATAAAAGGTTTATGCACTCCTATTCTACGCCGATACATACCATAAATCTGACTTTTGCAGTGCACAAGTTAATGAAGAACTTCCCGATTTTGTATGCAGCACAACAACAGTAGCGGAACGTTATTATAAGTTACTCCTCGTGACGTTGAAGATAAATCTTGAGAACCTCGATGTACAAAGAACGTATTCAACCGTGAAAAAAAACGCTCACCTGGCAACTGTGTTGAATGCAATATGTCTTGCGCTCTGACAAGAGACAACAACCATCATCTCATGACTACTTATCAGTCCACCTGACCGACAGACTTGCCTCCATTTTTCCAGTTTCCAGCGAACCGACGGATGCCACTTCACAGATTTGGACGTATTTGCACCGTTATACCGGAGAATGCAGCCGCCGAAGATAATATTATCATTTAAGCGGATCTGAACACGTTCGGATTCGGGATCGTAGGGGGAAAGAGGGGAAAAACAAGTGTCAGACTGGTGTCACAGCTGGGCAGGCAAAACCGACCTCTGGGGAATCCACTTGTGGGCGTCATCGCGACTCAGCCACAAGAATTTAAGTCGTAGATATCAACATGGCTGCGTACATGTATGCGTCGAAATTGTGACGGCTGAATAGATACTGGAGCAACCCTGTTGTTCTATGCGAAGCTAACATTGAGCATTGAGCAATAGTACGATCCCTGGTTCCTTATCCTGACCTTATCCAGGTCTGTGGATTCATTGGACCTGAAACGACATGTTTGTTAACGATTCATGATTAGAATGTGAGGAATGAGGAAGGATACAACGCAGGCTACACAGAAAACGGATGATCTAAAAATCGGACCGACATTCGGAAGGAAGGATCCAATTATAAAGTACATAAAAATACGAACGCAGCCAGACGCAGCTGTGGATCGACACTGAACTTTGAAGCTCATGTACCAAAGGTTCTCTTCTCACGATGAAGAAGCAAGGAAGAAGCAAGCAGCCCACGTGTGATAACAGCAGTCCGACGAGCTTATCGCAAACGTTCGGCAGTCGCTGTCTAATCTGACTGCAGTGCTGAACAGCAGATCCAAGGAAAAACGAGGGTGGGATCCGGAAGGTTTAAACCACCCATGAGCCGGAAATGTGAGTGAGTAAAGTTGAAAGTTCTGAATCGCGCGCAAGTGAAGGTAAAAAAAATGTGAGAATGGAAGCTGCACAGGCTTCGGACGAAGCGTTAAACTTCTTGAGAGAGAGTTCCGAAACGCAATAAGATCTCGGAACGATGGAAGGCGAAGAGATCCGTGATATGACCCCAACCAACCAACCTCGCATTATTCAGGAAACGCCAGTAGGTATACTCCAGAATCGCCCAGAATCCAATTGGTCTGCTCGAGAGTCGGAATGGCTAAACGGTTCATACATATGTGGTTACCATTCCAAAAGTTTTCAATATTAACCAGAATATCCGATGATAGCAGATGATACTTGCTGCAAGGGCGCCTTGTAACTGTGCCTGGGGCTTCGGGTCTTGGAGAGAGCTTGACATGGTATGAATTATCTCATGATTTTCGATAATGTGCAGAGGAACGTCAAGTCATTTCCAGCGGGTCGTGCTGAGTCCCATGACGAATGATAGATACATCTGGAAGATTGAGAAAGGCAACCTCAATAAGTAGATTTGGGACTGAAGATAAGTGGAAGACATGAAAAGGTGAAGTCAAATGCGCCGATGAGAACTGTGAGTATACTGGGAAAGTCGAGTATAACTACAAGTGCGAGTGACTGGGCGCTGGCATGCAGCACGGTGAACATGATAAACAACACCACTCACGAGGACAGGTATCCTCGATCTGTGAGGAGCTCATTACATCGAATAGTCGAACATCGAGTTGGCGAAACCCGAAAAAACCGTTCGTGAATAGACCCAGATCGACATCAGACCGTGTTCATCGCATAAGTGATATATCGTAGCAGATAACAAAAGACGTATAAGCCAGAGAGTTTAATGGGACTGGAAAGTCAAAAAGGCGTCAGACTCACTGCGTCAGAAACGATTGAATGGATTTATCCGACTGTCGCCATCCTTTTCTATTCGTTCACGGGAAGCGCACCTGGGTTATAGCCTATAGGAAACCTGTAGCAAACACAACGTCATTGTGAGGGGGCAAATTATACACATACTCAACCATGGGTGATCAAGAGACGATGTCAATGCAGGATGTAAAGATTCGATGAATTGCTATTATGTGTGAATGTCAGAGCTTGATAAAACTTGACGACTCACGCTTTGACACCTATCTTACAGCTCTGAGGTTGCATGTTATTCTAATGGAGCGTATTATGTTACAGTATTCATTGCGGAAACTTCTGGCATCGAATTCGAAAAACTTGGGTTGAATTCATCGTCACATAGGTAGGACATCTCGAATCCCGCAATTCAAAGGAGCCTATCCATTCTTGAAGTGTTAGGAAGGTCAAAGCGCACAAATTCGTAGACATTTACCAGCTTGAGCCTTAGAGCTTAGAGCTTAGAGGATAGATTCAGACTGATTCAGAGTAAGGTTTTTATGCGCATGCATATTGCAAGTAATAAGCGCCAAGTTATGTAAACGCCCATCTTTCACGTCGTCCTTTACCCTCTCCATAGGCTTTTCATAATACACCAGAATCTAGATGCCCAGAGGCATTCCGAATGCAAAGCGTGATGATACTGGAATTAAATACACGACATTTCACGTTCCTCTATCGTTAGTGCTCATACCTTACTCGTTCTTTACCATCCTTGATCTATGGCCGCAGAACGAATCCAAAACATCTAGGAACGACCTACCTCAAGTCGGAAAGCCAAACAATTTGGTTCAGAAACTCTCAACGTAGAAGTAAGGAAGAAACCCCGCAAGAGAGCAGGTGATACTGACATATGGTTTGGTTGCGATGATTATAACACTGAGAAACTTAGTATAGACGCGGTTCTCAGGTTTTGGTAATCCATCTGGGCTCCCGTTTCTCGCGTATTGGACGAGCCTCGGATGTCACCCCTGTCACCGTACCAACCGTCGTCGCTCGTCGATGCAAGACTCCAGTTACTCCTCACACTTTCATCGAAGGGATCGCTCGGCCGCGCGCAGGAAAGAAGAACTTGCGGCCATCTGAAAAGAGTTTGGATCAAAACGAGTATGAAGTCTCTACGACATCAGACGATCCAGTATGTTCTCGGTTCCTCTTTTGTAAACCTCTCATTCAAAGTCGTGAATACAGTTCGAAGAAAAGATTGCTGCCATAACAACGTCCCTCCGGGACAGGATGCGCTTTTATAAGCTTCGCGTTACTCCAAATGCCGCAAACATTGCTTCCACGTTCAATGGTCCATTCAGACCTGAAATAATTGCGGAGCACAATGATCCTTATCGTGTTGACTGGATCAGTAGTTCGACCGATGAAGAAGTGCTTGTTGGGGATAAGGTTGGGCGGGGTTGCATATATCAATTTCTTTACTCTAACCTTTCTCAGGCGCTTCGTCTCGCAGACCCACAATCCTCCAGTTTCATAGTCAGATGGCCAATATACGGTTCCAAATTCAACACGCGGGATTATACATCATCACAAGTCGTTCTGAGCGATATAGAAACCCTTCTGAGATACACATTACATGATAAATTCGCAATTGAACCTAGGGATTACGGAGTAAGTTTTCTCATTTTTAATACGAGAAGTACTACTCAGTCGTCTGTCGCTGAGTCAGAGTCTTTCAGTGGTGCTCATCATACCTGATGTCTATGATCGTGACTACGTTCGAGAATTGGTGAGTCTATTGCTGGTATCGATGGGCTTCAAGCAGTTGTGCGCACAACAGGTGAGAATCAACGCCACCATACATTGAATGACTAAAATGGAAAACAAAATAAACATCTCTCTTCAGGAATCATTGGCCGCTACATATGGAGCTGGCATTTCGACTGCCTGCGTAGTTGATATCGGGGCAAAAACAACGAGCATCGCATGCGTCGATGAAGGTCTCGTCGTGGCAGACTCCCGGTATGTAGTGGGTTCATCAAGAGAAACGAGTTCTGACTGCGAATTCTCTTAGAATGTCCCTGAATATCGGCGGCGACGATATCACAGAATTCCTCTACGTGTTACTTGAACGTATCAGTTTTCCTTACAAGGACATCAATTTAGCTAATTCCTACGACTGGAATGTCATGGAAGATCTTAAAGCTCGTCTTTGTACGCTAATGGAGGTACGCCGTATCTTCTACTTTGCCGTTCTACTTTGCGACAGTAATTTTCGTAGGTTGACGTTGCTCTGAATTTGTACGATTTCGTTGTTCGAAAGCCTGGCTCCCCTGCCGAAAAATACGGTCTGAGGGCGTACGATGAGATCATTCTAGCCCCGATGGTAAGCGTTCAAGTTTTCAGGCACCGTACACTGTAGAGCCAGCATGATCCTAAAGCACCTTTTCCAGGTCATATTCGAACCTCGAATGATTGAATTTGACAATAAGCGACTTGGGTTGCAAGACCTGAACCCCTGTATCACTGAAGAGATCCTTGAACACACCAGCGATCATGTTGTATGTACCTGCATTGAGGAATCTCAATACTCTCGCTCACTGTTGCCATGTTTTCATACACAGACGTCTGCAATGGTAATTTCCACCCAGCATCTGTTGCCGGGACCTAGTGATACACCAGCCTTGCAGTACACCGATCAGAAAGGTGGCGTCTTTCTCGTTATTGTTAATGGTCAGAGGGCTCATTGCAAAATCTAATAGCAGACAAGACTTCCTCAGATGCAGGCCCTACACTTGGGACTTCATCTAATATCATTGTCGAAGGCTCCATAGATGTTCCAATGGAAGTTATCGACATCGAACTGGAAGACAATAAGTCCTCGGGCCCTCAGCAATCCAGCCCATCCAAGTCTGCCCGTAGACCTTCATCAGAGCCGGTACAACCTTTCCCCGGGAGCTTTGGTGTAGACGTATGCTTTGAGGCCAGTAAATTACCTTTGGACGTAGCTATATTCAACAGCGCACGGGCATCAGGAGGCGACGAAAAAATCCGTAAGTATCTTCAAGCTGTTTTGGTCATCGGAGGGACGGCTCGAATATCGGGAATGGGACACGCTCTAGAGAGCAGGTACGTCTAGCCGTCTGAAATTACCCGACTTTGCGCGTGACGGAGAGGTGACTCTATTTTAGATTACAAGCTATTGCTACGCCACTGGTTCAAAATATGGAAAGGGTGCAAATCATTCCTCCACCCAAAGACGTTGACCATCGTGTGCTTGCATGGAAAGGTGGTGCTGTCTTGGGAAAAATGGATGGAGCTGCAGAACTTTGGGTGACACAGCAAGACTGGGTATGCCTTTCCCCTTGATTCTCACTGCGGCATGACTGGTGACATTGCTTCATTTCAAGGACATTTTGGGAATGAGGGGTTTGAAAGAACGATGCTTTTTTTTGTGACTGAAATTTAGTCCTGTATCTATCGTAATGCTTCGTGAACAGGGGAAGACCGCGATCCGCTCTTGTATTCACATTGTAAGGCAACCTGTGTTGCATAAAGGGAAACAAACTGGTTCACATACTGTGCGATATGTACAGAATTGGCTCAAACACCAGAGTCATGATGATTTCATAATGACAGTAGTAGTCGCACCAGAGGCTAAAACGCACCTGAGGCAAACGGTGGAATTTCGAACGTGGCTCGAGTAATTTGAGTCACGCATTGAGGGCCGTTTCAATAGAAGATGAATATAAATACAGATGCAAGTGTCATACATAGTACATCAATGACAACAGCACAAGCAAGTCGTCCATAAACGAATCACCAAAACGCACACCTAAAGAAGTTGAGAAAGAGGTGAGCACAGAATTTCGACAAAGGAATATTTGATTCACGCACCATCCGGAAAAAAGTTGACAAAGGTTCTCTAGTGAAGTAGCCTGGTTAATCAGCTTATCTACCTGAGATTTTACTGAAAGAGATTCCTCAGGGTTGAAGTCACGTCCTGAAAGAAATCAGTGGCCCTGAAAGATCAAGAACGGTCATGATCCCACCCACCTGTCAACTTCTTCTGTACGCGTTCATACACCGCTACCGCACGGTCATTTCGGACCTCGCGCACAACCTGCTCCCCTGCAAGGGTACTTCCAATTACTTGATCCACTTCTGTAAAAAAGGGGAGGAATCAGAAAGACCTTGAATTACAAAGTAGGATCAAGAACGCACCCCCAAAGATGTCGTTTTCATCTGCTCGAAATTTACGTCGTATTGGCCCTTGCGGATGAGCTGCAGCTCGAACTAGTTCGGCAGGGTTATCTGGATCTGGATAATTTTCAGCTCTTGTCTTGTAGTATCGCGATTGCTCAACTAAACTTACCTTCAATTCTCCTTCCTTCATCGGTCTGCATTAATCTCCAACTGATCAAGGGGTCATACACGAAGGCCTCCAACACTGCCATTAAGGACTCTTTGTTGTCTCTCAGCACCTTCATCGTAATCTCACAAGTATTCCGGAAACTTCCTTCAATGCCACTAACCTGTGGTGGTAATCGGTCAACGGTCTAGAGACATAGTACGGAGCGTCCCACCTCCATCGCCTGCGTTAGCATTCTCGTCAGCCGGAAGGGGACTGTTTCAGGAAACTTTTCACGCGTCATTGCGACCTCGAAACAATCACCGAAATCGCAGTTGATGACTTTCCCCGTGCTCCTTTCGACGAGTATATTTGAAGGATGACGATCACCCAATCCAAGGATATGTCCAACCATGCTGTTAACGGCAAGAGAGCGGGTGTAAGAGGATCGACGCTCTAACCAATGTTCCGAGTTCTGACTTTTGAGCCATAGTACCCGGTATAGATCTTGGCCAGTAGTGTTTTCCAAGGCGTACTCAAATACCTCGACTTTTTGAAGGAGAGTTAAATTTTCATAGTCTGGAGCCATCTATGCAGAGTATTCAGTGAAAGCAGGACCATTCAGGCATTCTTATTACCTGAAGCATCAAGCGATATTCGATGTTAAGGAGTACTTTTCTTGACTCTCGGTAGTCTCGTATGAGAACATGTAAAGTATCGCTCCCTTGGACCAATCCAAGCAGGCCAGCATTAGGAGCTAAAGGGACGATGGAATATCGCTGAATATGCAAACGTCGCATATAACTGTTAGTATCAACAGAAAGTAGGTTGTTAACGAGGCTGAAAAGTTGCATGACTCGTTCGTCCTGGCGAAGATCTTCGTGGCCTGACGAAAATCATACGTGAGCTTCAAGAGGTCAAAAGACACGAGGCGCATAACCTTTCAGAAGATATTGGTAATCTCTACCATCGCTTCCCTTCAGAGAAAATCGACGAGGTCGTTGTTTGGAAGCGATAACGGAAAGCTTTTGTGCAAAGCTTGCAATCGTAACAACATCCCGTCCACTTTGATATGTACCTAGTAAGAGAATAAATGTAAACATTCCGAGCCTTGTATTCGAGTGGAGAAATTACCTGGAACTGCCAATTTGAGATTTCGGATTGACAACAGGACCGGAGAAACATATTGTAAGTCCAATGTTATGAGCTGCGGAAGCTGCTTCTCAATTTTCTTAAAGACCTGTGGAGCCGATGATTTGGAAAAAAATTACGACCAATATTTTTCGGGAAGCTTACACCGTAATAAATGTCCCAAGCTTTATCTAGTTCACTGGTCTCCCCGTGAATACGATACCGACGGCAGACTTCTCTAGCTTCAGCTAATTCACGTCCGAAAACTTGAGCAAATGATGTTTCCCGTGCAGTTTGTGGCCCCTGGAACATATAGACCAATGAAAATGTGGTACATAATTGCATCACACAACCGTTAAATACCTCTTCTAATTTGGCATGCAATGGTTCAAGTACCGCAATCATGCCTTCCGGATTCTTCTCGTTGAAGTACAGACGAGAGGCTTCTTCGAGGCCTTCGTGCCATTGTTCGTGCCATAATATAGCAATGCGTATAATTTCATGGCTAATGACAAGCGCCTGAGGATTTATCAGTTTTTTCCTGAACCTTCGCACTGCCTGAGTAGTACCTGCTGTACGATATCCATACTGTGGTCGCGCATCTCGTCCATGATTCTAATTGCAGCATCTGCACGGGTTTCGCTGGAGGATTTGGATGCTACAGTAAGCGGATATATCAGGGCTTGGGGATGGTGTTTGCCTATGTTGATCAGCACATTATGGATGGTCCGTCTAATAAGCAAATTCGGTGTTTGAATTCTAGCAATGATCTTCGGAAGAGGTCAATGAAAAAGGTCGAGGATAGTCAACATCGAACCGTCTTTTGTTGACCTCACCTGTGGAATGACGTGAAGCCATGTGTCGATGCCTACTTTAGCAAATCCTTTAGTCATCGCATTACTGACATTTTCATTAGATCCAAATTTGAACCAAAGAGTTAGGAGTCGAAGGGTGTCTTGCAAGGCATCCTGATTCCGCAACGAGATAGATTGAAACAATCCTGTCTTGCTGTTAACCAAACCCCAACGTTGTTACAAGAGGTTCTCACCTTCAATTGCTTGGACAGCATGATTTGCAAGAGCGGTATGGGATACATTTTGCCCACTTTCCCTTTGGCTCTCCAAGTAATTGACAACATCTACATTTGCTAAAGCCCAGGTATGCCACGCCTTGTACCAATCTTGATCGTATTGGGTCGCATGAACATAACAGCCGAGGATGTTATTGACAAGATGGGGATCCTAATCGAAGGCTTTAGGACGTGGAGACGGATTAGAATGATTATGGCGGTCACAACTTACAGAACTCCAATCACTATTGAGTTGAACCTGCCAATCCCCCAATTTGAAGTAGCACCTGGCGAGTAACCTTGAGAGTTGATCACCTCGCTGTCTCATCGCCGAGGACCGTTGATGTTCGTTCTCCAACATATCATTCGATACCTTATTGGAAAACTCTTGGAGATACTTAAAGCTTTCTTGTTGAAGGCCGGTGGCCCATAGATACTTGAGATGAGCATATACGACATCGGGTGATGCTTTTAGGCTTTGTTGTTCGCGTATAGGATGATGGTTCTATCGAAGATAGTGAGCAAAGATATATTTCCAATTCGTGATTTGCAAACCCTGTCACCCGAGAGTAGGAATTCGATCGTCTTTTCAGCAAGGACCATGCGATCAGATTTGCGACAAAGGTTGGCGAATTTGATCCACATCTGAGGCGCATCTTCCGGTTTCAGCACCAAAGTGCGTACTTGAAGTATTCGTTGCCAGACTTCCACGTCACGTTGACACCCTTGCAATCTAAGAGTGTTCAGGAAAGACCCATCGGATGAATGCAATATTCCCACCGTTTCATCCATGTCCTTCGCATAGTGGCCTGACGATCGGGTTGATCAGCACTTTGCTTATAGGAAATGATTTCCTCCAACTCTGAAAGCATTTGAGCTCGAACCATGATACTATAAGGAGATCAGAGAAGAACAGAACTCTAGCAGTTGACTTACTTGTAGGAGCTAACATAACCTTCGCCAACAAAAGAGGTCAATTCTGGATAAAGTAAGTCTCTGGCTTTTGCTATCTGTGTTTTTGCTTTCGAAAACTGGTTTTGGTGTATGGATAATATTGCACGGTAGAAGGCACGATCTGGCGAATCAGGTCGCATGGTAGCAATGTAGTCGTCCATCGAATCCCACTCGTTTAGCGACCAAGCGGCAGCAGCGGCGATCGGTCCTATTTCACGACGGTCGTCATGATTTGCATGATCCCATATTTCATCTACCTGGACCGCCAGCTGATCCCATTCGCCTAAAGCATTAAGACACTTCATGCGGCCGATCTGAACGCCGGGAGCATTCGGGTCTGATTCTGCCTTTTTATTATAGACTTGGAGAGCCTCTTGCCACCGTCCAAGCCTCTCGTACCATTCCTCGTGTCTCGTAACGTCATATTGCTCACGGGCCATGAGTAAAGTTCCCCATGCAGCATCGTGTTGTTGTAGACGAGTGTTGATGGTTATGAGAGCTTCAATGGTTGAAGGTGACGGTTCTGACCAATACTCGAGCTCTTTGTAATGAAGGGCTTTTGCATAGGCTAAGTACTTCAAGGCGTACTCGCCCAGCGTGCGATGTTCAATTGGCAGCGGCTTTTCTTCATGTTCCATGAACTCGGCCAGATTCAACCATCGGTGGATGAGTTCAGAGGGGGCAGAAGGGGCGGAAATAGCTGTTTCAATGCTTCGAATCAAATCTTCCTGTAATGAGGAATTCAGTCAGTGTGAGCTTAGATGATCAGCGTGACGACATCACACACCTGATATTGATCATATAGCTCCGTCCAGCAAGACAAGAACGCAGCATTGAACAGCTCCTTCGCTAGGGGAGTGTGCACATCCACTAAACTCATACAAGCGCGAAGTGCAGGGGATGGTGACTCCTTCATAAACTCCACGCTCAGCTTATGCATCCACGCTGTCCAATCCTCCTTTGTAGAAACATCCGATGTGTCCCATGCTTGCTTCAAATGCTGCTGGTTTACGATCATTCTGGAGGTTTCAGCGGGAGCAGAATTTTCAGACCCCCTTGAGCTTTCGGAGACTCTGAAAAAAAATATTCGTCAGAAACAGAGAAATCCCAATGCAAAGTCTTACGTTATGTCGGCAGGTCCGTCTTGAGGTAATCGTTCTCCATTGAGAAGTTTGGAAATAAGATTCTCATAGCGAATATGGGTGATTCGATTTCTTAAAACTGCCTAGATAAGACATAAATAAGAATTCAAGCTCAGATCATGATATCGCGGTACCTTGTTAATGGTGGGCACAAAGATAGCGAAGTCCGAACCCAGCTGTATCGCGAGTGAGCACATAGTATCCAGAACTGCGACTCGGACATCCTGAGTGGCGGTGTCAAGTACGCGAACCAACGGATGTACAATGCGCGACGCGTGGTCGGAGAAGTTTACCCTCTTGGACAGTCCGTCAATAGTCTGAATTGCTCTTTTACGCAGAGCCGGGGTGCTATCGATGCGCTCATACGATTTAACGATGACAGGGATAACAAGGTGCAAATACTCCTCGATATTCGCTCCAAAGGTTTGGAAAGCATCGAGAACTTTCATTTGAGTGCTAATTTTTTTGTCAGTAAGATCACCGTCGAACACCTTCAAGACTAAGGGAATGATTCCGGACAGGAATGGTTTAAACTCTGCATTCAGAGCTTTTCCCAGTGCTTCAATAAGAGAAACGATTGGCAGATGGAGGGTTGCATTTTCCCAAAGATAGTTGATTAATTCGAAAATATCGTGGGTGTAGTTGCGAATATGTTGTTTGAGGATCCCAACTAGAATAGCAAGTTGCTGCAGGTGGAACTCTTGATATCGGGCAGATGAGTTGCGAGTAACAGTTGCAAAAGCAGGCATTATCTGAATGGCACTTAGCTTCATGAGCAAGATGATTTGCTTACTTGCTCACCTGAGGCAGAAAAGCGACAGATTTCAAGCCTTGCGTCTTGAAGATCGACATGATTGCCTCTATGACGGCATGATGATGGCTCCCCAACGCAGGATCTTTCAACACGGTGAGGAGAGAAGTGATCACCACAGTCTGGAAGTAGTCCTCGGAAGCACTTGGTGGGCCGGGCTGACTTATGGGGACCTGGTTTACGGACGTGACAGCAGTTTCGCTTGTCGCATCATCTGCGCTTTTGTCCTATTGAACATAGCAATCAGCGGCAGCTCTGGAATATAGATTGCACCTACATACTTTCCGTCGATACGGATCCACCGCGCCTAAGATACCCAGCACTTTGACAACCTCCCGTCGCACATTCTGAACAGGATCAGAGCGTAAAATCTTCCATAACACTTGTAAAAGCTGCGGGTGATCGACCAAAGGAGTGATGACATATCCAGTACTGGAGCACACTTGTCCAAGAGTTTTGAGCGCAGCGTCCCTTTTAGTTAAGGAGGTATCGGAAAGCTTGGACATGATAACCGGCATCAAGTTTTCGATATGAGGCAAAGCGCTTTCGCCAGCTGCGCAAGTGAGCTCTCCGAGACTTAGCATGATATTTGCAGCGACGTTGGGATTTGGATCGTTGGCTTTCCCGAGAAGAACACGAAGCATAGGGATCGCGTATGGCTTGATTATACGTTGCGTAGCTTGAATGAGAGCGCTGAGAATACTGGTGCATTCCTCCCGACTTCGCCTGTATTTAAAAATCAGCACCCCTTTATTTTTCATAAAACGTAATTACACACCGGACAGTCGAGTACTCTAATTCTGTCAAAAGTTGAATGAGAGCCTTCCTGAGTGAAGGCATGACATATGCTGGGTTGTGCTTCGCGAGTCGTCCAATCAGACCGACAGCCTTCACCCGATTCTCGAAAACTTCATCGTTCAACGCAATGAACAGCGATCGCACGTTCTCAGCTTGAGCAAGATGCTTGTCAAATCTTTCATGCAACGAGGCTAGCACAGTTTGTCGTATAGTAGAATCTGATAACAGCATTAGATTAACCTGGAGCCCACAATCCCAAAGCTCACCAGGATCAGCGATTCCAACCGTCAGGAGTTTGTCTAGAACGTCACTTATAACCTCTATGGCATGACTACTCGCCTGATAGCAAATGGGATCATGCATGAAGAGACGGCAACAAGTCAAGGCTGCTGCGCGCCTGACCTCCGGATGGTCATCCTCTAGATATGGTAGGGCACAACTTCGAACGACCTCGTTCAATGTGTGCCCTAAGAGGTGGCTTCAATAACTGACAACCGAATGATCTTGAAAATTTCGTACCATTGAAATCGAATGCACCCAAGGTTTTTAGAGCGAGGGTGATTAGTTCAGAGTCCTTTCCGTTCCCGCTGACCTGCATCGAAATCAGAAACAAACAGGTGAACGGAACAATGCTTGAACCTGCGAAACATTAAGATCCCGATTTATGACGGGTACTTCGGTCCTCCCTAGAGAGGGCGGAGCGCCCAAAGGTTTGTAAGGCTGTCCACTTAGTATTACACACAATATTTCAAGCAGTCGGTCTAGATAGGCCCTTCAGGAATTGTTTGGCACTCAGGATCACGGACTCTACCTTGGATGGTCCTTAGTAACGGAGGAATATCCCGGGCAATATATGTGAGAGCCTGAACCAAAGATTCGCTCAGGCCGCATGCAAACATAAGGTCAAGCTGGTCGTGAAGAAGCTTGGTCAAGTTTGGGCCCACAGCCTCCGCCAGCATACCAACACATTGAAAGATAGGTTCTTCGGAAGGTGCATTCTTCCTCCTGTAAAGAGATTAACAAAGAAAAAGGTAGATAAAATGTTCCTACCCTCGTGATTGAAGTCCGCTTTTGATTTGCTTCATGATGGAGTCCAAAAAAGGTTTCATATCGCTTCCAACTTGCTTGGCCGTGTGTCCTATAGCGATAAAAGCTTGCAGAATAGTCATGGCGTTTAGTTTGACATAGTCACAAAGCATAATGGAGTTGTACTACCGTAGTGACGTTCGCTAGATTTCTCCAGTTGTTGCAAAAGATGACCCATAGCTTTATGCAGAAAATGCTCCGTGAATGTTTGAGTATCATATTGAGCCAACGTAGGAATCAAAGTGATGACTGTTTTGCGCACAAGGCTATCTCTATGCATCTTGAATCGAAGAATCTGCTCTGCGCTGTCCATAAAGTTTTCTTTCATGAACTTGAGACGGGTGTATCAGTTGACGATTGCAAGAAATCACGATAGGACACACCATTCCGCCGTATAGGAGCAGCTCTCGATATGTGAGTAAAGAGCCATGAATGGTCTCTGGCTGAGATGACTTTAAGCCACCTTGAGCATCCTGTAATATCTTCGTCAAGAACGGGCTCCGTGTTTGACGTTCACGTTGAGTGATGATTTCAAGACAAGCAGCCAAGAGTTCGGCGGCTCCTTCACGGACCATGACGCGCTGATCCCGCAGGGAGACAAGGATGTTCTCGAACACCATGCTGATATGAGAATGGAAGTATGTGGGACTATTCCTGGCAAGCTCCTTGAGAATAAGAACGCCGGCATATCTCGGAGACTCTTGTTTAACGAGATCAATGGCTGCTGGAACCTCAAAGTCCATGAATCTTTCGCCGAATGCCGAGCCACCGATTTCCGCAATCTGGCCCAACGTTTTGGACGCTGCAAGCATAAGGTTGACATCTGCATTTGGGAGTAAATGCTTCACATAGTTGTAGAATCTGAACAGATTAAGTTTTGATTCAATAGTCTCTTCAGACTCAATATCGAGTAGTTGATCTGATAACGCTATGTCAAAACAGCAGGAGGTAAGAAGAAACGATGATCATACCTATAGCCAACAGACCACCGAAATTCTCCGCTGTATTCTGACTATGCATCAAGTCGAATATCCTACGATTAATATCATCATCCCATAGCTTAGCCGCAGTATCCGAGGGCATTTCTGCAACGGTGGTTAAGACCTTGAATTCATGTTAGAGACATCAGAGTGTTAGCTCGAGTTGAGGATATCGTACATAGCGTCGGAGGTCATGAGCAGCCTGAGACCTCGTTTCATGATTTTTGCTCTTCAAACCTTGAAACACAGAAGTGAGTGCGTCAGTTTGAACTGTCTGCAAGGCAGACGCCATCACTGCTGGATTGAAAGCTTGAAACGTGACGTCGACCGTGGGATGCTTAATCACGTGTAATCAAATAATTAGTTCCGAGCTCGAGATAACTCGCTTTGACCGGTCAGCATAGCAAAATTTTCACAACTTGATACCCAGAGACAAACTTCGAAACTGTACATGTTCCTGCCTTCTTATGTTCTGATGACTCGCAAAGATGTACTACCTTCATTGAAGCTACTTACGTGATGCCCCTGTTAAAAAACCACGCCGAATCTGGTACGTAGATGGCATTGGCAACGTTAAATTGTTGATGAATGCTTCTGCTCAAACTGGAAGTGGAAGCAATAAGAAACTCGATGCGGCGCGTGATTGCCAAAATTCAAGCATACCTCGTATGGGTAATTTGTAGTCGAATATGACTCTTCTTCCGCCAATGGCGGAACGTTCATCATCATCGGGTGTGTCAGTTAGAGGTTACCGACAGACATTCGCAGGCGGGAATATGCAACGGCAGCTACGGAGCGAGCGGAGAAGAGCGGAGTGGATTGACTCAATTACTTACAGATAATGTTCGGTCTGGATCTTGTGCAAATTTTTACCACTTCCTTTCACATTGTGAGCACCATGAGACCAAAAAATGTCGATCGTCAAACGAGTGGTTGCTTCGGAGGCTTCAAACTGCGGTCTTTCGTTAGCGGAAAGCAGAAACAAGGAAACGAAAAATTACCAGCTTCGAGGGAAGGAGATGAGAAGGTAACAAACCTTTTTTGAGTTCCTATCAGTTTTTTCACCAAGTCTACAGGTTCTGGCACCTTCTCGCGACTTTGACTTTGGCATACCGTCTGAATGGGGTTTATCCCTCGAACAGTCATCATTTGACTCTTCCCTTCCTCCTTACACTACACTTGTGGATGCGAGCAAATCCTCCGCGGCAGAACAAACGATCAGCAGGGTCTTAGATGAACTTGAGTCTGAATTGCATGAATTGAGCATGAAAATACATGGTCTGTGTATGGTTTCCAAAACCTGTCGTACATGGTACTAAAATTTGAGCCGTCCTTTGCAGACCATCCAGAGATCGCTTTTCAAGAAAGGTATTTCAGGCACTCAAATCTTTAGCGGACTATTTATAGGAAATCTCAACTAGATACGCGCGAGACACACTAACAGCATTCATGCACCGCCATAAATTTCATGTTACTTCCGGATATCTCGGTTTGGAAACAGCTTGGCGGGCTGAATATTCTTATGGGAGAGGTGGGAAGGTCATTGGCATTAATTCAGGTACGATGCACTCTCCGCTTAAGATGATAGGGGCTCCTTCACCTAACTGGTCGCTGGCTTGCAAACAGAAATGGACGCACTGAAAGGAATTGGACATGCATGCGGTCACAACCTCATCGCTGCAAGCGGCTGTGGAATCGCAGTCGCGTTGAAGGTTGCATTGGAGACTCATGATATTCCTGGAAAAATAATTCTCTTAGGAACGCCAGGTAAATATTTCTTCTCCTTAGTTCGAATCCTCGGGTATTAACAACAACATAGCGGAGGAGGGCGGGGGAGGAAAGATCATCCTTCTCCAAAGAGGGGGGTACGATGAAATGGACTTCTGTCTGATGTAAGCTAAACATATACCGAGGTTTTTTCGAAGAGCTCACGAAAGATAGGTCACATCCAGGACCAGGACCCCTGAATTCCTTCGACATCGGCTCGACGACGGCTGTTCTAACTTTCGAAGTTGAATATCTTGGGAAAGGGTTAGTCAACCTGATTATATTGTGATTTTATCGGCAGATATTTCTCATTAACACCGAAATATAGCGCCCACGCTGGGGCAGCACCATGGTATTAACTTCTTATCAGTTAAGATCATATCGATATTAAAAGCTGAATGTCGGCGACAGGGAAGGTATCAATGCACTGGATGCAGCGTTTCTTGCCTATTCTAGCCTGTCCGTCCTTCGGCAGCAGATGAAACCAACTCATCGGTCGCATGGTATCGTTCAAGGACAAGACTGGATCTCCAATGGTCCGGTTGATTATCACTCGTTCAAAACCACATTCTGACCTAGTATATATTTAGTAATTCCGGACAACGCAAGATTGCGCTGGCAGGTGAGGGCCCCCACTTACGATGAACTGGTCGTACTTGCAGAGAGAGTCCGTAAATGTTTCGAGTAAGCCTTGCAATTCTTCGTTGGCATTTATTATTAATCATCACCCTATCACAGAGCAGCGGCTCTAGCAACAGGCTGCACAGTGAAAATCGATCAAGACTCGAAGTTGCCGTATTACGAGCTGAAGAATAATCCTATCCTTGGTGAGCAACGTTTTACCACTGACACTGATCGTTGGTATTCATAAAATCACTGTTGTATGAAAAGCGAGGATATTTAGTGGAATTGTCCGGACCCAGTATGGGCACTCTGTGCGCACGAATGGCTCCGCAGCTTCCACGGACTTTGTGAGTGGAACGTTTCCATATGTTCTACTGTATATAATACTCCTTCAGGGCAATGTCAGTTATCGTGCGTAATACCAGATATATATATATAGCATCCGAACAGCTTTCAACGATAATCATCCTGTGGTTTTTCTTTAGACTTGCCAGCTCTGCACCCATTGTATTGTATATATTGCTTGTATTTTCCAGTTGACGACACTCTAACACTTTCGTAGCTATACCCACAGAACCTCATGGAGGTAATCATACCCCAGCCTTCACAAAAGCCTCAGCAACAAAAGAAGCCCACGCCGCCAACATGATTGCTACTCGAGGCTTAGCAATAACTGGACTCCGTGTGATCCAAGATGATGAACTTTTCCGAGAGGTGCGTATATTACCCAACTTTGCGTTCTTCCAAAAGCTCAATGGTATCTGGTTATAGATGCAAGCTACATCAGCTTGCCACTCTGCACTTTGAATATTGGGTTGGTCATTAGCTACTAAGGAGAATCATCGAATGTGACAACTGACTCCTGAATCCCTAGACACTCCGTTTACTTTCATACTTGGTTTTACGAGGGCGTCCAAAGGGGCAGCAGAGAACTTGAGAATTAGATGGAAGCCTATGGACGCTCATGTCAGACTAGTCAGGGGTCCCGCAACAATCCGATGAAATGAGGATAGCCAGGTATATCCGCATATATATATATATTGTGGGACGAGTAGTAATGTATAAACTGTAACATCGATGAACGCAGAACCGAAATACGAGACCATCATTAAGATTAGGAGGGTAAAATTGCATGTTTTTAGACCGTTGACACTCAAACGACGAAGGTCCTGATTCTCAGGAAGCAGGTGCACCGGCCGTGGCCACTGGTTGGGGCGTCGTCTGGTCCGGAGTTTCCTTGACATGGTGAGCATGTCGCGAGGTGTCTTTACCCTTGCCTACTTTCGGTTTCGGTTTGGGCTGTGCGGCTTCAGCGACCATTCTGTCCATAGAGAACCAGTCAGACCAAGCAATCTAAAAACTTCAAGGAACTTACCGCTCTAACTCACGACGCTCTTCGTCAGACTCATCTGGTTCTGCAGCTTTGAAGATTGCCCCCATGAGCATTAAGCCCTATTTACAAAGTTTGAAGGATCAACTTCGAAAACCCAAACATTATAAACTACGAATGATGTAGCTTACCTTAGCTCGATTGAGAAGCACAGTTTCCGAGGCACCGGGTTCCTTCAACACGTTGTCAACAACTTCTCTCAAAACTTGAACAACTTCGAAACGGGCGCCGCGCCAGGAGGCAAGCATTATCTGAAAGTAATATAGAATTGAGCTTAATTTAAAAGGTTGAAGAACTTACTTTGCCGGTGACATCCATTTCTAGAGCCTTGAGTTCAGCCTCATCGACATCGCCTTTGGCTTGTAATTTCTCCATTTCCTGAAACACAATGATGAATTTGAGTTCTTGATTCTTGATAGGTGAAGAAGAAGTAATGCCAGAGCCAAGTCCTCTTACCAATATCGTGTCCCGTACACTCAAGCTGTCGCAAAGGTTTCACATATATAGATAGTGAGGATAATTTTGGACATACGCGCTGCCAATCACTCCCCACACGTCTTTGGCGAGAGTTCCCTTTTCTTTGAGCCGAGAGAAGAATCCTGGACTATCGTGCGTACAAGACATGAGAAGGCTGACTAGAACCCTTGCTACTACAAAACTTACATCCCCAAAAACTTTCTCGACTTGAAGAAGGATGTAGCTTTCATCATATATACGTTGCCAATGGTATGCAGAAGCTGATTTCACTTAGTCGTTTTCCGTTGTTGAACAGACTTTAGACGAACGCACCTCCACGCCAAAGCTCTCTAATTTCAGATCCTCGACCTCTCGTTTCATCTTTGCCTCGAATGCAAGTGTTTCTGGATCGTCCTTGTCGCCAGGGTGTTTCGCATCAACAAAAGGTCGCAATCGCTCAATCATCTTTGTAGTGAGCATGTTTACCCGAGCTTCCATGACCTTTCTCCTCTCCTTCTCCTGCTCTCGAAGTTTTTCCTTCTGTTCGGCTTTGCGCTTACGAGCGGCTTCCCGTTCCTTCTCTAGTTTTTCCTTTTCGGCTACGCTATGGGAAGGAGAGGGTGACGGTGACTGGGCATGTTCTCCATGGATAACAAGCGAAGAGTTTCCGTTGGGTTGAGTTGTGGCTTCGGAGAGTGAAGAAGGTGAAGATGTAGGAAGTTCCGATGATGTATTTGCGACGGAAGTAGGATTGGGAGGAGGTTCTTCATGGTGAATCGCAGGTGTCTGTTCGCCTGCAACTGGTGGAGTGGATGGTTTGTCTGGATTAATCTGTTTATCTATTTCAGCCTTCTCCTCGTCAGTCATCATTGTACTGGCAGCTTCAGTCATGTCTTTCATGATTGAAATTTCACCAATCTGTCAGAACAAATCTGTTCAAACGCAACAAGAGAGAAATCAGCGATGTGATACGCACGTAATCGTGGAATCTTTCTCCGCCGAATACATTAGCAAAGAAACCCGCGGCATCGTCCATCGACAGGCCTCCTTCCTTGTCCGTCTACAGGAGCAATCATTGATATGAATGATGACCACAGGGAGAACAAGTACCATAGCTTTGCCATTCTTGTCATATACTGCGCGCATATTCTGATAAGGAACATCATCGTATGGGCGCATCATGAAGCTTGAGGTTGTGCGGTACTCACAGGATCTGACAGAACCTGATATGCTTTACTATTGAGGTAAACACGTTCAGCATACTAACTCAAAGGAGAAGTTCTGGCGCACCTAATTTCCTTGAACTTCTCTTCAGCATCTACGGAAGGATTCTTGTCCGGATGATACTGAGTACAGTTTAGCCAAAGCAGAAATAACGAGGCTTGGAAGCACACCTTCATCGCCGCCTTGCGATACCCCCTCTTGAGCTGGTTATCATCAGCATCGACGGAAACTTCCAGCTGTAATGCATCGTGAGCTACAGCTTCTGCACAAGAAATGTGCAGCGCAATCTAGCGGTCATACCAGATCATAATATTCAGTTTCAACTGGAGCCATGGGATAAAATATTAGGAGAAGAAAAGAACGGCGGAAGCGAAATCAAAGAATAAATTTAGAGATGTTGGGCACAAGGAAACAAATTTTGGGCAGATTACGTCACATAGTGCAGTCCAGGCCATGAATCAGGTTGAACGTTTTATGGATAAAACTATTTCTGAAATATGTGTACGTGGTAGTACTACAGTAGCATCGTGATAGATATACATGAAGATGTGATTGTAACATAGAAACATTACATGTGGAATGACGCGAGTGTTTCGAAGCGTATTGCCAATCTAAAGCAATTCCGTCCTTTAACAATGCAAATAAGCAATAATGATAATATGTCGACTGGTACACCAGATGACACGGAAAATTCGAAATGCGCAAATTATTGTTCATCGCGACCGCTCAAGTCCAAGGTCGACGTTGAAAAGCGTACCGCCTTCCTAGGAGGCACGAAATTCGTCGCAGTATCTTGAGAAGATGCAGTAGGTGATGGTAATGTCGAAGGTGGCATGGAAGAAGATTGGTTAGAGGACAATAGACGCGACATGCGTAACTTGAGGGAGAGCAGTGAGCGATTGGATCGCGGAGTAGGAGGAAGATTGGAAGAGGCAATGGTCGTGGAGGAGACTGAATGAGGATCGAGTGAAGGGGGTAATGAATTTGGTTGGCCAGTTTTTTTCATCGCAGAGCGAGAAGGAGGAGGGGGTAGGGGAATCGGGGTATGATCTCCCGGGAAGAGATTGTTTGATACGGGTGGAGGACGAAGATGTGGTGTTCGAGATATGTGAAGACCCATAGCTATCTGCTCAATAGACGGGGGAGACGCATAAGGGTCCTGTCGTTTAATTCTTGTAGAATGCTGAATAGTCCGCTCTGCAGGAGTAGAATAGATGCTCATAGCATTTGCCTAAGCAAAAGTTTAGTAAATACGTAGAAATCATAGAGAGACGTCAGGTATATTCACAGAATCGATAGGCAACTGCTTCTTCGAATTCTGTGTAGCGGGGTGAGAAATGAAGAGTGACTTCCTCACGCTAGACATTATGCGAGACGTTTTGTTGGAGCGATTGATCACTAGTTCTGGTGTCGGAAAATATGAACTAGCCTTGCTGGAGCGAAGCGCAGTATCGTGCTGCAAATCGAGGCTGCGGGAATGGGAATGAAGTCTAGAAAGGGTTGTACGAGCAGAAGGTGGTGATGGTGAAGATGAATGTCGCTTCTGCGACGAACGAGGAGCCACGAAGGTGTCGCGAGATGATATTTCCATGATTCTGACGTCGTGGTATGCAGCAAGGGTCCACAATGTGTGAAATAAGTGCCGCCTGTGAACAACGTTGAACGAGGAAGGTGAATGTTCAACGAAGACCTGCGGCCCGCCGGCTATCACTCAATTGTTCTCATCGTGCGCCGAAAATAACATGTGGCAGTGTACCTTCTGTATTATTAATCTGAATTTCGAACCCTGGGGAAGGGGAACATTGGGGATGGTTTGATTTAACCTTCCCATCCCAGAGAGAATCAAATCATCTTACATTGTATGTACAGAATCGTGATACCACTACGGAATTGATTTAACTTGACCGACTTGTTTTGTGGCCTATGTGAACTCCAAAAGGTCGACGGACAGCTGCACTTCGACTACCCAGTTTACGTCTCCTCACCAAGGTCGAGCCGCTAGGATTGTGTAAAGATACATCCCAGTTAAGAGCCTCCATCGGAGAATCCTATTGAAAATTAGGAAGCAGCTTAGATAAAAATGAACGTGTAATTACCGGAATAATTTCCATCTGAAAATCAGTATTGGCATTCATCATCAACTCGACCACCTGGGTCATACTTGATCTATCCAGCGGGTTGTGGCTCCAGCACACCTGGGTTATGTCCCAAAGACGATCCGGCATAATTCTACCGAAGGGATCCGTCGATCGTTCAGGCCGTTCTTCGGCCATGACGCGTAGCATAACAGCGGGGTCATGAGGAATGTGAGCAAAGGGTGGTTTCCCTGTGAAAAGCTGGGGCAAGTGGTCGTTTGAGTCAAAAGGCAAATAGTATGGATTTAATCGGACAAACCTCGATGCAAACGCAAGCAAATGAATACACATCGCTGGCAAAAGTTCGTCGAAAATGGTCCAACCCAAAGGCTTGCGGATGATGAAGCTCCGGAGCCATCCATCTCACGGATCCAGCCTGTTGAGAAGGGGTCGCTGCCGTTGCATCCTCAAAAACGGCAAGACCGAAATCTGCAAGACACGCGTGCCAATCATCGTTGACGAGGATATTGGACTAGCACTCCAAGGTCAAGAGATGAGATTCTATGAAAATTGGTTTACATACCCCACGAAGATCCCCATGAACAATACGCTGTGAGTGTAAATATGCCAGGCCTTGAGCCACCTCGAAAAGCTGTAGGACATCGATAAATGCGTAAATGGAAGAGACACAGAATATGCTGGTTTACTTTCTGCTCGACATTAACATGTCCATATTCGTGAAGATGATTTAAAATAGTTCCATGTCGCATCCACGGCGACACCATGCAAAGATATGATGGGAAACTCTCTGAGTCAATTCCGCAGAAAGGTAGGACAAATGGATGTCGAAGCTTCTGCCATAATAAGGCTTCTCGACAAAAATGCTATCAGAGTCAATTTAGTATGTGAGTCGTTATCATTTTTACGAGGGCAGGACACACTCGCTGAGCTTTACGCTTCCCCGTAATATCGCCCTGAAAAACTCTAATGCGTTTCAATGCAACGTCCTGGTCCATATAAGTGGCGCGATATATATCAGCAAATGTTCCACCTCCACATGCATGCGAGCTTTGGCGACATACACCTTTAATGAAAAGGGAGGTGGGGATAGTATCGGATCGTTCAGAAAGTTTGATCATTAAGCGTTGAACATCATGATAGAAAGTATTATGGTCGTCCATTTTCAGAGAGCGTCTGTCTAGCATCTGATGAAATGGGGTTGGTGACTCTGCCTGGATCAAGGATATATTCTACCTCTTGCATCAGATCAACGCAATCTTGAGCATCTTCGCCTTGTAAATCCGCCACAGTCTGTTTATACTCATCTGAAAACACCACGGCACGGAAAAGCTTAGCAATCTCGATTTCGTCCTTCTTGAGAGCCTCGCGCAACAGGCCATGATCAGATACTGGAAATATCGAGAAGAACTTGAAATAACGCTCAAAATGTACAAACTATAGAAAAAGTAAATGTGACTCACTTGCAATAATCTGATTCGAAACTGTCGGCTCTCAACGAGGCAAGATATTGTATCTAGGGAGGCCATGAAGTCTATGAGTTGCATCAAGTCGTCTTCCAATCTGAACTTCTACAATGAGAATGCTATCTTTCTATTGGTTGAATCTCACACCTTTGGTTTTGGAATCCGACTTCTTTTCTCAGGAGATTAACCACGTTCTTCATTTAGTTCCCATAAGTCTATTTGCTCAGAACCTGATGTTCGATAAGCTCGACTGCACCTTATAGACCTTGAAGAAGGGAATTTGGGTGAATCACCGTGACGATTTTGAAATCATGTTAGATCTATGTACGATACCTTCAAGATCTGAGAATAGATAACTGAACGTCAAAACATGTTTAACTTGAAGATCGAAGAAAAACATACATGTTCATCTCTTCGGACCGCGTCGTATCTCAATATCTTCTTTTTGATCCTCGAGGCGATGAAATCGTCATTTGTTGCAAAGGAAGGCAAAGCAAATTTCGAAAATTGTGTTAGAGATTCACCAGTATTTATCCGATCCTCTGATTCCGTTAATTTTGCGAGTGTGAGAATGGTCTTCGCGACTCGAATGGAGGAATCGGCTGTGATGTCTGTTAGGTCTCCAGAGGAAAAAAGCTCTTCTCTTGGTATGCCGAGGTCACGACAGCCTGATAGAAATTTGGCGAGATTGACATTGTCCCTGTCATTGGGACGAATTAAAGGGCTACGGCCAATGGCGTTCAGTGTCCTTAGAAGCGAATCAGAGATTTCCCGTGCTGATGCGGACCCGAAACAACCTACTGGCAAAGAACGTATCCATCTTTAAGGGCTTCGGATAGAGCAAGAATCGTGTCGTAGTCAACTTGTAAGTCATATTGCCTGGTCCATTTACTCATCACCCTTAGGAGAACGCGGAGGCGAATCTCGACTAGATCGAAGGGTTTCTCCCCTCCAGGATCACTGCGGCGGCGGAGACGCGGTTCCATGCAAGAGCATAGGAATGATATTGCTTTCCTTAGAAGAGAGCGATCATTATCAGTCATCTGAAACGCATCCATCTGGTACGAGTCAGCAAGATGACCAACTTCAAAAGAACAGACGGCCTCACTGCGTTCATGGTGTTTGCCGTATCTTTTCTAGAATCGACGAGATTTAGGAGATTTGGTGTAGAAGATATTTGTAGATTCGAAAGGGGACGTGGTTGTCGGACATCAATGGTATTTTCAATGGCACTTGGCAAGCTGGAGCTTGCATCTGAAGGAGAAGACGCATGATCCTAGGCATGCAATATTTAACAAAATACTGAATATAGATCGGCAAGTCCTCACAAAATAATAGTCAACAATCTCTTCCACATCAGGCAGTTCCTCAGCTATCACCAAAACGGGAGCCAGAGGACTCATTCGGTAAATGTCGTCATACCATCCTTCGCACTCCTTATCGCTTCCGAATTGTAGAAAGTACTGAGTACCTCCCCGCATTGTCAGCTGTAAGCAGCGAGGGCGGTCCACTGAATTGTCGTTGACATAGATCCCTTTAATTAAAGCGAGAGATAATCTGAAGATAAACTGGTGTTCGTCCGCCTGAAAAGAAGATCTTTATTACCAAAATGGACGTGAACGATACACAGCTACGACTCACATTCTTGTACACGAGCAGGAAATTTGACTTGAGAACGATCCACCGTTCCCTCCAGCCCTTCCAAGATATGCCCGATTTCTTGATGTTTGCTGATCCACAGCGAATGACCGTTGCATATGTGAGTGAGAGTACCATTGGAAGAGACGTTCAGCAGCGTTCAGCCCGGGTTGTATATCGCGAGTGTGACATATCTATATTCGAAGGTATCTGATGAAAATATCATGTGTTCGAGTTCGTTAAACGGACGAATCAGAAAGTCTTTATGAACATAGTAAGATTGCTGTAGACCAGCTCTGTCAATGTGTCCATGACAACTGATCATGGCAAGTTGAAGTATACAATGATTTTGAACCCCAGGTTGTTTTTGTATGTACTAGGGCCGGTCTGGGCCGGGGCCACTTGATATTTACTTGCATTACATGTAGAATCACTTAAGTATAGATCTTCTGCTTAGGATCTTTTGTTTTTTTACCATTGTACTCCACTGAGATCCTGCTTCCTTTTAAACACAATGATCAAACTGCTGGCCCTTATTGTAGCTGCCCAATAAAAGATCGGATTCGTGAATGTTTTCATTTCTGGATCAGGATCCCTCCTACTTGTCTCTGCTGTACGTCCTTGACTGTCGAACGAATTTATATCAGTGCAAGCACTGCTTATACTACATATCACTCTCTGCCTCCAACGACAAACTCTTATTAGTGCCACACTCTTAATCATACGTTTTTCTAATCAACACACGACATGCAACGCTCTGTCTCTCCGGACTCTGTTCAAAGCGGAGCTTCTATGTGAGTACGCTATAAGACTCACTGTATTTTATAAATCTCAAGCTCGATGCTCTATATAGGTACTTCACCACCAGTCGCGCTTCATACGCTCTACGTATCGAGCGACGGTTCGTGCAAGCATGGAAGACAATTACCCAGGTTACCCACAAGCCCGAACGCGCCTCGTTCGTGCCTCCAGGCTTTGTTTTGGTTAATGCCACGAAACGACGCAGTATAATGTTGACATGATCATCCGGGAGTTACGCCTTTTAAACTCTCTGTTATACATTTCATAATAGTGGATTGCTTTCAACGATATGTAGCGATATGTACATAGCCAAAATTTTCTCGATACGATCTTGGGACTGGGACTAATTGGTGTAATGTTTGGACTTCTTAATTTGTATGTACTGGTTGTGCACACACTATATAACTTGTATGTATTTTCTCTCGCTTCAGAAAGCATAATCTACATTGGATTTTCAGTATCACTTTCTAGGCGCGAGGTCGCAAATGCACATGTGATCGCGACGAAGCTTTTGACAGCCTTTTGTTTACGAATGACAAATTACAAACTCAAACTCACGCGTTTGCTGCCATGGATCAAGAAAGGCGTTTAATAACTGCTCAGTCGTTACAGACGTTATTCGATTCTACCAATACGAGTCTGACTATCGTTCGGAATGTGGCGGAGTTTAGTGCCCATAAACTGGATGAAGGTGACGTCTCAGATGTCGAAGACATTGATACCAGGGATCCCGCTATTGTTGCTATCGATGTTGCTTCACAAGTTGTACGTGTACCAAATAATTTCGCGATTCTTAGCGTGCTAATAGCTATTCGAACCACCGCAGTCGTATCTCCGCAAGTTGAAGCACCAGTACTTGGAGCAGAACGCCAAAGACAAATATGTCAAGCTCATCGTCACTGACATCGACGATCCACCAACTGTCACTGATGGTGACAATAAACAGTTGGAAAAGCAGAACATGGAGCAAAAGGAGAAGTTGAAAGTCGCGAAAGAAAAGTTGTCGACGATCGAAGAAGAATTTCGCGTCGTGTCTTCGAAGGTGGAGGAAGGTAGGGCTAGTAAATGGTTTCCGACCCCACTCACTAACCTGATCCACAGATTACATCCGAGTCAAACAAGCAACAGCAAAAGCTACAGAACTTGCCCAGAAAATCATTGACGCCAGGCTGGCTTTGTCCCGACTAAGACAAACACACCCTCACCCTCGAGTTACCGTCCAGACCGCAGACAAAAAACTTGAAGATCAGGTCATGGAGATGCAAGCGCTTACCGATGAGATGCAAGTTGTTGAGCAGAAAGTTCACAGCGTCAAAGGGAAACTCAAGTCTGAATCACTGGAGATGGAATCACTCAAGTCGCAGAGAAACGAGGTAGAAAAGAGTGTCAAGAAATCCGAGAGCGGGTTCAATGATGACCGACGCTTCGTTCCCTTGTACGACTGGTCTGTCATTTCTGTTTTCCAGTTGGTCTCGGTTAATCTCACTTACCTTCATAGGTTGACTGGCTCTCTCATGATCCATCGCTCCATGCAAGGCTTGGAGGTCATGGAAGCCATCTCTGAGAACGAATTACGACTACAATATGGCGTAGAAGACAAACATGGTCGATCCCGTTCAATATCAATCACGCTGATCTTCGTCCCCAACAGCAGGAAACTGGCTGCAGCCAATGCCAATGTTCAAGGAATGGAGGAGTTTGCTATAGATTTCAGCGATATCATCGAGGCGCATCTGCAAATGAACAACATTCGTGGTATGCTTGCTGCCATCTTGGCACGCACACGAGAAGGGACATAAAGGGAAAGCTCTTTGTTCAACATCGTGTAAAAACTGAATTTTGGATCTATATGATAATGTATATTAGGTATGTATATCGGCGTACCAGGGTGTACCACGCTTGTGTCTTTTATCGCTCCGATATAATTAGGCTGGATTAGAAATCCTATGGTGCCAACATGTTCCTGGCCGCCTTCTGACAATGGGCGGTTGTCTAGCGACGACATGGAGCTCCCGATACCAAGTGACTGCGGAAATTCTGGCAAACATCCATCTTCAAAGGCTGACAAAGGCCGGATCTTCCTGTCCTCGAACTTTCGAAAATCAGTGATCACTTAAAGAATCGCGGTGGCAGGGTCGTGGTACCATAGAAGAAGTCATGAAGTGATTTGAAGTGACCTCGCGCCGTGGTTAGAAAAACTCGGAACGTCGAGTTGCGAGAATCGCATCTGAATTGCATGATGGTGTTACCAGAATGTTCCTGGAATCTTGGTCTGCGAAGGTCCAGGCCGACGCTGGGCCATCGGGGTACCAAAGAAAATCATCGGATGCTTCATTATCGCATTACAACGCCTCTTCAAGTTTCATCCGTGTGGCAACGTTATTTGGCAACCCCTTTGAGCAGCTTTTCTTCGCAGTCTTTGTCTTGAACTGATATCTGATTGTATATAAGATGGTCAGGCTTTGTTCTCGACCACACACTCCCCCTTCACTCTTTCTCTATCCTATTTTTCATTCCTACCCTAGCAGGTAGCTGGCAGCTGGTTGCGAGACTTGTCTCCTACGCCGTTCTCATTCATTCTTCTCTACTCTTTTTCCTCTCCCTATTGGGTTTTCCTCGTCTCCAGACTATTGCAGTTGTTGACATCGGCAGCGCCGCCTTCCTACTTGTCTTTACTTGCGTCTCTTCGACTACTTGTTCCGCCTAGTCTTTTGTCACTTCGACACCATGATTAAATCCGTTCTTGTGGCCACTTCCATGCTAACGTTTGCCTACGGTCATGCTGTCATCACTGCTGTTGCCGGCGACAATGGAGTCACTACCAGTGGCTTTGGCGTTAGTGAGTATATAGTTTCATCGTCTACTTAGGGACTTCTAATCGATTTGCTCTTCAAGCCACTGACGGCAGTATACCTCGAAATGGTACGACGGAGCAGCCTTTCCAGCTGGATACTCCTGTACTTAAGAACCTTGTTGATGGTACGTGCAGTTAAATGATCTATTCCTTCAAATACCTTCAAATACCATCTAAAACAACTACTTATGTAGATCCTTGTGGTGCCACTCTGCTAGGTGGCTCAATCGGGATGACCTCATCTCTTGCTACCGCAATAACTCAAGGCGGAGGCAACCTGCCCTCACTCGCTGCCGATAACTCAATCTCGTTCACTTTGCACCAAGTGAACGCGGACGGAGGAGGACCATTCTCCGCTATGGTTAACACCGACGCTACAGGTCAGACCTGGACTTCTGCGTTAATCACTCAACAGCCTCCTGGCGCGAACGGGCTTCTTAGTGGTGGACCTGTTGATTCCCAGGTTACGGCCGCACTTCCTGCGGGGACTACATGCACTGGTACCAGTGCTGATGGGTCTATTTCGAACATCTGTTTGATTCGGATTAGTAACGGTGGTACGGGGAATGAAGCCGCCTCGCTAGCGTCATTCGCGAATGGGGCTGGTCCTTTTGGGGGCTGTTTCGCTGTTACTACTTGTAAGAAATTCTTCTTCGCACCAATATCATTTCATGTTAATGCTGGTTTTCATCTGTGAAGCATCGACTAACGTTTCTGCTGCTGCCACCACTACCAGCGCTTCCGCAGCCGCGGTCGCTGCCACTACAGCAGCAGCAACTACCACTAAGACGACCAAAAAGAACAAGAACAATCGGTCGCTCGAGCTCATTGGCCGACTTGCTCCCGGTTTGATGCGCCGTAAATCCGAGCTTGACGCACTGGTTGCCCAAAATCGTGCTCTCGAGGAAGACATTCAGCTTAAGGTTCGCGAACTTGAGGAACGCCAATTGTTGACTGTGGCAATGATGGATGAGATTGCGGTACGTTGCGGATGCTTTTTTTCGATTCATTTGAAGGACAATGGCTCATAAAGACAATCTTCAGACCGCCGTTGGTACAGCTGATGATAGTAAGTGGTATTTTTTTCCCCTTGTATCCTCAATCATCTGATCGGTGTATCCTTTCAGTCCCCGTCGACGCATTCGCTGGCCAAATCGACGAAGCTGCCAACGGTGGTAACTCGTCAACTTCTAGCACTGCCAAATTGAGCCTCCAAGATGCCGTCAACCTGAAAGCAGCACTTCGTACTCAAGTAGAGGGTGTTCTCGCCGCTTTCGCTGCGAACCAGAATGCTTCTCTTCTTACCGCTGGTTCAAACTTCAACTTTACAGGAAACTTGACCACAGTAAGTGAAGATTTTCTTCTTGTTCACGACGGGATCTTATAAACATTCTCATAACTTGTTATTTTAGGAGACTGTCGCCCAAGCGAACAGCGATGCGGATGCAGCTCAGGCAGCAGGTACGACAAGTATCAATGCTGGAAACGCAGGAGTAGGTGAAGTACAGACTGCAATAAAGAACTCGCTTCTAGGTGAAGGTAAGAGATGCATTATTCTTGTCTCGATGACGCATCATTGACGTTCAAAAACAACTAAACTAAATTAGTGTCCACCGTTCAGTCGGTGACAAATGGCGCGACTCTATTAGGTGCCTCCCCAACAACTGCGGCTGCTGTTGCGACGACCACAGCTGCCGCTGCGGCAACCACTACAGCAGCTGCGTCAGTTTCTTCAGCAGCTGCAGCGGCTGTCACGTCTACCACGACGAACAAAAAGTCAAAGAACAACAAGGCGAGCACGAATAATGCTGCGTCGAACAAGGATGACAAATCTGCCCGCGCATTGAACAAGAGACTCTTGCGATCTAGAGTTAGGGCGGTATTTGATGATGTCGAGTGAGCTGGGTCTCTTTTTAAAAGGATTAGACAGAAGTATTTTGATAGAGTTCGACTGAGTCTTGTAAGTACGATAGAGAATTAGGAAAAATGTGCAGGTGCCAACAAATAGCTTAGGCAGTTACTAGGGAGTTCAAATGCCGAGTTGTTAATGCTTGCGCATGCAAGTAACATTAGCAAGCTCACCAAGTTAAGAATAGCTCAACGTACTAAACAGTCAATTTGGATTCTTAGAGCTGAAGTTTTCTCGTTAATTGCATCAAGACCGTTTGATTTCTTACGACGTATATTGGACTGAACCCATCCCATACGTAGCAGTTTACGCATTGTATTGCAAAAACATTGTCCATTTATCACAGTTAGTAAGTACAGAAGCTTGGAAGTCCATAAGATTCAGAGCCCTTCAGCACACGAACTGATTGTTACAATGGCTCAAAAGCTTAACGTATTAAAGCTCGGTGAAGTCCCACAACTGCTGTGGGCTCCCTGTGCATTCCATCGTCCTGACTTCTGGATTCCCATCGCTATCTCCGGGGACGTTAACACATTCTGAGGTAGAAGCAACAGTGAGGGTGCAAGCAGTTGCCGAAGTGTCCGTGCACGACGAACACGAGATGGCGAAATCAGCGTCGCTGCCGGCGGCGTTGGAGCATGATCCGGTAGTCAAGGTGGTGTCGACTGGAGCGAGGACACATGAACTGGGGGAATCGAATCTGGATAAGGCGAGAGAGTTTTTGTGGATGAGTGTTGTATAGGGAAAGAAAGATAGATGATACACACGAAATAGTCCAACCGCCGGTAGAGGTAGAGGTGAGATTCCAGGGTTCAAATTCAGGAGGGGTAGGGAGCTGTAAGACAAATTGAGAAAGGAGTTGTTAGCTAGGAGTTATCGGAAACCGGGGGCGGATGGATATACCAAATAAACAGCGGACAGGACCCCAGCACTTGCTCCATTGAATTGCCACACGTAGGAGTCTTTACACGCGAGGATCGAAAGATCAGTAACCCGAGATGAATTTTTGAACAAACTCACCATTGATATTTGAGCTAATAGCATACCCGACTCCTGGGGTGAACGAAGGGCTACAGGTGGTTTGACGGGCAGTGGGGAAAGCAGTGGTGGTGGTGGCTGCTAGCAAGAGGCCAGCAGTTACAGAAGCGAACATTTCGGTCAAACTGACTTTGGATAAGGACGAAACGAAGTTGGGGTTAATTTGGGGGGGAGTCGACCTTCTTATATACTCCTTGAAGCTGCCAGTGTCGGTCTGAAACTCCCGCACCACGAGTATTCGCGAGTTCCAATATCCCGTCGTCATGTGGCAGTGTTCGAATCGTGCTCCATGATCAAGACTCTGTTCAGAAGGTGAATCGAATATTCATATTGCGGCTTGCTTTGGCCGCTTGATTCGTGAAGCGTTGGACTTTGGATCCAGTGATGTCGGACACTCGACTAGTCTGGCACTTGGAACTAGAATTCCACGTTTCGCCTACATTTGTGGCTCTCAGCTTCTAGTATTGACTTGTACTGACTAGGCTTATTGAATATTCGAGGGGTTGGTACAAGATGCTCTGCTGGTAAATGAGCACTGTTGCTTAGTTGAGCTACATAGCGTAGAGTAAAATCGGTAGATGTTCTTACGATCGTCGATTTCCATCTGTTGACACTCATTATTTCCCTGTTTATTTAGTGTTCCAGATTGTTGAAAGGAAACGAAGTGAGCGAAGACCGGTGAAGGAGTGGGTACCTAGAAGCTCGAGTCTCAGTCCAGAGGGAATAACGATGGGCGAAATTGGGTGGCGTACATAAGCGCCCAAGCGCTGATGTTCCTATATGCGTGTCGGCTGGTCAATGACTCGACCAAAAAAAGACCTTCATGTGCATATCTCCCATGTTGTGTGTAACTACTTGTTAGATTCTAATTTTGAACCTAGTCTGGTCTCTGCTCGTTGCTTTCTAAATTTAATCTTGTGATTCCTCCATCGTCTTCGCACGCAAAAACTCTCTCATCCGTCGGACTCAAAAAAAACCTGTGCGCTCGCCTGCTTGTGATTGACATTTTATTACCCTGCAGCTGTCCAAATTTATGGTCGAGAAAATTTCCTCAGTTTGCCTTTCTTTCCACTACTACCACTTTATGCAAACGCTGGCTCGGTAAGTTTGCCTCTTTCTCGGTTATGATTGTAGCCGCAGCGTCCTCATTTGTTTGGCCAACTGAATGAATCCGCCTGATATTATTCTTACTACTCAGTTTGTGCAACAACACAGAGAAAGGACGCACCGCCATTTGTTCAGTTACGCCCGAAACGCCTCAGATCTGCTGGTAAAATTTACTACGAAACACCTCTTCGCTGTGACCTGGTACGTTACACATTATCTTTTGTGCTTAAACACTTGGGCTTAACGAGGTACACCTCAGAAGTTGAACATTCTACAATCATATATTGTCCTTGATTCCTTTCATCGAAGAACTAGTACCAAATGTTCCTTCAACTGCGCTCGACCTGTGCGGTCCTTATTCTTCTTCTCTGGAATTGTTCCAGCCCAATGGCGGCACCAACTGCCAACTGTAGGTTCCTTCGTCTTGGCTCTTTTATTCTATCCCCTTACTGTTGTTTTGAAATCAGCTCAGCTCACCAACATTAAAGTCAAACTCATCCGTTCCTACAGAGGCATGATACTTGATTCGTCGGCAAATATTACACCATGCACCCCCGCAGAAGTAGCACTGGGATGCACAAGCACCTTTGAGCAATGGAGGATATTGATCGATGGACTCCTTTACAAAGCTGATAAGAATGGGGACCAGCTGAAAGCTTCTCGAGACAAGGATGAATCAATCCAGAGAATCCAGGGAGCGAGGGTGTTAATTTTAGGCCAACTGAGATTTCCCAACCTGCAAGTGAAGAAAACCGTCTTGGAGGATTTGCTCAAAGTTGAGGTTGGTGGGACATTTGAATATCTCGATGGCATTGTGAAGAAATTGCGGGACTCCCCTCATACTATGTGTAAATGGACAAGTGATCAAGGGGATAAATATTCCAGGACATGGGATGCTATGTATGAAAAAGTCGAGGTCCCTATTTAGATTTACAGTAGTGCTACTTTCTGTTTGTTACGTTGGGATTAAAAAAGTTTGGCGTTTTTAGCTGGTGTTACGTAACTAGTGGACCCCTGGGACACGATGAACCTTGCTTGATGTATGGTTTTTATGTCAAACAATTTTTTTGACTCATAAGGTAACAAGTAAGAGCTGTAAATGAATCAAAAAAGAGATAGAGAAGAAGACAAGTGAAGAATTTGATCAGTTGATGAGAGGGACCCAGGACGCCGAGATCAAAGGGGAAAACAAGATGTATAAGGAGTAAAAACAAACAACAATGAGCTAGTTCCAGGTGAAAAACAATGAAATATAGGAAGGTTCCATAGATATGAAGAAAGGAGAATGAGTATAACATTGTTGAAGTGCAACTATTGACAACATTCACTGAAGCTTCTCCAATAAAGGAAATGGAAACAATTCAGGAGACAAGCCATGAATACAGTCATAAGCAAGAAACCAATAACAATGAACATACCCATCAAAAACTAGCTATCAATATGCGAGATGTTAGAAAACAGATTGACAGCATTAGTGCAGGTACAGTGCTTTGCGAAATCCTTTGCTTGTTCGGATTTTTCACAATGTGTTTATTTGTATTTATGTATATATATATTCATCAGTAGCCAGAGCTCGGTGCTCCATACTCCAAGAGGCGAGTGAGATTCAGATCGCGGGTACGATTCTCACGACCCCCCCCCCCCCCCCCCCCAATTGAATGGAAAGGCCCGTAGAGGCCCGTTGACTACAAGAGCAAATTTCTACAAATCCTTCGATTTGACGACATCTTCCTACATAGGTTCTGCTGGGTTTGTACAAACAGTTTATGAGTATTCAAAAATCAATGACTGAACGAAATTGGCAGAGTTTGTGCCACAAAAAGCCAATGAGAATGGCTGGTCTCGTCATAAAGTTCTAGGCCTTGGGCCTTTCTCGTGGCAACATAAGTACCCGCGATCTGAATCTCACTCGCCTCTTGCCATACTCAGTGCGCAGTGCAGCCTGCAACTTATTTCACTTGCGATGCCCAAAGCCTCAGTGTCTTCTGTGTATTGTTTTCATGGCTCAGGATATCAGGTTTTTGCTGCAGGTAGAGTAACATGTTCGAGATATGCATTAAGGACCAACCACTGAACTTCCATTTTTCAGTGACCCTTTCTGTTGTCTTTTGTTGCTCTCTGGTGTCTGTTCTGCGTCACTTTGGCTACAATTCAATGAGTGGGTACGTCGGGCAAGGGTTTGACAGGTATGTGTCATCTATGCAGTATAAAGTCTCCTCTTTGACTCTTCAGTACTTCCCCCCTTCTAAGCTTGAATGTTGACAGATCCTCATCCAGTATGGAGTCAGTGGCCTCCTAGTTGACCCTCTGATACCTGGATGCTCTCTGGTGGAGCATGGATAGGTATGTCACAATTTGTTCTCTTGTTATCTATCTGATTTTTTTGTAGATGGTGCATGCAATCCACCTGTCATGTATGGAAGTGCAGAACAAATCTGGACAGTTTATGAGTTCTGGCTGGAACACCTTCCTCATCTCCACCCTACTTTTCAGGCTCAGCGCAATCAGCCCCCCCACCCTTGTCCCCGCCCTTTGTCCCGACCTTCTTTACCTCCTCCAACGTATAACACTCCTTCTTACACAGTTATTTCTCACCCTCCTCCTTACACTACCAATGCACAAATCTCTCCTTCCTCCATTACTTCTACACTTATTGCTCCTTTTAATGCTCCTGAGCCAACTGCATCACCTTCGAATATGTAAGACCTGGGTCAGAATAGGTCTTAGGGTAGGTTTTGGTATAAGGGATTTATAATGTAGCATGCTAGGAGCAAGCTGGAGCTCGAAGGGAACAACGGGAACCACAACCGAGGATGGGAATGACCTTAGAGTAGTTTGGATTAAAGGGGTTGACCTTTGAAGAGGTTCCTAGGAGGTCCTGGGAGGTCCCTAGGACATTAAAGGGGCTAAAGGTTGCTAGGAACTGGGGAATGTCGGACTGTTACATCATACAATTTGTAGTAGATAGGATTGACAATACAGGATCGTGATAGATTGTAGGTGTAGTGAGTTCCGGGCGTAAGAGCTCCCAATGGAGTGTAAGCCCGGGAGGGAGGTCCCGGGAAGTGGAGGTAGAGGTGGACGTCCTCAAGCATTTGGGGTAATAACGGAGAAGCGAGACGTAGTTCGACGTTAGCTAGATCAAGGTCCCTGAGCTCATGGAGCACTTGGGGAGTTTGAGGGAAGTTTGGGGGAGGTCAGCTCACCAAAACGATAGACGTTGGGGAGCTCGAAGACTCATTCGGATTGCTTAGACATGAGGTAAAAGCGTGTATTGGATTGTTTAGATGACCGTAGAGATGAGAAAGTAGTAGAGAAACAGAGATAAAGAAACAGAAAGTAAGAGAAATTCATATAGTTAGCAGGTACAAAGGGACAGGGACTGGACCTATGCAAAAGGGTGTGTGTTCAAAATATACCAAGCTGGGGCTTGGGGACGTTGCGGAGCTACTTAAATAGGTACGGGAAGTGAACAAGGGAACATCAGGGGATTTGGTGAATATGAGGTGGTAATCAAGATTGATACTTAATGGAGTTGATCATAGGAGGTCCTGTATGCGTGCCGGGGGAGGTAGCGTGTCAGGAAAGTCATCAGACATTTGGGTAATGGGAAGGTTACAGGGGAGTGGTGGTACTGTCTTGGGGGTTTACTAGATAAGACGTATGGGAGCTTCTGGTTGGTGCTGGGACAGGTCTGGTGGCAGTCAGGGCATGACATTACCCCCCCCTGCAAGTCCTTCGCACCCTCACAATGTCATGCCTCGACCGTTAACCACAGCTCCCTTTCTCCCGTCTTCATGCCTGGTGACTACCAGGACAGCCCCAGTATCAGCCATACGCTCTCACAACCCGCACAGAACCACCTCCGTACCTCCCCAAAACATACCAGTTACCATCTTCAGATCCCTCGACACAAGTAACCCCTAAAACCTCCCCCGACACGCGTAAGAAGCCCTCCTACACCTACCCCATTAAGGTACTAATCTCGATTACATGCCTCATGGTCCCTGATGTTCCCTTGTTCACTTCCCATACCTATTTAAGTAGCTCCGTAACGTCCCCAAGCCCCAGCTTGGTATATTTTGAACACACACCCTTTTGCATAGGTCCAGTCCCTGTCCCTTTGTACCTGCTAACCATACGGATTTCTCTTTCCTCTCTGTTTCTCTACCTCTGTTTCTCTCTACTTCTGTCTATTGTCTCTCTGATCGTCGGTACGATCGAATATACGCTTTTACTTCAAGTCTAAGCCTTCCGAGTGAGTCCCCGAGCTCCCTCGAACATTACTAAAGCTCCCCAACGCCTACCCGCTTGGTGAGCTACTCTTCCCCAAACCTCCCAGAGCTCCCTAGCTACTTCGTAAGCTTCGGGACCTCGATCTAGGTAACGTCGAAGCTACCCCTCACGTCGAACTACGTATTGCTTCTCCGTTACCACCTCCCACACTCGAGGACGACCATCCTCAAACCTAGTCCCCAGGGACCTACCCTCCCTGGCATATCCCTTCTCGGGAGCTTACACCCTCGAGACCCCGTTGCATAAACTACCTACTCGACTCTATATTGACGTTCTAGCGAGTACAACTCCTACTACGCAATATCTTACGGTCCCGCACTCGTCCTGAACCTCCCTACGCATTAGGGACCTCCCTGGACCTCCTAGGAACCCCTCAAGGGTCACCATCTCGTCGTTCCAACTACTACTAGGTCATTCCCGTCCTCGGTCGCGGTTCTCGTAGCTCCCTTCGAGCTCCAGCCTGCTCCTAGCACGCTACAACATAAACCTCCACATACCAAAACCTACCCTAAGACCTATTTTGACCCAGGTCTTACATTATACCAAGCTCTCCCGTCACCGAACGGACTCGTCGCGACGAAATGTCGGCGACGTCAACGGAACGACCTTCTAGTTCCAAAACCGAATCGAAGAAACAAAAGAGCGCCTTATCTCGTGGAAACACGACACAAGCTCAAAAATCGAACCAGGCTGCTAGCTCCACTGTCATCACGGTGGCAGCTGGTCAACGCCTGATGTCCATCCCAGAACAGTCGTTCGGGGATGAAACCGCCAGTAACATCCGGACCCCAGAGGGACGTCAACCGGAGGTTCAGGGGCCCCCTCCAGTGGAACCTGGGATGGGACCACCACAACGGAGGTTTACCTCCATGGGTTACGCCCAACCTGCCAGTAGTCCCATGGGAGGTTTCGCATACTCCCCTACCTGGGGAACGAGAGGACCTCCCCCTGGACCGATACCGCAGCTAGACATGGAGTCAGCTTCGAACGCGGGTGGAAGAGTCAGCGGTCAAGTAGCCGCTATCGAAAGGATACAAGGGGGAAGTACCGACCCTCTCACAGTACGACAACAGGAGAAACTTCCAGAGAGGAGGGTATCCCCTGCCGTATCCGAACAATCTCGGGCGTCATCCCGGAGGTTACCAACACCTCCAGTACAGTCCCTTAACCTTCCTCCCCCGAGACGAGGAAGTTCACTCTCCAGTCTCCTGAAGAGCCCAGCTATGAATACGCCCAACTGGGAGCGTACACACGCAATACACCATAGCAGGACCAACTTCCCAGTACAACCCTTGTCCGAAATGACATTGCGTCTGGAAGACGTCATTCGAATTCAGGAGTGTATCCCGGAGGATGTAGCTATGGTCCTAAGGGAGGTATTGGAGTCAATGGGGATCGAAATATTGGGAGACGGTCTCGAATTCTCAGACCTACGAGTACAGTTCCTAACAGTGGGAACTCAACTGGAGATAGACCTCCCAGAGAAGGCCCAGCAGTGGCTGATGACCCCCGCGAATCGATCAGATTTTCTCTGGCTGTACAACGTCCTGTTGGACCCAGAGAGGATGTTGGAACTGTTAGAGGCAGAGGCACGTTACGGACGATCGTTCCGAAACTCGAGGGGAATACTTC